TATTAGTTAGCGTCTTATCGCCCTGACGCCCGCGATACCACATTCCTTTGAAGTGAACGCATAGTCGATCGCCGATTAGTCATAAGCTCGCCAAATGCCAATAAGATGATAGCCAATGCCGGGAGTTTTCAGTTCTTTGATCGCTTTATTAATATTAAGAAGCGGATACAAGTATTTTAATGGTATGGTATGTGTAAGTTTAATACATATGTAGGAATGCATGGAAGTAATGGGAATGCCGAATATGAATCTTTTTTATATGGAAATGCCGATGTGCACGTTAAGTTGAATTTGGAACAAAACACAATATGCGTTGGCTCGTGGGCAGTGCAAAAATTGTGTAAAAAAAGTGTTGGAATGCATCCTTCCGGCATGTGCGCCGCCTCCCGGTATTAATGTACTCATGCCCAATACTTCTAGTCTCCGTCCTTTGTCTGCCATGGGAGTGTTCGACCACGCCCAGCTCGGCAGCCAGCGAGTACTTAGAAGCACTTGCGGTGGACGATGGATGGGCCGGACTCGTCATACTCTTGCTTCGAGATCCACATCTGTTGGAAAGTGGACAGCGAGGCCAGGATAGAACCGCCGATCCAGACAGAGTACTTGCGCTCTGGCGGAGCGACAATTTTGATCTTCATGGTGGACGGAGCCAGGGCGGTGATCTCCTTTTGCATGCGGTCAGCGATTCCCGGGTACATTGTGGTGCCGCCAGATAACACGGTGTTGGCGTACAGATCCTTGCGGATGTCCACATCGCACTTCATGATCGAGTTGTACGTAGTCTCATGGATGCCGCAGGCCTCCATGCCGAGGAAGGACGGCTGGAATAGCGACTCGGGGCACCGGAATCGCTCGTTTCCGATGGTGATAACCTGTCCATCGGGCAGTTCATATGACTTCTCCAGCGACGAGCTGGAGGCGGCGGTGGCCATCTCCTGCTCAAAGTCCAGTGCAACATAGCACAGTTTTTCCTTAATGTCGCGCACAATTTCACGCTCAGCGGTGGTGGTGAACGAGTAGCCGCGCTCGGTCAGGATCTTCATCAGATAGTCGGTCAAATCGCGACCAGCCAGATCCAGACGCAAGATGGCGTGAGGCAGGGCGTAGCCCTCATAGATGGGAACGGTGTGGGAGACACCGTCGCCAGAGTCCAGAACGATACCGGTGGTGCGACCCGAAGCGTATAAAGACAGCACAGCCTGAATAGCGACATACATGGCCGGAGTGTTGAATGTCTCGAACATGATTTGAGTCATCTTCTCGCGGTTAGCCTTGGGGTTCAGGGGAGCCTCAGTTAGCAGGACGGGGTGCTCCTCGGGGGCAACGCGCAGCTCGTTGTAGAAGGTGTGGTGCCAGATCTTCTCCATGTCATCCCAGTTAGTCACGATGCCGTGCTCAATGGGGTACTTCAGTGTGAGTATACCACGCTTGGACTGGGCCTCGTCACCGACGTACGAGTCCTTCTGGCCCATGCCGACCATCACGCCCTGGTGACGTGGACGACCGACAATCGAAGGGAAGACGGCACGGGGTGCGTCATCGCCAGCAAAGCCGGCTTTGCACATGCCGGATCCATTGTCCACCACCAAAGCTGCAACCTCTTCGTCACACATTTTGTTGAAGATTAATTGGTATCTGCAATGGAAAAGAACGACAGATATGTACACTCAAATCGGGGAAGGCAGACAACCACCAGGAGCTTGCCAAGTACAGCCAGGAACCGGAGGCCGCCAAAGCGAACGCACGGACGGAGGATAACACGCACAAAGACCATACAGACGAACAAAGAGACGGGAAATATATTACCTTATATGGAAGTTTATAAAACAAGCTGGGTTTGCTTCGCCTCAGAAACGAACTATCACGATGGCAGACGCTTGAAGATTGAAATGACCGACGCCTACTTTTTCGAGGTAAAGTGGTTGAAAATCGCCCCTGCGCCGGCCGGTTATCGATAGCGCATGTGTCATCACGCCAGTGTTGCCAGATGAAAATTTGGCTGTCCACCTAAAAAATCGCAGTTAAAAAGTTTCCCTCCTAAATGAACAAAATCAGCTAATTTTAAATAAATAAAATATAAACATATTAGGAAAATGTTTACATTGTTGATTAAATCCCTTATAAAAATAATTCAAGTTAATTGTTAATTCCTATTATACATATATTTTAGTACGATATGTTATTTTATTATATATCCACGGGAACATCGTCCGTGAAAACATGGTTTTGTAAACTTCTTGGTTCATCCATTTCCATTTAAAATCAATACAATTAGGAGAGTATGTGTAGTTTTGGATTCTATTCTATTTGGCGATTTACATTTTTTTTACTTCTCGATCTCTCTCACTGCTCACACTTTGATATGGTTTTTTTCGTTCACAGCAGTTAAATGAATTTCAAGGCGTTTTTTAAAAAAATTGTATAATTCAGTGAGTAGACTGGTAGAGTGGCGAATGTAAAACCAATGTTAATCCTATGTAAAAAACACTCTGTAAGAGAATTCTCTCGGACGGGCATTCCGGATTGGCGAGTCGAATCAAGAGCAAGTGTGAGACCGCTTAAACTATCGCCCTTAAAATTCTTTCCCTCTAAAATTCTCCCTAGCACGTAGAAAAAAATCCTTCATTCTGTGGGAAAACCCTTAATATGGCAACATTACATTATGCCGGTCTCAGAACTAGTTTGCTGACGAAGCGGCCCTATCGCGAACCAGTTTAAGATATACCAAGCAAAATGTTGGTATTCCCTATAGCACAGTATGAAGAAAAGCGTATTAGAGTATTGAGAGAGAGCGAGAGAGACAAATGTTCGAGAAAGATCGTTCGTGAGCGGTCTTTCAAAGGGTCCTACGGCGACGAGAGAACAAAATACTAAAATGTGGAATGACGTTGCCAGATGGCGGAAGCGACACCTTTCCTATTTTGAAAACAGGGTGCAACAAAAATAAAATACAAATCTTTATAAAGCATGCTATTCTCCCCTTCTTTTCTACTCATTCTCTTACATTGGCTTCACAAATAATCCTTGAAGAATATAGTCCACAAAAGTTGAATTTCTAGCAATATTTTTGGATTTATTGTGTTACGGAACTGCTTCCTTGGGCAACGCCGGGCTAGCTCAGAAGGCCCAGGGCTGGGTTCGACCCAATGCCCGCAGCAGTGTTGCCAGGTTAGCTTATTATAAGCTAGTTCTAGCATATTTGAAACTAGAAAAGCTTGAAAAATTTCCATCTAGCTTATAGCTTGAAATATAGCTTATTTTAAAAGTCACCTAGCATATCTTAGCTTTTTATGTATTTTTGAAATCCACGAAATGTTTTGTACGAAAAATATGCTTTATGGCATGAAAATATCGGAGTTTGTTCTTTTTTTGCCGATGGTTATGTGCATTTCATGTGATCGTGAACTTATTTCTAATCGAAAGTGTCATGGGAGATCGATTTGTTGGCTGAAATGTTACCACCAATAATTTTGTTGTGTTGTGAAAATAAGTAAAACGTGTGCTCAAAATGGCGAAAGTTATATACAAACAGATTTTTCGGGATGCCTTGCACCAAAAGAACGAATTCAAGGCGTGGTTACGCAGTGTCAAGAGAAGGAACCAAAGCATATTGTTGCTACTGTAAGTCGACAATATAAGCCAAAATCTTTGAAATCTGGCAGCATGCGGCATCGAAAAAGCACACTTTCAATGCGATCACTTGCTGAATCGCAAAAAATAAATTTTCCGGCTAAGTGTTGCAAGACTCAGGATCAGAAGGCAGCGATTTGTTTGTTCATTGCCGAACACTCGGCAATATTGCCAGTGGACCATTTGTCGCGGTTGTGCACAACTAAATTTAATTTTAATTTTAACATATTCAATAAATTATAGGTCTATTAACAATAAATTGTGAATTAAAATTTAAGTTTAAAGACCTTATCATAAATATAGCCCCCAATGATTGTTGCCATCCATATAAAAAAATAATAATGTTTCGTGTTTTCTCTAATTTGGGTGTAGCTTGTTTTTTTAGCATTTTTTAAAAATTGTTTAGCTTATTCTAGCTTTTTTTTTTTTTTAATCTAGCTTATACGGGCGCTCAACACCTGGCAACACTGGCCCGCAGTCCGCACAATAAGATATCGGACAATTCGGACTCTCATCACTGACAAAACTACCATCCCTAGACACAAAACAAAAGTAAACAACCGACAAATATACACTGACGACACGGCCGGAACAAATTGGTGGCATTGGTGTTATCGCCACAACGCACCCACCCATCCTGTGATGCCTCCTGAGTGTCTCGGGGCATCACCCATCTCCGGTTGACCGGAGCCTATTCCAGGCGGTCTGGCGACCAGCCCATCTCCCCCCAGGTATTTACTCTACTCCGTTTTCATTCTTATTATTTATTTTATATAAACATTCCTGATAATATTACTATTTCCCTTTCTATTTGGTATACTCCCTCCCGGCGAGAGCGTGGCCCTAGCCAGGGATGCGCTTGCTCCAAGGCTGCGCTGTTGGGGACTTAAAAAGCTAGCGGAGGAGAAGCACCTTAAAACATTTGGCCTCAAACGGCCCCACGACAATTACTCCCTCTTTAGGGTCCCTAATCCCTGCTGGAGCTCCAAGAGAAATCTAGGGACAGGGGTTCACGACCAAAAGAAAACAAAACAAAAGGTCAAGGAAACACCATTACCGGGCTTCTTCCCCGTTCCCCCTTTGGTCACAGCTCCTGTGTTGCACCAATCCCGGACCCGGGATACGGCCAAGCGGAAAACAGAGACAACCTTACAAATACAGAGACACAAAATACGAACTAAACTATCCTAACCTAATTGAAATTTAAATTCAAATTTAACTCCGGTAGGGCCCTCCACCCGGAACGGACTCACCGGACTAGCCCTTGGCGGCTTCGGCGTCGGAGCGGGCGGCACGCTGTCCTGGCGACTCTGTCCTGGCGCCTCTGGGTTCTCAACTCGGACGGCGCTGAAGCGGCGGCACGGGCGGTGCTAAGGCGGGGCACTGGCGGCGGCACTGGGCAGCGCGGAGGCGGTGTCCACGGATCGGCACTGAAGCGGCGGCACTGGGCAGCGCGGAGGCGGTGTCCACGGATCGGCACTGAAGCGGCGGCACTGGGCCGCGCGGAGGCGGTGTCCACGGAACGGCACTGAAGCGGCGGCACTGGCGGTGCTAAGGTGGCGTGGGCTTCGGCGCTGCGGCTCCCAACTCGGACGGCGCTGAAGTGGCGGCACGGGCGGTACTAAGGCGGCACGCTGCGGCTCTGGGCTCTCAGCTCGGGCGGCGGCACTGGGCACCGCGGAGGCGGCGTCCACGGATCGGCACTGAAGCGGCGGCACTGGGCAGCGCGGAGGCGGTGTCCACGGATCGGCACGCGCGCACTCTCAGGCAGTCAACGGTTAAGATTTTTTTCTTTTCGAAAAATAACCTCGCGCCACGTTTCTTTCCAAAAATTGACTCCCCGTTTTTTTTCTCCTGCACCTCCCTTTATTGCCTCCGTTCCCAAAGCTCCACGCCGTTACCTTTTTTCTTTCCTCCTTGCCCTTCCGAGAGAAAGGGTAAAAAACCTTTCTCTTAAGCCTGCTTTGAAAGTTCCCGGTTCGCTCAGCTTCCTCCTCCCCCCCTGGGACCACCGATCCTGCCTCTCTCTATCGATACATCGATAGCCTCTTCCCCTCCGAACTCCGAAATGCAACACCACCCAAGGATTTGGAGAGGTGCTACCAGGAGCCGGCTCGACAAGATCATTGGGAGCATTTGAATGGCATCTCCAGCGCAGTTCCGAACGGTGCCCAACGCGGGGCCCACGTCTTACGGGAAGTACCTCTACCTTTTTGGTCTTGCCCATGTGTACTTTTTGCTCCCTCTTCCAGGTCATACGCGGATATCCTTGGCGTGATACACTCCCAAACTCCTGCCGTCCAGGTCCTCCAGTTCGTACGCGTTTCCGCCTATTGCCTTCACCACCCTGGCCTTCAGGAACTTCTTGGCGAACTTGGCATTGAACTGTTTCCCGAAGTCGCTGAGGACGAAGTTTCGGCGATATACCTCCTGACCTGGCCTTGCTGCAACCACTCTGGCTCTCTGATCGTAACGTCGACGACTGCGATCGTATGCGGATTCCAGACACTTTCGCACCTTCTCCTGCACCACTCGGAGCTTGTCGGCAGCCGGCATGCCTGCCAACTCGTGGTCACACAGCGACTGCAGCTTCCTGGCCAGTCGGTAGCTGGAACCATGCAGGAACATGTGGTGTCCGAAAAGTGTGAAAAACGGCGCTTCGCCCGTAGCCGAATGGACTGCGTTCCGGATGGCCACCTCGATCTCGGGAAGATAGGCATCCCAATCCCGATGGTCGTTCTCTAGGAACCCTCGGATAGCCGCCAGTACGCTCCGGTTCACCCGTTCCGCTGCGTTGCTCTGTGGAGAGTATATCGGAGTCTTCACGTGTCGGATCCCGAAGCTCTCCATGGACTCCTCGAAAATCCTCGACGTAAACTGTCGTCCATTGTCCGAGTGTACGATTTCTGGCACCCCGAACTTGTAGAAGACCTCATTGATGAGGAAATCCACGACGTTCGAGGCTGTCGCTTCCCTCATGGCCTTCAGGAATGTGTACTTTGAAAAATGGTCCACCACGATAAAGACCCAGGCGTGTCCTTTCCTCGACCTCGGGTACTTGCCCAGGAAGTCGATGTACAACTTCTGGAATGGCCGCTCTGTCTGCACTCGCTCGCCGATCCCGACCATCATCCGGTGATTCGGTGCCTTCGATTCCTTACAGACCTGGCATCTTCGGACAAATTCCCGCACCTGCAGTACCATCCCAGGCCAGTAGAACTGCCGCCGAAGGATCTCCAGGGTCTTCCCCATTCCGCCGTGAGCAGCCTTTGGGTCTGAATGGGCTCGCTCAACCAGGCTGTGGGTCAGACTCTGCGGTATCCAGAGCTTCCATGTCGATCCGTCCACCTCGTCGTCCACAGTTGCTAGGGAGGTTCGCTTGAATATGAGTCCGTCTTCAATCCTAAGATCCGGTAAGTTGTCCTTGTTTTCCAGAATCTCTCGGACTAACTCCTTATATTCGTCTCCAGCAAACTCGGTGGTCTCAAAACCCAGCAACTTGGTCGGGTCCACTGCGATCTCGTCCACGCATCGCGAAAGCGTGTCTGCCACCACGTTCTCGCTGCCTTTCCGGTGTTCGATCTTAAAGTTGAAGCCCTGGAGCTGCAGAGACCACCTGGCCAGGCGTCCCGACAGATCCTTCATGGACATCAACCATTTCAGGCTGGCGTGATCGGTGATGCAGGTAAACGGCATGCCTTCTACATAGGGCCGGAACTTGCGGATCGCCAGGAGAGCAGCAAGACACTCTTTCTCGGTGACGGTGTAATTCACCTGGTGCCTGTTCATTTTCGCCGAGAAGAAGGCAATCGGCTGCTCTTGGTCCTCCTCGTTCTTTTGGAACAGAACGGCCCCAACTCCGACGTGCGATGCGTCACACTGGATGTAGAAGTGCCGCTGGAAGTCCGCGTGCACCAGCACTGGTGCCGTGGTTAATGCCACCTTTAACGCTTCTACAGCCTGCCGCGCTTCCGGACTCAAGGAAAACTTGTTCCCAGTCTTCTTGAGGGATTCGGTTAGCGGCGCTGCCAGCGTCGCGAAATTCCTGACGAAACGTCGATACCAGCCAGCGGTACCCAGGAACGCGCGCACCTCCTTCATCGACCTCGGCTCCGGCATCCTCCTGATTGCTGCCACTCGACCGGGATCCATGCGCAGACGACCTCCACCTACGACAAAACCTAAGTACGTCAAGGACTTGAAGCAGAATTTTGATTTTTTTAGGCCGATGGTTAATCCTGCTTCTTTTAGGCATTCAGCGACCCGTCGTAGGTACCGGAAGTGCGTCTTTATGTCCGGGGCCAGTACGAGCAGATCGTCCAGGTATACGAACACATTGGATCGGATCTCGGCTGGGATTACTCTGTCCATGAGTCTCACCAACCTCTGTGCCGCATTACAGAGACCGAACGGCATCACCCTGAACTGGTAGAGGGGCCGACCAGGCACCGTGAACGCCGTCAACTCCTTGCTTTTCTCGTCCAGTTCGATCTGCCAGAACGCGAATTTCAAATCCACACTGGAGATGAAGTGGGTTTGATCGATTCTGGACAGGATTCCATCGATACTAGGCAAGGGGTAAGCGTCCTTGACGGTCACGTCGTTCAGTTTCCTGGCGTCTAGGCAGAACCTATCCTTTCCAGGCTTCGACACGACTGTCGTCCGGTTGCTCCAAGGACTCTTGCTCTCCTCGATGACTCCCAGGGCTAGCATTTTGTCGACCTCGTCCTCGACCACCTTCTGCTTCGCCGGAGACATCGGATAGGGCCGGTCTTTAAAAACCTTCGCGCCTGCCACTAGCTCGATGGTGTGCTTTTCCAGTCCAGTGGTACCCAAGCCGTCCTTCTCGAAGGTGAGAAACACCTTCTTGATGTCTTCGAGCTCCCGGGTCTCGGCTTCAGATAGTGTCCAGGATTCCGGGTCCGCCTTCTCCTCGTCGTCTTCCTCCTGGTCGGCGTAATGTTCCATTTCCCTAGCGTGAATTTCCTCGGCCTTCACGCCCTGCACCGGGCAATTTCCCACTACAGCCGGGGCCAGTTCAAATGTTCGCCAAAAATCGACGCCGAGGTATGCTGCCTGCTCCAGGTACGGGCACAAATAGAAGAGGATATACTCTACCCTTCCTTTGTATTTTACAGGTACCTTGATCCGACCGATGATCGACCGATCTTCGCCAGCAGCTGTTCGTACCACCGAGAAATACCTCTGCACGGGGACACCCAACGCGTCCACCAGCTGCCTGCTGCCTTTTCCGAGCAGACTGACACTCGCTCCGGTGTCTAACAGCCCAGTCAGCTGCTGGCCTAAAATCGTTATTTGGGCGAAAGGCCTGGGATCGTGGGTGTCACCCCGCTTGACGGCCGCAACGACTTCTCTCCGCTTCTCCTGGCGTTTCTTAAAGCGATCTCGGGCCTTCAAGACAGTTCGGGATACCTTGCGCATACCGCTTATCTGGTGCTGCTCGAAAATCCGGTTTCTTACTTCTAAATACCGTCGCATGCGCTCTTCAGGGGGTAAATATCTTAACCTATCCATATTATGACTCTTATTTAATATTTGTTTTATTTCGGGCTCTTTTATTTGGCGGTGTTCCTCGCTGGGCGTGATCCTCCCGCCTTTGGATCGCGCAGCCATCCGTTTCCCGCACAATTCGGGCATTTCGGCGCAACAACGTCCGCTTTTCCACAGCGGAAACAAAAGACCTTGGTCAGCTCCTTCTCGCAATCCCGGAAACCATGGTCCATGGCTCCACAATTCCAGCAGCCAGCCCGGAAAGGATTTCGAGGCCGCTCCCGGACTTCCTGCACTTGCAATGGTTGCTCGTCTTCATCCTCCTCCTCCGGCTCTGGAGCAAACGCCTCACTGACTCGGTTCCGTTCCGCTCCTTGGTAGCGCGTTGGTGGCAGGAATTGGGTCCGGCTTTTGCGTCCGAAACTACGCTCCACCTCAAGGCTCTCTTGCCGCAGCTCATCGACGGTGAGTAGCTCCATGGCATATACGAAGCGAGCAATTCCCTCTCTTAAACCCCTTTTCATCACCTTTACCAGGTGGCGCTCCGGCATTGGCTTCCTCAGGCGGGAAGCAAGGGTTTGCATCGCGTGCAGATAATCATCGACGCTCTCCCCGGACTGCTGCTCCCGCTGCAAAAGTTGATGCATCCGTTGATGCTCCGTCTCATGGCTCTGGAACCTATCGATCAGCGCTCGGCGCAGCTGATGCCAACTGTCCAGTCGGTGCTGCTGCACGTGGATCCAAAACCACTCCAACGCCCTGCCCGTCAGCAACGTGTGGAAGTTACGCATCACTTCGGCCCACGAGCAACGAGATTGCCTCTGGAGATACTCCAAGCGGAACAGGAAGCCTTCGATGTGGTTCCGCTCATCCTCACCGCTAAATGAGATGTTCCACCTATCGACCCTGGTGCCATGGGAACTGTCTCCCGCGTTCCAGTTGACATACATCCGTTCGTCACGGAAATCGCCCGCTCGGCGGTCCTCGACACGCCAGTTCCGACCAACGCAGTCATCTCTACGCATTTCCTCAGTCTCGGTGGAACCGTCTGGACTGTTGAAAAAGCTCTCGGCTGGATCGGGTGCTCTCCGGGGTGGCTTCGGTGGGACTCGTGGAGTCGGCCGCGTCTCTTGCCAGGCAGCCGTCTGCCCTTGCTTGGGTATAGCTCCGCGAGCGTCGTATACAGCTTCCCTCGATCGTCCAAATGCCGGTGGCTGCTGCTGTTGACGGTGTTGTGGTCCTGCCGTCATCGGCTGCTGCTGTTGACGGTGTTGTGGTCCTGCCGTCATCGGTTGCTGCTGTTGACGGTGTTGTGGTCCTGCCGTCATCGGTTGCTGCTCCGCGCTCCCTCCTGGAACGTGTTGCGGCTTTGTGGAGGGTCTCAGCACCTCGTTCATTAATTGCATCATTTCCAGGAAACCGGCCCGCATCTCGTCCCGCAAGCTCTGGCTAATCCCAGCTTCTTGGGACTTGCGATACGTTTCTGCAGCCTGAGCCAGGGCAAGGTTCACCGCCGACTTGGCTGTGGAATCTACGGGCGGCTCCTGGGAATGTACCGAACGCTGAGCGGGATCCATCTCTACCAGGTGTTTAGCTGCTGCCCCGATCGCATCGAAGTCTAGCTGTTTTGGATGGACATGCTCCTCCGGTGGCCGCTCCTGTCGCCGAGATGGGGGTGTCCTCTGCAATCCCATTGAGGCCCGCGGCGGCGCGAACCCAACAGCACCCTCCCCATCCGTGGACCACAACTCCTCTTCCTGGGCTGAAGGACCCTTCGACCTGAGCTGATAATTGTTTCCCTTGTTCTCTTCCATAATCCAATTTCATTAATTCCTAACAGCTAACGGTTTGATTCTTACTAAATAAATATCTCAACGTAAATAAATCCACAATCAACAAATAAATAATTCAGTAGGAAATTAATTTAATAAATAAATAGGCAATTAAATAAATAAATAAATAGACAATTAAATAAATAAATAAATAGACAATTGAATAAATAAATAAATAATAGAAATAAATAACCAGTCGGTCAGAAAATTATTTCTGCAATATCCACAATTAATTATTAATGTTTTCTTTAATTTCAGGGGAGATGGCCGATCAACCGCCGGTGGACTCCGCACCAGATACTTGCGTCTTCAATTGTCCCGTGTCGTCCCTAATCCGGCCATTCGTCAACTGGGCTAACTTTCAGCTGGGCTGAAAGTCGCCAGTTAAGGACATGGGCCTTCAGCAGTATCCCGTAGGATTTTCCTTGATGGCTGGGACTCCGAAGCTCTGATTGTGGTGGTCGTGCAGCGCGCAGTGAGACCTGCGGGTCACGACTTCACCAACAGGATGATACCAGGAAGCCCCTTCCACCAGGAAAACCCAAGGATCTGCACAAATTTACATTACATGGAAAACAAACATCTTTACGTTAAATTAAATAAACAACATTTATTACTTTCGCCTAAATTATCTCACAATTGTTCTAATCGCGTGCTTCATGCACGGATCTGTGGGCGAGGAATGCAAATCCGTCGTTTCCACGCCCGGATGTCATCCCCTTGCCACAGCAGAACCCTTGCGTCTACAGGAGCAATTGCCCGTCCTTCTGGCGGAGCAAGCCTCCCGTCTTTCGGTGAAAGAAAACAAAAAACAACACGTACGCCTGGGCCGCCAGTCCCCGGTCCTCGGTGCAATTGCAGGCCGTCAATATAGGCCATGCAAGCCACCGATTGCAGGGGCTGGATGCCCTGGGACGCGACCTTACGAGACATCGTCATTCCGCTAAACTCTTATTTGTTTTTTTGAAATTGGGCGCCATATTGTTACGGAACTGCTTCCTTGGGCAACGCCGGGCTAGCTCAGAAGGCCCAGGGCTGGGTTCGACCCAATGCCCGCAGTCCGCACAATAAGATATCGGACAATTCGGACTCTCATCACTGACAAAACTACCATCCCTAGACACAAAACAAAAGTAAACAACCGACAAATATACACTGACGACACGGCCGGAACAAATTGGTGGCATTGGTGTTATCGCCACAACGCACCCACCCATCCTGTGATGCCTCCTGAGTGTCTCGGGGCATCACCCATCTCCGGTTGACCGGAGCCTATTCCAGGCGGTCTGGCGACCAGCCCATCTCCCCCCAGGTATTTACTCTACTCCGTTTTCATTCTTATTATTTATTTTATATAAACATTCCTGATAATATTACTATTTCCCTTTCTATTTGGTATACTCCCTCCCGGCGAGAGCGTGGCCCTAGCCAGGGATGCGCTTGCTCCAAGGCTGCGCTGTTGGGGGACTTAAAAAGCTAGCGGAGGAGAAGCACCTTAAAACATTTGGCCTCAAACGGCCCCACGACAATTACTCCCTCTTTAGGGTCCCTAATCCCTGCTGGAGCTCCAAGAGAAATCTAGGGACAGGGGTTCACGACCAAAAGAAAACAAAACAAAAGGTCAAGGAAACACCATTACCGGGCTTCTTCCCCGTTCCCCCTTTGGTCACAGCTCCTGTGTTGCACCAATCCCGGACCCGGGATACGGCCAAGCGGAAAACAGAGACAACCTTACAAATACAGAGACACAAAATACGAACTAAACTATCCTAACCTAATTGAAATTTAAATTCAAATTTAACTCCGGTAGGGCCCTCCACCCGGAACGGACTCACCGGACTAGCCCTTGGCGGCTTCGGCGTCGGAGCGGGCGGCACGCTGTCCTGGCGACTCTGTCCTGGCGCCTCTGGGTTCTCAACTCGGACGGCGCTGAAGCGGCGGCACGGGCGGTGCTAAGGCGGGGCACTGGCGGCGGCACTGGGCAGCGCGGAGGCGGTGTCCACGGATCGGCACTGAAGCGGCGGCACTGGGCAGCGCGGAGGCGGTGTCCACGGATCGGCACTGAAGCGGCGGCACTGGGCCGCGCGGAGGCGGTGTCCACGGAACGGCACTGAAGCGGCGGCACTGGCGGTGCTAAGGTGGCGTGGGCTTCGGCGCTGCGGCTCCCAACTCGGACGGCGCTGAAGTGGCGGCACGGGCGGTACTAAGGCGGCACGCTGCGGCTCTGGGCTCTCAGCTCGGGCGGCGGCACTGGGCACCGCGGAGGCGGCGTCCACGGATCGGCACTGAAGCGGCGGCACTGGGCAGCGCGGAGGCGGTGTCCACGGATCGGCACGCGCGCACTCTCAGGCAGTCAACGGTTAAGATTTTTTTTCTTTTCGAAAAATAACCTCGCGCCACGTTTCTTTCCAAAAATTGACTCCCCGTTTTTTTTCTCCTGCACCTCCCTTTATTGCCTCCGTTCCCAAAGCTCCACGCCGTTACCTTTTTTTCTTTCCTCCTTGCCCTTCCGAGAGAAAGGGTAAAAAACCTTTCTCTTAAGCCTGCTTTGAAAGTTCCCGGTTCGCTCAGCTTCCTCCTCCCCCCTGGGACCACCGATCCTGCCTCTCTCTATCGATACATCGATAGCCTCTTCCCCTCCGAACTCCGAAATGCAACAATTGTTCCATTTGCCTGAAAAAGTCTTCGGAAGAGATAGTAAAAATACAAATAATAAATGGGTCAGTTTGTTCATTACTTCATGGGATGACATTGAATTCCAGTTGGCAAATTTATTCAAGTTTGTCTCAATGGAAGGATATTTTAGAGTGGGCTATTTTGATCTTTCTGACCCGCACACCCTTGCTAATAGAGCCATGTCGAATTCTCCAAAATTCTTTGTACAGATACTCCAGAATTGCTGTCAAATACACAAATTTTGATTATGAAAATAACACGAAATTTGTTTAAATTACGTGGCAACGCCGTGGGAAAAGAAGTAAAATTAAATAAAAATGGACAGGAAATCGTAATTGTTCTGGGCCAGGTGAAGGAGCATTTTCGATCAACATCACTGGTTTGCAATGTTCAGCGCTTTCCAACACTTAACCCCTTTGTTTCGGCCACCCACCACCCACATCAGACTATCCAAACTGATAAAGCGTCTAAGGAGTCATCAACATGGTGGACATAAATTTGGAGGTGCACCTGATAGAGCCGACGGCCACTCGATTCACGGAGGAGCAGCGGCAGCGTGTCAGGGATGCCTACCTGGAAGCAGTGCGCATTCTGTTGGTGCTGCTGGAGAACATCCTTTCGCAGCCGAATAACGTCAAGTTCCGCACAATACGTCTGGATAACAAGACGATCAAGGAAAAGTTGCTAAGCCTGCCCGGATGTGAGAGACTGCTAGATGCCATCGGCTTCGCACGCGCTCCCGGGTCAAACGCATTTACTTTGCCCAGTGAGGCATCCCTGCAGCAGGTTCAGAGGTACCGGGACGCATTGCGTGAGCGGCGGTCGGCCTGGATCAGTGGGGCTGTGCCCAAAAGTAAGGCGTGTAGTGAAGCTAGTATAGCTTTCTAATCGGTTCATTTATAATTATCAAAAGGTTTGCCCCAACAATCCGCCGCCACCAACAGCACCCCCTCGCCGTTGTTTATTAAACCATCTGTGGAATATCGACAGCGGATCGCCTTTCCCCGAGTACTGGTAAGACTTTCCTCAAAGATATATATTTATTAGTCGCGCTGAATTCTGACCTGGAAAAACGTTTTTAGCGCACCTCTAACAACTTTCTGCAGTCGTTGGAGCTTTACTCGGATGCTGTTATGCAGTACGAGGACGAACTGCTGCTAGCCACTGGCCGCACTCTGATCCCCATTGACGAGTTAACGTCCAAGGCAAGCGAGAAACTTATAGATGCGCAGGAGCGGATCGCCTCGGGCGAGTGCCTGGAAAAGGAGCCCTGCATACGCGACCTCCTACTCGTCGAGCTGGTAAACTGGTTCAATACCGAGTTTTTCGAATGGGTTAACAACATTCCTTGCCGCGTGTGCGGAAGCGATGAGAGCAAGCTAAGACGCACGGAGCGTGTCGGCGATGTCCGGGTGGAGGTCACCGTATGCTGCGGCCAGGAAAGCAAGTTCTACCGTTACAACGACATCTCTCAGCTTCTGGTCTCTCGCAAGGGACGCTGCGGAGAGTATGCTAACTGTTTTACATTTATGTGCCGCTGCCTGGACTACGATGCTCGTATTGTACACTCCCACTTCGACCACGTATGGACCGAGGTGTATTCGGATGCTCAGATGCGCTGGCTGCACGTGGATCCATCTGATAATGTTGTGGACTCTCCGCTTATGTACCAGCATGGTTGGAAGCGCAGCATTGATTATATACTCGCATACTCGCGGGACGACGTTCAGGACGTGACCTGGCGTTACACAAACGATCACCAGAAGATCCGACAACTTCGGAGGCTGTGCGATGAAAAAGAACTGGTGCATACACTGGACGAGATTCGCATCAAGCGGCGTAGGAATTGCACCGCCGAGCGGCGTAGGTTACTTAGTCAGCGGAACTTGTATGAAATTATCGCCTTGACCCTCGAGCGGTAAGTCACAGCAACCACCTTTAAAAGGGAAAAATATTCATCTCAAGTTATTAATGCTATTCACCTGTTTGCAGCCAGCCGACTGAGAACGAACTGAAGGGCAGAAGTTCCGGAAGCCTATCTTGGCGTCAGTCGCGCGGCGAGCATACTTTCACCAACGTGAGTGAGCTTAAGTTAATTAAAGTATAACATAATTCGTTTTTTTTATTTGCAGATTTTTGTTTTCACCCCAAATGAACCTGAGCTCCGTAACCGAAAACTAAATGTCCGTTACAGCTGCGCCACAGATACCTACGAACGCTACACCAGTGGTGAGTAAACATAAATGAAATGCAAAGATTTCCATGCACTTATGGCAAATTTTCTATGCCTATAGATGCAGGAGGTGTAACTGTTCTGGAGACTTATAAAACCTGGCAAAGGGCTCAGTTTTCCTCAAAGAACATTCTTCGAAAAGTAGAGCGCGATTGGAAAATGGCATACTTAGCGCGACTCGAGGACACCGAATACGGAGAAATCGTTTGGAAGTTTGATTTCAGCAAGGCTAGCCTGAAAGTAAAGTCCTATAAGTTGGTCTTCGAAACGAAAACGTTTGGCGAGGGAAAAATCGATGTTTCTGTTGCGACCATTGATGGGACTGTTTCTATTGAGAACTCTAGTGGATTCCAGATTGTAGCCAAGCTTAGCGGTGGCAAGGGCGACGTGGCGTGGCAACACACCCAACTTTTTCGACAGAGCTTGAATTCCCGAGACTACCCGTTCGATTTGCAGGTGGAGCTGCACTAGGACCTGTGCAGAAGTAGAGTGATGGGTATTAATTCCTAAACAATATTTTAAAAAAACCTGTACGATAACCCAATTGGTTTAAAGTATTTACTGTACTGTAATACAAATTTATATTATAAATTTATGCAATTATGGTACCTATTACTATTGAAGTCAAGGTGCAATGCTCCGGGGAAAAAAAAGAAAAGGAAACTTATCCGAGAAGTACTTCCTTAACCGACAAAATATAATTTTCAATAGTAATTACGACAGAAACATTCGTAGAAATATTAATTTTGGCTAGAAGTAACGATGGGTCAAGAGTTTCGTAATTCTGACGATGCAAAAAATATCACACGAGGTAAGAAGGAGTCTCTGCACACTAAAAATGTAAGTACTCGAGGCAGCTAAGAACATTATAATTTTCAAGGATGTTAAATCTCGTTGTGCCTGCATATACATACTTAAATATTTAAAACTACAAAACGGATTGTTAGGGCTTTTGCTGAATAGCAAAGTTTTATATATGCATGCATAATAAAATATGGGAACACTGATAACTAGAAGTTTCTAATGCGTCCGTCAAAATCCGTTGCGTAGTGTTATAGATTTAGGTATATATAGATTTAACGACTGCATCTGGGACTGATCTATATATATATATATATATATAGCTCCGATTAGGAAACTATGGCCTTCAAAAAGGAATTAGAGCTGGAAGGAATATGGGAATAGTTTTCTACGATAAGAGATACAACTTAAAATTTTCTTTAAGTCTGCTCGTGTACATTTCAACATTGAAGGAGGCACCTCAGACCATATAAAGTAGATATATTCTTGATGAGGATCAACAGCCGAGTCGATCTAGACATGTCCGTCTGCCATTCTGTCCGTCTGTCTGTTTCTACGCAAACTAATCTCTCAGTGTTGAAGCTATCTGAATGAAACTTTGTAGTTAGTCTTCTATATACTCTCACTCGTATGTCGGAATGGGCCGAATCGGACGACTATATCATATAGCTCCCATAGGAACGATCGATAAATTAATACAGTTAAAAATTATTATTAATTATTAACTTTTTTAGTTTTCAACAGTTTTTGATTAAATTTAAGATATAGCTATTTTATATTATTCAACAATTTTGTGTACAATTATATGAAAATCGGACTACTATGTCATATACTAGCTCCCATAGAAACGATCGAGAAATTAATACAATTAAAAATTTTACCTTTTTTAGTTTTGACCAGATTTTCATTAAATTTGAGATATAGACATTTTATATTAGTTAAATTTTATGTAAATCTGACGATTATATCATAAAGGTGCAATACAAACGATCGTTAGATGTAGAGGAAAAATGCAAATCTGTGAATGTAAATTGTAAATATAATATGCATAGGTGAATGAAATGAATGCAGGTATTACTTCATTGTTTTTTAGCATAAATATATATAATTTATATTGTATGGATTTCTAGCCATCGAAGCTCTATCTGCAAGGGTATATAAACTTCGGCGTGCCGAAGTTTGCTTCCTTTCTTATTTTTAATTGTACTAAATTCTCGATCGTTCCTATGATATATGATATAGTAATCAGATTTTAATAAAATTGTACAGTAGCAATCTAATTCTCATAGAGACCAGACGTCTACTTCTCCACCTTAACTGCAATCAGAAAACAAACAAGTAAAAACCAACAAAAACTACTGCAAGTGCAATACAAAAAACCGAAAATCTACGAACGGTACAAGACAGAGTCGTAGAGATGGGGGACCCCCCATCAATAACTGTAACAACTGGACAGCTCTTGAAATCCCCAGGACCTAAATATATAGTTATCTCCAGATCTCACACCGGCCTCGACCTCAACAACGTCAACCCTTTCCTTGTAAAAAAACAAATTGATTTTATCCTGTGGCGGCGAAATTAATGAGTGCAAGAAACTCCGCAACGGATCGCTGCTCATCAAAACAAAAACAAGCGTACAAGCTTTGAAACTTATGCAGCTTAAAGTTTTCGCTCCCACCATCAGCGTCACAGTCAGTAATGTACTCCAACGACCTAAGAGGAATTGAAGTGAACACAATAGTACAAGAACTACCGGCACAACAAGTTACAGACGTTCAAAAAATATTAATACGAGACAACGGCGCTCTTAAGGAGACTAGGTCCTTTAATTGTCACCTTCAGCACACACAACCTTCCCGACTTCCTTATGATTGGCTACCAAAGAACAGCTGTTAGGGCCTATATTCCTCTGCCGTTAAGATGCAACAATTGCTTCAAATTCGGCCACCTCAACAAATTCTGCAAAAACAACAAAATTTGCTACCCCCTGCGGATTACCCTCTAACTAAATCCCCAAACAAATCTATTAAAATCCTAACCCTAAACACATCTAAAGGAATCATTGCCTTTATGAAAAAAGATGCTATAAAACCTTACCAAACACCACCAAAATTAACTCTGACGCATCTAGCGACTAAGGGGAAATGGACACCTATTAAACAAAAACAAGATACACAACTAATCTAAAATATGTTAAAAATACTACAATGGAATATCAAAGCCCTTCAGTATCACATGTCATCAATACGCCACTGTTATCAACAGTCATCAATGCGCCGACTGCGACTTCTACCGAACCGACGCTCTGCCCACAATACAGTTACGACGGCAGTCGTCGGCAGTATCATGGCGTGGCCGTTGATGTTTATATTGAATGCATTATATCTGGAGAATATTGTTCCAAAATTTCAAGGCAATTAAAGCAAAATTGACGAAGTTATGAGTGTTTTTATACTTACCGGATTTTCGTTTTACACTTTTTTTGTGGTTAAAACTTTAAAGCGCTTTTCTCACAACTCACGTTTTCAAAGTCGGTGCCAATCATAACTTCAAAACTCCTGCACCGATCCTTTTAAAATTTTAAACACTATTAAACACGTTGTCGAGTTTTTTATTTTTTTTTATAATTTTGATTTTATAATGACAAATTAGACGAAAAATCATGTTTTTCACTTCAAAAATGGAATTTCAAAAAAACTCGACAGGCCTACCTGGGGTATTCTATAATTTTACGAATGAATTTGGATTTTTTAATTTTCATTGATCCGGAACCGAGTTATGAATGGCACCGCAATTCAACTTTTTTTTCGAGACACGTCCGGACAGGTGCTACCATTGCCATATTTTTATACCCTTGCAGGGTATTATAATTTCAGTCAGAAGTTTGCAACGCAGTGAAGGAGGCACCTCCGACTATATAAAGTATATATATTCTTGATCAGGATCAACAGCCGAGTCGATCTAGCCATGTCCGTCTGTCCGTCTGTCCGTCTGTCCGTCTGTCCGTTTCTACGCAAACTAGTCTCTCAGTTTTGAAGCTATCTGAATGAAACTTTGTAGTTAGCCTTCTATATACTCTCACTCGTATATATGTCGGAACGGGCCGGATCGGACGACTATATCATATAGCTGCCATAGGAATGATCGTAAAATTTTTACAAAAAAATTTTTAACTTTTTCAGTTTTCAATAGAATTGGATCAAATTTAAGATATAGCCATTTTACTATACTCTACAATTTTGTGTAAAATTTTATGAAAATCGGACCAATATATCATATAGCTCCCATAGGAACGATCGAGAAATTAATACAATTAAATTTATAACTTTTTTAGTTTTCAGCTAATTTTCATCAAATTTAAGGTATAGCTATTTTATATTAGTCTTAAATTTTTTGTCAAATTTTATGAAAATCGAACGACTATATCTTATAGGTGCCATACAAACGATCGTTTGATGTAGAGGAAAAATGCAAATCTGTGAATGTAAAACTGCAAATATAATATGTATAGGTGAATGAAATGAAAGCAGGTATTATTATTCATTGTTTTTTAACACAAATATATATAATTTATATTGTATGGATTCCTATTCATAGAAGTTCTATCTGCAAGGGTATATAAACTTCGGCGTGCCGAAGTTAGCTTTCTTTCTTGTTAAATATTTCTTTATAAATATGTTACAAGACATTCTTCGAATGTTATACTTTAATTTGCCATTCGTTAAATAAATACATTTTAACTGTTTCGACGAGAAACAACAAACAAATTCTGATCCATTCTGCCCACCTAACCATACCTCAGAACACCACCTTCTCCCTCCCTCACACTGTTCCCCGGTAGAACAAAAACATTGCACTTCTAAAAAAAATAAAAACCTCAAATGGAGAACCCTAAAAAACAACATCAACATATAAAATATTATCGAATACAAAAAAGCTAATGCCATTTTCACAAGATCCATTAGGAAAGCCAAAAAATCCTCCATCACAAAATTCACCTCTGAAATCCATCCAAACTCCGACCCACAAACATGTGGCTCTGTGGAATGCACCCAACAAAACTCCCCAACAGCCCTTAAAATAGAAAAAAATATTACACTTATAGAACTAAACTCAGCCATAAACTCATTAAAAGGACACACACCAGGTCTAGACCGCATTTCTTACACAATGATAAAAAGTACACCCATCTCCTTAAAATAAAGTCAGCCTTGTTCCACTCATCCCTCATTTCCCTCAACCCTTGCATGGCCAAAGTTCTGGATGAAATCCTAGCGAAAGGGTGATTTGTTTTAACAAACAAACTCATACATCACAACCAATTCTTTAAAAGAGGCAAATGTGTTCTAGATAGTCTACTTTACGTAGACCACCTTGCAACCAGATCCTTGTCTCAAAAAAAAAACATAAATCAATACTATCTCTTGACTTCTATAAAGCCTTCGACAAAATTGGCATCCGCACTCTCATCCGCCAGTTGGAGGAATGGAAACTAGGCCCCCGCATAATAAAATACGTCCACAACTTCATTTCTAACCTAAAAATGATAGTCAGAAGCGGCACATCTCTCACCCATAGCTTCCCCCTCAATAACGGTATCCCACAAGGAACCCCTATTTCAGTCATTCTGTTCCTAATATCCTACAACTCCCTTACCAACATTATCTCCCTTTCAAAACACATCAAGTTCACTGCCTACGCCATCTAATAATCCTAAAAACCCTCAAAATAACCTAACAACCCTAATCCAGCAAATCCGAGAATGTTGTTCCTCCTCTGGATAATCCCTTTCTCTAGATAAAAATTAACAATCTATATAACTGGAATTCACACATAAACAACCTAAAAACATCCCTCTCCAGTCCCCTTAACATCATTAAACACCTCTCCTCAAGGAAATACAACTGCAACACAGTCTCCCTCATCCAAATCACAAACTCCCTCCTCGTCTCCAAAATAGATTACTGCTCAAATCCTGTCAAAACTCAGCAATAAGGGCAGCCCTTGGTGCTTTCAGAACAACGCCAACGAACAATCTTCTGATCGAGTCAAAAATAAGCTAACTACTATAACTATTGAAATCAGACAGAAACTCCATAAGGACAAACTTGCTCACTCTCATGACTCCCCAATTGGAAAATTCCTGAAACCAACAAGAAGAAAACACAGGTACCCCAGCAGAATTGATAGAATCATTGACTCCTGCAAAACCCTATCCCTCCAACTCTCCCCAGCTAAAAACTACCCATACAAAAATACAACCCAGAAATAATCCTAAAAGCCACAAACACATCCCTATCCCATTACAACAAAAACACCACATCCCCCATAGCCTACCACCAACTCTTGCACATCAGGAAAATAAACACCAAACTCTTCCCTAAAATTAAACTAATCTGGATCCTAAGCCACAGATAAAAGGTAAAGAAGCCGACAAGACAGCCAAGGAAGCTCAGAAATATCGATTCATAGTAACTAACAACCTCAACTCCAAACACATCACGCAACATGTAAAAAAATACTACACTCGCATACAGAAAGATCTGGCAAACCAAACGTCCCAATGGTACAAACAGATCTCAACACCTCTCCAAACTTCTGTCGCAAAACCACAAACCTTAACAGACAACAACATATAATAATCAATCTAGGACCCACACAACTCACAAACGCCCACTTTATGGAAAGAACTCTCAAAAACACTTTCCCCTTATGCAATAATGCCGCAATAGACATACAACACATATTAATCAATTGCACTGCATTTTCCCAATAAAGAATCACATCATTCTCCTGGGAAAACCCAACCCAACTTCTTGGAAACCCAACAACAGAAAATTCTAAGAAAATCCTCTCATTCCTCCACAAAGCCAACCTCACCCATAAAATCTAACCTTAAGCCCATCATATAACATTAAAACTGTACATACTTGATCGAGCGGTAGGCCTCAGCAGCCAAGCTCATAATTTTAAGTTAGTCTTGTAGGTTTATAACAAACCGCTAGCTTTATATAAATAAATGAATAATAAAATTGCAACCGAAATTTTAGAATAATACAAGAGATAACACTGTGCAAGTGTATCAAAATTACACAGATCCGGATACAGATAAATAATGAGCCTTGCTATGAGCTACCTCACCTTTTTTCTATGAATATTACATTTCATTATTTCTAATAACAGAACAATTAAAATTAACATGATGCACGAAATTATTGAACCTTTTATAAGATATGACCACATTATTTAAATATGATTATAATTTCAATTTGGCGCATTCTTTAAAATACTTAGGGATTAGTTAAATGACTGTAAATAAAGAAAAGCAGGGTGCATAAGGTGTCCGCACATTTATTTTTTGTTTACTTTAACATCTTGTACTACACAATATATTTAGGCGCGAATTGTGTACACTTTTCCATGCAATTTAAAAGTTTCACCGAGCTAACCATTTTGTTTCGTATGTTTCCCACAGACATTATCATGTCGGGTAAGCCATAATAAATGATAAGATTCTATATATTATATACGTATGTATTTCCGGTGTGATTCCCAATTAATGTCCAAAATGCAAAACCCTACAAATACCAATTTAAAATCGATTTTGGATAACGCTAAATCAGCTATTTAGCTTTTTAATGAATCACAAAGAAAATGGCTCCCAGAAAATCATTTAGGTAGCTAGTAGCTACTAATGTTGACCCACTTTTGATACTGTTAATCTCGAATGAGGAAATATAATACAAAAAATACTTCGTAGAATGATGATCATATGTAATCTCCGAAGACGTACTTAGAGGTGAGGGTGCTGGTGACAGATGGTATTTGGCCATCCCTTAAAACAAAAAAGAATTATTCTTTGCAATTGCTTTGCTTAGAGTCAACTTACTTGGTTTGTGACTTGACCACGCGTCGCACGCTCGTCATTATGGCATCAATGTCGGACGTTTTACCAGACTTATCAAGAGCCTCACAAAGCGTCTGAATGAAGGGGGTGCCGTCCTCGGTGCGGTAAGAAACGTAGCCTTCGTAGGTGCTATAGCACTTAAGGATTTCGTTGGGGGACCCGTTGGGCTGGGCGGCATCCGTCATGAACCCGCCCAGCTCATTGGCGCCCTTGCAGGCCTGGACGAAGAGCAGCTTGGGCTTGTCCTTTAGGGTACGGTTGCGCAGAATGGGGAAGACCACGTCGTAGTCCAGTGAATAGTCGTCATCCTTGGCCGCGAGTCTGTCATGGCGCGTTCCATGGCTGAGAAACACGAGGACCAGAGCACTCTTGTCTCCAAAGTCCTTTGTTTCCACTGTATGAAAAGATCCATATGCTTATGTAGGCTACATTAATGTACATCTAAGTCGCATACTTACGCGTTTTCACTGTGCGTTTGAGGGTGGCCAATGTGGGGTCGGTAATTACCTCAACCTTGCATTTCAGCCGCTCAAAGGTGGACCGCAGGGCCTTCACATCGTTAGCACTTCCAGCGCGGAACTCATTTTTAGTATCAAAACGCTCATTATTGAATATGTACACTCTAGCCGGCTTCAGCTTGGTTTTTGTTAGGCTAGACTTGGTGCTCGCTGCTCCGATGGAGCTGAGAGAACCCTGGGCGTCCAAGCCACTGAAAGTGGGCTTCGCCTTAGTGGAGGACGCAGAGGAGCCAAGGCTTACGTAGGGCCTCGGCACGGCGGTTGACGTTAGCGGCTTCACTGTAGTCTTTGAAGACGTTTTTAAGAAGTTTTCGAATGCTGATTGTGTTGGCTTGGGAATACTGAGCGGACTAGAGACGGTGGCGACCTTTGGGCTAGGCGACGAACCTGTGATGGCCAGACTTGGCTTCTTGGCGTAGGGGGATACGTAGGTGGAGCTTGAACTGATGGCATTGGAATTGAACGGCGTCCAGGCAGGCTTTCCTTTGAGGTCCACGCGATGCGTCTCCAGATGCTGAGTGACGTTAAGTCCATTTTTCTTGGTAACTGTTGTCTGCTCCGTCTTGACCAGGGTACTGGACCGTTTGCCAGCGCTGCTGGCGGTGGCTTTGAAGGGCTGCGTGGAACGTAGAGAGACGCCATTAAGACTCGGTGGACGGGAGCGCGAGGTAACCGTAGTGGTGGTGGTCGTGGTGCCGGTGGCTCCCTCCCCGCCCATCCCCATCTGCGCGAACAGTGCCTCGAGTTCGGCCTGACTGGGAGTGCGGCGAGTCGTCGTCTCCGTGATCAGCGCTCGCTGGGTGTGCGTCACCGTCTGGCGTGTGGACAAAAAGGTGATGGTCTGTTTGTTGCTGTCGGTGATTGTAGAGTTCTGCACGGCCGTGTTGGTCGTCTCTGTGGAGGCACTCGTGGTCTTAACGCTCGTCCGGGGGTCCTGGGGCACCAGCGCCTGGCTGGGCCGGCTGTTGTCCTTCTCCCCCTTCTTGCTCCACCAAAGCATTATCGCTCCGGTTTTCGTGGGGTTTTTTATGTTATCTCTTTTTTGCTCTATTTGTTAGCTGCGCAGTGGCTTTCCAGCGCACTTCCGTTCGACACAACGTTCCTCTCGACACTGAACCTCTGAAGAAATTCGCATAAAGAGCGACCAGATGATAAGCGAGCCAACTCATCGGCTGCTACCGATGCTCTCTGTTCGCTATGTGTCAGGGCGGGAGGAGGAGGGCCGCGGGATCGGATTTTATCCGACTTGGTGTTAACTGGACTCCGAGGTTTGCGTTTGGCTCTCCGCCGTAACTGATAACCAAGGTGTTCCCGCGAGCTTACCTGTTCTCTCAAACACTTCCTAATCTCAGTCTCTCTGGTACATACATACATACATATGTCACGCAACATTCGCGAGCTTTTATTATTTAATGGAAACAATTGTATTATTTACGTTCTTTTCTGTTGTTAGTGAGTCTTCAGGTTTCTTAGTCAACGTGGTTTGTTCAACGTGTTAATACTCTTTCTTTTTATACCCTTGCAGGGTATTATAATTTCAGTCAGAAGTTAGCAACGCAGTGAAGGAGGCACCTCCGACCATATAAAGTATATATATTCTTGATCAGGATCAACAGCCGAGTCGATCTAGCCATGTCCGTCTGTCCGTCTGTCCGTTTCTACGCAAACTAGTCTCTCAGTTTTGAAGCTATCTGAATGAAACTTTACAGTTAACCTTCTATATACTCTCACTCGTATATATGTCGGAACGGGCCGGATCGGACGACTATATCATATAGCTGCCATAGGAATGATCGGATAATTTTTACAAAAAAAATTATAACAATTTCAGTTTTCAACAGAATTTGATCAAATTTAAGATATAGCCATTTTACTATACTCTACAATTTTGTATAAAATTTAATGAAAATCGGACAACTATATCATATAGCTCCCATAGAAACAATCGAGAAATTAAGACAATTAAAAATTATAACATTTTCAGTTTTCAACAGATTTTTATCAAATTTGAAGTATAACCATTTTATATCAATCTTAAATTTTGTGTAAAATTTTATGAAAATCGGACTACTATATTATATAGGTGCCATACAAACGATCGTTAGATATGGAGCAAAAATGCACATCTGTGACTGTAAAACTGCAAATATAATATGTAAAGGTGAATGAAATGAAAGCAGGTATTACTTCATTGTTTTTTAACACAAATAAATATAATTTATATTGTTGGGATTCCAAGTCATAGAAGTTATATCTGCAAGGGTATATAAACTTCGGCGTGCCGAAGTTAGCTTCCTTTCTTGTTGGAATTGAATTATTATATCCAGATTCTTTCTCTTCTCAATCCTTAAATAGGACATGAGTATAATTATTATATGACATATTTCTATTAATTTTATATTTGTGTGTACATTTCTTATTTAAAATTCATGTTAATTCATGTTTTTCAAATAAAATCATTTTTGTATATAGAAAGTTATTTTTGTTCTCATTTCCTGTTTTCCAACATTGTCATTTTGCTGACAAAGAACCAATACTTGAAAGCTTTTTATTTAACTCTTTATTTATCAGCTGTTTCGAAGAAAACAAACAATACAAAATTCTCTTTGGTGCAAATACTCTTAAATCAACAGCCTTCTCTGTGTCATTTCATTATTATACCCTTGCAGAGGGTATTATGTTTTAGTCAAAAGCATGTGACCGAATCAGTTCAGACCCTATTAATCAAATATATATATTCTTGATCAGCATTAAGAGCCGAGTTGATGTAACTATGTATATTCCGTTTATTACACAAATTCACAGAATTTTTCAACATTTTACAAAACATTATAATTTTCTTTTAATCTTTTTTTCTTTTAATTTTGTTTTTAGTTCGCATATTTGTTAATCATATAAATACTATCAGAGAAAAACTTTTCGAAATTAAATGAATACATTGTTGGCAAATTTATAATCAATTACAAATTCGCTCTTTTGGTCCTATAAAAAAAACAAGGGCAGCGATCGGTTTTTTAGTTTTCAATATATTTTTAATATATTTCAGATATTTTTAATATACATATATGTGAGATATTGTATTGTTTTAGAACTTCTGATACAATTTGGACTACTGTATCATACAGATTCGATAGAAAAAAACGCAAAATTTATAAAACTAAAACTTAAAAATTTTTCAGTTTTCACTATATTTTCAAACTCGTAATATAGCCATTTTGTATTATTCTATTATTATTTATTTCAGTTTTTTTTTTATGAAAATCGGTAAACTATTTTATAAACATGGCTGCCATAGAAATGATCGTTAAATATAGGGGAAAATGCCGAACCATGAGTACGTGTGAGTGTAAAACTGTAAATATAATAAATATGGGTGACTGTAATGAATGTAGGAATTATTTCGATGTTTTTTTAAAACAAAAAGTTATAATTTATATTTTATTATTATTGTAATATTATTTAATTAATTTTTTTATATATATTTTTATTTGCTGCACTGTGATTTAAATAATTATCTCTCTATATTCTATATTTTGCATAGATAAAAAATTATGCTTAAACGTAATACTTCGATAATATGTACAGAAAAAAATTAATGCCGGCTGATTATATAAAAGGAAATGGCTCCAAATGAAAGGCTTACTTTATCGAGTTTGCGAAAAATATGGTAGATCCCCCCGACACGGCCCACACATTAGGCACCAAAAAAGTTCGTTGACTCACATCACTGTGGGCGTCATTCTATAAAGTGACTCTCATATTCGTGGTCAATTTCTTGACTGGACACCACAAAATTGACGATTTCAGGCAAGCATTAACCTCATCGGCAGTCGTAGATTTCGGAGTGACGCGATTCAAGTCTAAACAAGAAAGGAAGCTAACTTCGGCACGCCGAAGTTTATATACCCTTGCAGATATAACTTCTATGACTTGGAATCTCAACAATATAAATTATATTTATTTGTGTTAAAAAACAATGAAGTAATACCTGCTTTCATTTCATTCACCTATAAATAATATATTTGCAGTTTTACATTCGCAGATTTGCATTTTTCCTCTACATCTAACGATCGTTTGTATGGCACCTATATGATATAGTCGTCCGATTTTCATGAAATTTGACACAAAACTTAAGACTAATATAAAATGGCTATACCTCAAATTTGATGAAAATCAGCTGAAAACTAAAAAAGTTATAAATTTAATTGTATTAATTTCTCGATCGTTCCTATGGGAGCTTTATGATATAGTAGTCCAATTTTCATAAAATTTTATGCAAAATTGAAGAGTATAGTAAAATGGCTCTCAAATTTGATCCAATTCTATTGAAAACTCAAAAAGTTAAAAATTTTTTTGTAAAAATTTTCCGATCATTCCTATGGCAGCAATATGATATAGTCGTCCGATCCGGCCCGTTCCGACATATATACGAGTGAGAGTATATAGAAGGCTAACTACAAAGTTTCGTTCAGATAGCTTCAAAACTGAGAGACTAGTTTGCGTAGAAACGGACAGACGGACAGACGGACAGAAGGACAGACGGACAGACGGACATGGCTAGATCGACTCGGCTGTTGATCCTGATCAAGAATATATATACTTTATATAGTCGGAGGTGCCTCCTTCACTGCGTTGCAAACTTCTGACTGAAATTATAATACCCTGCAAGGGTATAATAACCAGACTCTGATTAGGTCCTTATACATAGCAAAAATGTAATTAATGAACTCCAAAAACTTTAAAATTCTTTTCACTGATGGTGATATTTTCTCGGGAAGTGCCTCCGTGCATATGAAGTCTAATACTATGAAAAGTTTTTACCCGAACAAAAGTGTCTTCGCTGACTGCTAACTTACTAACAGCCCTAGAAAACGCTATAGATTTTGATTTATCACAGAACTTTTTCGAAATTGCCTTACTAACCTAATAATTATGAACTAAAACTAAAACAATTTCATTCAACAAAATATTCTGAAAAAGATAATAAACAATTTTACTACATAATGAAAAACGATTTAGCAGATGCTGCAACAAAAAATGCAAAACACAATGGAACTTTTATTTATTTAAGGTGGAGTCTAAATGATGCCATTAATAAAATTTTTACACAAATAAAGATGGATTGTGAAAGAACTTATAGTTTATTCTTCGTACTCTCTTCTACAACCACACACAACTTTCAAGCCAATGTTTTTAGAAAAGAGGACTACTTCAATCGTCTGGAAACAAAATAACTAAATCGGATTTAAAGTGGACACGCCTTTGACAAATACAGTCTGTCCAAATAGTCAACAACAACCCACTTTACGACTCATGCAACTCAATACAAGACCTCTTACAGATCCTATTGAAATGCCTAAAATACGCATGACCAAGAAATCGGTATCTCGATTTAAATACACTGACATCTATGAATTATGTAAACAGGAACCAATAATTAACTGGACATGTATAACTAATTCCATCCGTTCGGCTAACTTAAACATATAATTTATACTTTTTATTTTAACTCGATTAACCCGTTCAATACTGGGCAACCAAAGAAATATTCTTGTTTAATAGAAAATACAAGTTAATATTGTCTTTGAATATTACAAATTGTCATTTGCCGATGTGCACCACGTGTGGCCGTCCAATTTTAGGTCGTCTTATAGCAGGCATTATTAAAAAAACAATATAATTTTATATTATTACTTATAATAACAAAGACAATCAAGAAACGAAATTATTAACAACAATAGGCCGCAAGATGAAACAATGCACAACTTCATTTTTGTTGTTATACAGCGACGATCAAAAAAGAACAAAGCAAGAAGACCTAAATTCGGAAAGCAGCAGTTTAAATACCAATTCAGTTTAAACGTTGAAAATTTTTCACTTTTGATGGCCCTTGGGACAAAGCAAAACACAGTTTAAAAGTAACTATGCATTTTACAAAATGGGAGTTTATTTGTGGTAAGTTTTACTTTTCATATAGAAAATTAAGCGTAGGGGATTTTAATAAATATACATATAGTTTTAATCTAAAATTTAGTCATTGTGTTATGCTGAGGCGTTTTAAGACACTATTTTTAGTTAAAATGTAGTTACGCAAAAATATATGTGTATATATATTTAATTCATCATTTAGTTTAGATCCATTAACCTATCAAAGTTGTTTACACACTTGGTGTTCCAATATTACAACTAAATCATAGTGAATCATAATAACTTAAATAAAAAGCCCCACTGGCTAAATCGTAAATATGTTTGAAAACCATATTTCAATTTGAGTTAGTTTCGAGGCTATTCAGAAAACCAAGATCTAATGATCTAATGATCCCCACTTTTTCAGTGGCACTTATCGGCCACTATGGGAAAGCGCACGACGCGGATCTCATTACCATAGTCGCAAATCACGGAATCGCAGGCAAGCATCATGATTTTTGGGCACAGCTGTCGATTGGCAAAGTCCAGTTTGACCTCGCGAGCCGGCTGCCCTGTGCGCACATCCCACACGATGAGAGAGCCTGCGATATTATTATTATGTATAAAATAAGTTAAAAGGATTTGCAGACTTGAAAGCTTAAAAGGCACGTACCCATTTTACTGGTTACCAACAGCGAAGGAGTAAGCATCAGTAAGCTCGAGTAGGCATTGGAGATATTGATGGTGGTCAGCAGGTTGCCCTGGAATCGCTCCCACACGCAGATCCGCTCGTCCGTCCCCAGAGAGATGACGTAGCTCGGTGCGCAGGCAAGGCAGCTGACGGCACCGTCATGTGCCTGAATGTTGTACATACATGCGCCCGTAAACAGATCCCAGACGCAAAGTAAGCCGTCCTGTGAACCAGAACCTCCGGTGCCCGGTTGCCACCGGTCGACAAACAGGCAGGTAACGGGTCCGCAGTGTCCGTGCAGTGTATACTCCACATCCGTCTTGTTGAGACAATACACCTTTTCACAGACAAGAAAGACAAGAAAGTTAAATTGACGGGATTTCAATATGGGTTTGCTTTGCCCATGTACCTTAAGTGTGTGGTCCTGACTGCCGGTGAAGACCATATCGTTGGCAACCTGCATGCATGTTATAGGCTGCTGGTGTGCGAGCCGTACACTCTCCAACGTAATTTTCATTTCTTCTTTGGTGGTCTTCGGTGCCATATCCTGCTGGCAGCGCTGCATCAGTCCCAGGCTCCCAGTTGATCCAGTTCGGACGTGAGCTTCACAAGAGATAATTAATTTGTGAAATTGTATCAATTGGATCTCCAGGTATGACTTACTACGCCTGTATGCGGAAGTAAATCCCCAATCGATCTGCTTGCCCTTATAGTATGTCTCCAGACGATAGAAGTCCAGGCGTCCATTCAAACGCGCCACAATCACCCGGTCTCCATTCAGATGAATGTGGGTGATGCCTTGGTTTCGCTTTGCGTCCTCCTGGTAGGCGCACTTTAGCACGCCGGCCGGAGATTCCCACAACTCTACTCGCCCGTTGGCGCAACCGACTGCTATGAGGTTGTCAAAGTAGTCTAAACACCAGACCGGCGACACAGGTAGCTTGCGCACTAAAGTCTGCCCGTCCGACCTTGGCTGCGAGATCTGCATGTCTGAACGGGCAATGCTTGCCAGCTGCTCCCCGCTACGGGCATCCCAAACGCGGATTTGACCTTTGAGGCAGCAGCTAATGATGTAAGCCCCATCGGAGACCAGACACTCGATGCGGTGCTTATGACCAGCGACTTGCGTCGGCACGCCCTCAAGAATTTGCTCCGTCTGCTTGTGGGGCGCTTCGAACTCGTGCCAACTGGATCGCCACTCGGCATAGTTTCTAGTGCAGATGCAGCGGTAAAAGACGACCATCGTGTAGCAAAGCACGAAGATGCTGATGCAGCAAAGCAGAATAGCAAAGAATATTTCCATTGGACTCTTCGGGACCAACGGCATTCCACCCGGCATAACCATCGGCGACTCGCGATGCACATCATCATCGTTAAAGTCCAACGGATCTAGGGCAGCAGCCAAAGCCTTCCATTGAAAGTTTTGCTGCAGTTGCTCCTGCGGATTTCGCAACAGTGCAGCTAGCTCTGGAGTGAGAGCGTGGCTTAGGCGAATGCTGGGCAGCAGGGTGACATACTGGCCACTCAGTGAGACGTTATATTGCTTCATTATTGTCGACCAGTGAAAGTTTGAAAGGAAATAGTTTAGGTCAAAGTTAGGGTACCGCAGTCGCAGCAGTTCTTCGCCCGTCTCATTCACTTCATTCGTGAGGGCAGGAGGTGCATCGTTTGGTGTGGAGTAGGCGCTGCTACTAGGTGTGGAACTCGTAGTTGTTGTTCGCTGTCCGTCTGCCGTCTGCCACCCCTCGAAAAAGCTGCTGACAGCTCCTCGCCCCGCCTGAAGGCGCCGCTGCAGCTCCATAGTGGCTGTCATCGTCCCATTGCTTTGCATGCTGAACAATTGCTCTAGACACCCTGAATTGTATACTATAGAGCAGATCCAAACAATCATCCAGATCATAAAGGCGCGCTGAAAGAAGCGAGTACGCGCCCAAAAGTTCACAATCTTTATACGCTTTGGAATACGCTGCTCCACTGGCGAGTGTCCAGGGTTGACTAGATTTGACCGCTCGCCGACACCAGCGGCATCAGCAAAGCACAGTTTCGGATGAGACTGGGAGCGCTGGAAGGTGCCCGGAACAAAGGTTGATGGCATCGTCGTGGCAGCCCCGAAAAAGCGAAAGTCCTGTCGCCCAGCAGTCCCCTGAGTACAACTTAACATCATCTTTGGGAGATGCTTTGCTTCTGTTGTGTATTCGGCCCGTTTTATGTTCATAGCCAGGATAGTCGAGAACAGTAGCATCTGCAGCATAAAATCTGAAAGCAAGCCGACTATTGCAAATATGCAGAATTCCTGGATGACGGGTACGAATGTGGCGAGGCCAATAGTTAAAATGGTAATCTCCGTTAGCAGTGTCTTTGAAATGTGCCAGCCCTCCTTGCTCAAAGCCTGGGCCACGCGGATCTTCACATCGAACGTCTCGTCCATGGACACAACACTCTTCGTGATTACCAAGCTGTTCTCCAGTCCCACAAGGATGACTAAGTACGGGAATATGTCTTTTGACTGCAGAGATATCGTCAGGCCGAAGAAAAAACAGAGTCCTAAGGACATTGCCAGACTGCCAGCTGTAGTAAAGACACTACACAGGGCTAGTAGGAAGCGGGAGCGGAACACGTCGATCTTGCGTACTGAGAAGTAGACGTAGGCGAACACCAACATAAACGCCACCGTGTATGGTACTAGCTCCCACATCCTGTATTCGCCCGGGTAAAATATGTAGGTTATTGTTGACGGCTCCTCCGCATATGCAGATGACTCGGGCAGCGGCGGGTAGTGTCGGAGTAACTTGTCCTTCAGAGTTTCCAAATATTCCACGTCATTGTGCTTGAGTACCAGAGTCAGGGCATACTGGATAATCCGTGAGCGAGCCCGCAATGGGTAGCGCTTAAAGCCCGTATCCTGCATGGGTAAGCCAAAAAGCATTTCAGCAGCGGAAACTTTCGACTTTTGCAAGTTCTGGAAAAAGATAAAGTTTGCATAAAATTAAAGTATATTTTTAGAAGAGAGTTAAAATTAAATTTACTGAGTGACGATATATAAAGGGGTAAACATTTTTATACCCTCACTGGGTATTATAATATCAGTCAGATGTTTGCAAAGCAGTGAAGAAGTCATCTCCGACTATTGGATCAGCATAAACAGCGGAGTCGACCTAGCCATGTTCGTCTGTCCGTTTCCAAACAAACCAGTCTCTCAGTTGTAAAGCTATCTGAATAAAACTTTGCAGTTAGTCTTCTATATACTTTCACTCGGTATATGTATGTCGGAATGGGCCAGATCGGACTACTGTATCATATAGCTGCCAGAATAATTAAAATTAATCGATGACAAATTTATGGGTCTTTACATCTCATATTGACAAAGGCCTTATAATACATTTGTCAATATTTTTGAATTAATAAAAAATATAGAAATAAATAAAAGTAAATTTAAACAATAATATATATTCTGATTGGGGTGATATGGTTTTTTGAAGGTATTATGCACTACTGATCTGGTGGGGTTAAATGAACCCTGTATTCGGATTGAGCTATCCAACAACATTGTACACTTTATCATAATCAGAGCCCCAAATCCAAACTTTTTTTATACCCTTGCAGGGTATTATAATTTCAGTCAGAAGTTTGCAACGCAGTGAAGGAGGCACCTCCGACTATATGAAGTATATATATTCTTGATCAAGATCAACAGCCGAATCGATCTAGCCATGTCCGTCTGTCCGTCTGTCCGTTTCTACGCAAACAAATTAATCTCTCAGTTTTGAAGCTATCTAAATGAAACTTTGCAGTTAGTCTTCTATATACTCTCACTCATATATATGTCGGAACGGGCCGGATCGGACGACTATATCATATAGCTGCCATAGGAATGATCGGAAAATTTTTACAAAAAAATTTAACATTTTTAGTTTTTAACAGAATCTGATCAAATTTGAGATATAGCCATTTCATATTATTCTACAATTTTGTGTAAAATGTTATGAAAATTGGACGACTATATCATATAGCTCCCATAGGAACAATCGAGAAATTAATTCAATTAAAAAGTATAACATTTTCAGTTTTCAACAGATTTTCATCAAATTTGATACATAGCCATTTTATAAGAAATAAAAGAAATTAATAAAATTAAAGATTATAACTTCAGTTTTCACTAGATTTTCATCAAATATGAGATATAGACAATTTATTTTAATCTACAATTTTGCGTAAAGTTATAAAAAACCGGACTTCTATATCGGTCAACACTAAGTAATAATATCGTAGCGTATGAGTATCGGGTAAAAAAAAACCAAACAGACGTGAAACTCTTGACCATGACCCTAACGGACCTTAGATTCCGAGTCAGTGCGTAAATCTGATTTATCAAATTTTTCATTTCATTTCCAAGTTTCTTATCAGCATACCTCTTAATATATTCCGTATAAAGTAACACTGTAAGCTTTAACGCGTAAATTCATTTGCTGATTTTCCCTTATCTCAGTTAAAATATCCTCGATTCCTCAGTGGCCAATTTACTTGGAATCTTACATTACAATCACAGCCATGAAATATTTTTATATGCCGAGTTTTTAAATTGTTAATAAAAACTTTCCGCACAAGCTTATTATGGAACCGATAAAGATTAAAGCAAGGCAAAGGGTTATTTTTATTATTAATTTTGAGATTTTTTTAAACATATAAAAGTTGCGGTCAATGTTGTCGTCAAAGCAAATCGTGTCAAGTGTGAATCACTCTCCTGCGATCGGAGAGATACACATGCATATATGTATATACTCGTGCATCGTATCTTTAATGTGTTTAGAAGATTCGCTAGCTCTCAAAGCGGAGAGAGAGCTATTAAGCGGTGTGTTTTGTGTGCTTTTCATTAGCTTGAAACAAATCGGCTTAGACAACTCGGTAGCGTTCACATTCAAATGCATACATATTGAAAAGCAAAGGTCTGGCTTGTCTACAGTCTAGAGTCTAGACTGCGAAAAAGTGTGCATAACACATGGCGCTCAACCTAAGGTAAGGTTGCCAACCGCAATCAATGACGTAGTGAGACAGCCTAGTTTTAGACGGTCAACTTTTGCTCCTTTAAAACAGATCTGAGTTATTTACACAATTTGAAAAGAAATAATTCACTTACATGATACTGGAATATTGTGTTCAAAATATTTGTGTCCCGGGTGAAGTTCTGGGCATTTTGTGTCCATAGGTTGGCCGGCGAGAGCAGTAGACATCCGTACTCTGGGAAGATCTGTCCCAATTGCCCGTGAGCCCCGCGCTTCACGTTCTCCACATGCAAACAGTTATGTTCCAGGGTGCGTTGGCTGGGAGGGTATAAAAGGAAATCGAGTCAATTAGCATCTCCGTGGCTGCAGTCGGTTTTCTGATACTACTCACTTCTCGCTGCTTTGGTGATTTCTCACAATTTCAAGCAATTTAAAAACTTCGTAGAGCGGCGCACGAAACGCATCCATCAGTTGCATCCCCTCGGTCCAGGGCAGAACGCTTGCGCGCAAAGTTATCTGCTGGACGTAGAAGGCAGGGCTGCTCTGCGCCCAGGGTAACACTGGCGGCGGATTTCGGTCTGTGGCACTGGCGTTAGATAGAAGCTCAGGACCAACAGTCGCAGACTTGGGATCTCCGGGGGCTGGCTGAAAGGGCGGCTGAGCAACGGTGGAGCTACTGTGATTGTAGTATGCCGGCAGAGGGCCGGCGTCATAGGGCAGCACAATCTTGGTGGGTATTGTCCCGGGCAGCGGTATGTTGATTAACGGATAGCTATACAGGGAGAGTGGAAGCGAGAGAGAGAGGAGAGGGTTCGTTACTGGAAGTGCTCGGCTACTAATTGGCTTGATTTGCTATTTTAAGACGGGCGCGTGTTTTCTCACAGCCGTTCGTCATCTAACGCGTGGCTTAGCGGCCAGTAGGCGTGTTTTGGAATCCATCACCTATCAACAATTCGCGTTTTAAGTATTCAAGGTCAGCGGGCCATCGAGAGTTTGCCAGCGTCCAAGACAACAGGCGGCGGGCGCTGACCATGCCGCTTTGCAGCGATAAGAGTGCTGATAAGTGAAAAAAAAAACACTACGAGGTAGCTTCCAAAATGTACATCGCTCTCTCGATAAGCCAAGCATCGGCTCTGTTAATTTTGCTGACAGCCACCGGTTGCCAACTAGCTGATTGCGATGAGTAACCGGTGGAGCCTATCTCAGTTATATGATTTGTTATCAAACAAATAGGTAAATTCCCTTATTGGGACATTACATTTGAATACTAGAGCTACCCCAACCATAGCTATGGTGCGTGTGCATACGGCAGAATATTTGTATCTGATATGAAACACATGGAATAATTCAAGTTATGTACATATGTCCTCTTAGTCTAGACGTTGTTTACTAAAAATCAAAGGCATTATAGATTATCCCAACGTCGCTTCCTTAGTTTTAATGGAATCAAAACAACAACAAACATTTAAAGCCACAAATGTAGATATGATATTGGTACATACTTTTCAAGTTCAAATCACCAAAGTAAACTGATTTCTAGCACTGACGTACAATTAGGGTTCATGTGCGGGTCTGAAATCGTATAACTGATAATCACCGACATTATTATAGTGCAAATGCAGTCAATCTAAAAGTAGAATCTCTGCTTCATAGCCAATTTAAGTTTTATAAAATGTAGCCCCTAATTTGCCTGTCTTTTATATTTATTATATAAACGGTCGCGTAAGCGTAATAACGACGTTATCGATTATCAAAACACCAAACAAGTTTGCTCAATGTTTATGGGAACACATCAATCTGTCATGTTCTGCTGATCAGCCAAATCACTCCTCACAGAATGTTATTTTTGAAATCCATTATCAGACACTCAATGTTTTAAGCTCAAATGATATATAAACATTGGTTTTCAGAGCGTAAGCGCGCATTAGCCCAAAGCGATCCCTTCAAATGCCCTTATTTGTATTCATAAGGGCTCCAATACGATATGAACAGCCAGACATAGCTAAATCTACACTACTGGTGATGCCTATCAGATATATACATGTATAGAGTTCGTGGGAAGATGTCTCTTATGCTCTCCTGACTATTTTGTTAAACCCTTGTACAAAAGACCTTTAAATAATAAGATAGTATCTATAAAAGACAGTAAAAGTCTAAAAATAGAATATACTTCCAGTAAAAACTTTATGAAAATCCGTTTTATTTAAAACAAGAAAGGAAACTAACTTTGACACGCCGAAGTTTATATACCCTTGCAGATAGAACTTCGATCAATGGGAATTAAAACAAAATAAATTATATATATTTATGTTAAAAAAAAAAAAAAACAATTATAGTAAAGCCTACTTTCGTTTTATTCACCTATATATATTATATTTACAGCTTTACATTATCTAACGATCTTGTGTATGGCAGCTATATGATATAGTCGTCCGATTTTCATAAAATTAAAATTAAAATTCTAGAATAAAAAAACGGATATATCTCAAATTTAATGAAATCTGTTGAAAACTTGAAAGGTATAATGTTCAATTGCATTAATTTCTCGATCGTTCCTGTGGGAGCTATATGATATATAGTCCGATTTGCATATAATTTACACATACACAAATTTGTAGAATAATATTTGATGGCTATATGAAAAATTGATCAAATTCTGTTGAAAACTGAAAAAGTTATACTTTTGTTTTGTACAAATTTACCGTTCGTTCCTATGACAGCTAGTCGTCGGATATATACACGAGTGGGATTATATAGAAGACTAACTGCAAAGTTTCATTCAGATAGCTGATAGATAACTGAGAGACTAGTTTGCGTAGAAACGGACAGACGGTCATGGCTAGATCGACTCGGCTGTTGATGCTGATCTAAAATATATATATTTTATATGGTCGGAGGTGACTCCTTCACTGCGTTGCAAACTTCTCACTGAAATTAAAATGCCCTGCAAGGGTATACAAATAAATCAAATAATTGCTATAATCCGTATAATTTGGTTTGACACAATACTACGCCTATAATTAATTTCGGACATATCCGATATTATATTTCAGGACTTTAGAGATACAAGTTCTAATTGAACATTGTAAAACGTTTTTTTGTTCTCTCTTTATTTTGAACAAAAGTCCTTAGAACATCTTTTTTTGACTTCACCTCCAAGATTTTTAATAGAATTGAGTCCTGGGGATTGAACTGGTCAATTAAAAAAGTCCACTGTTTACGCTCAGAACCAATTTGATAATTGTTTCTAGTAGATTTCATAATACCGATGGTCGTCCGTGGTAATAAAATATTCAAAATTTCATTGGTAGTCATAGTGGATGTCGTTAATGGTCAAGTTTGACCAACTAACCAAAGCAGTCCAGTCAAAGCAGGCCCAGGTGAAGATTTTCCAGGGGTTCGTTTCACTAATTATTTTCAGGCTTACGGAGTAACTATAACTACTATATATTGCTATATCTTTGAGTTTATAATAATATATAATACTAACAACAAAATAGTTATAATAAAAAGTGATGCACTCCAAACTTGTCCATCCTTCTAGCTGCAATGCAAACATGCCTATTTTGGGTGTTTAAGATGGCTCTAAAACTGATAAACTAGTTTTCTTTTTAAAAAATGCAGACCTGTTCAAAAGACTAACATGGCTAGATCTATTCAACTGTCGGCGTTGACTGGATCGCACTTTCCCTTCAATGCGTTGCAACTTTTTAACTTAAATTATAGTACCCTGTAAGGGCAACTGCTAAATCAATCATATTGCATAAGGAAAATACATATAATTCCGAGTCGGCACTAACCACGAGAGCAAAATCGCCATGAAGGCAATACTGGACGCGCAGGTTGGATAGCTAGACAAGAAGAGCCCGTGCTTGTAGTAGAAGTGCGATACGGAGGCAGGCAATCCGGCAGGTGAGGACGACCCAGTACCAGCACCTGAGGCAGCCACCGACGATGGGACAGCGCTGGGCGGCTTGACGGACAGACCGCTTCCGTTGGATGCTGCTGCTGCCGTGCGCGGTGACGTCGACGCCGCTGCCGCGGCCGCCCTGGCAGAGCCATCTGTTGCGGCGGCCATGATGTCCGCAGAGTTTACACCAAAATAAACACACACTAGAGTAAGCGCACGAAGGAGGCTGGCCGCACGCAAACACTTACACGCCCGGCGTAGGGAGGGACAAAGAGCGACAACGACGGAGATGTAGACGGAGATCAAGACTCTGACCACGAACTTTGTTCTAGCGCGAAATACAAGTTAGTCTTGTCGGTGGCAAATTACGCAACTTCGCATTTGCAACGCATCACCTGCGTAGGCGACGCCACTGCCGCCCGGAGTGCGGTATTATTTTTATTTATTAATAGCGTCGATTCGCTGGCGCCCGGTGCTGGCGGCTTCACTTTGCGGTTGGGCTGTGATCTGTCGCTGGGAGCCCCACTGTATCGATACATTTTCTTACGCGCTTCCTCAATCCGCGGCGATTTGCATTACGGTTCCAATTCTGATTCCTAATTTCTATTGATTTTTCTTTTTCTTGCGCTTCATTCGCACCTTTGGCCCCAACGTTATTTGCGCCGTGTGCTTGTGGTTGTCTTTGCCACCGTCGCGTCGCACTTGTTGTTGCAATTAATTGACGTTTTCGCGCATCTTCAGCTCTCACATACACTTTCACACATAGGGGTTATTCTGATTAAAATGTGCGACATCAACGCCACTGCCACCGGCGCTCTTTCAATTAAAACAAAATTCTGCCCGGCCGCTGCGTATTGTTATCAAATTATGGCAAACGAAAGCCAAGAAATGACTACTTCACCGCATCAAGAACTTTTGTAGTGCAGCTTTTTTGCATTTCACTCTGGGCTGCGGCGCTTAAAAACGAACGACCTGAGGGATGATTACGAGCCGGCTATATACACATTACTGGGCGGTCGGAAGGCGACAAGTGGAGTCTTTCGGCTGTTAAATATATAACTCTAATTTGCACTAAACACGTTTTTCTCCATCAAGCAATTGCTGCGGCGCGTCGTCAGAACAAAATGCTCGTTCGCCATGACTCAACGTGAGCACCCTGTGGGCTCAAACAGCTGATATGTCAGTGGTGAGAGCGTGAGCAAATTCATAGGCCTTACCAAACATTTTTTTTCTCAGCTGGGGCTGTTGATTGATAATATGTTTATGTTAACAAATACGCTAAACCAATTTAGATCCAGTTTTAGTACGGAACGGTAATGTTGGCGGGCGTTTAAAGATTGCAGTTTTTTTTTAAGTGTGACCACTCTTAAATCTAGTTCCTTGGCATTTTTATCGTCAAGCTGACGCGGTCACACTTTATTTATAACCGGGTCTATTTAAAACGATCACGTTTAATGCTTTGTTTTACCCCTAGGCGCCTCCATTGGAGAATCTGGAGTATATATAAATAAACTTGGATTGAATGCAAGAATAATATAGCACCAGCGGTTCAATATATAAACTCTTTTTGCGAACCCATAGAGCAACGGTTATATATAGCTGGCAACTGAAATCCAATGGCATACAAAGTGACAGTGGCTTGAGAACTGGGAAATCGGCCATTTTACCCCGATTGCCCACGACTTCCTTGTTTATAATTCTACAGATTCCTCTCAGTTCTTTTTGATGCAATTCTATATGAAATATGAAATAACCCAAAAATATTCATATATTCTAGAAATTTAAGAATCATTGAAAATTTCCCAGAAAACATGAAAGTAGGAGTAGGAGAAAATATGTTTCATAAACGGCGACGTTTTAATTTGTTATATTATTGTTCTTATTGTTGCCATATCACGCCTATGGCAGCTGTATTACGAAATAACCAGCTACAGATATAAGACTATCTGCTAAGATTCATTCAGATTTATGTCAGAGCCGAAGATCATTCCTTTACTACGTTGTAACATCTTCTCAAAAAAAATAATTCCTTGCAAGGACCTAGATATTTAAAAATTACTCAATTCTACAAGTACAAAATTTATGCAAACATAATTTGATATTTTTCGGGTTCGTAACCGAAAGAGCAAAGTCAATCCGCTTTGAATTTGATAATTTATTATTTGATCACTATTGTCTTACAACTATTGAAATGTACACTATTGTTATTTATTGCTGTTTTATAACTTTTGACATGACACAATAGTAAGTCACAGGTTTCCATCGAACAATTCGATACATAAAATATGTAACTTTAAGAACGCGTATAAGTTTCAGATAGAAGTATAACCTCGATGAGCATACAAATTAGCCTTAATTGTTATTATGTACATGTCCTTGGCGAAAGACATTCACCTTTCAAAAATCATATGAAATATATTATATTTTACTAATGTTGGGCTTTGGAACTAGCTATAAAACATAGTCCCATGTGTAACTAAACGCATTTCGTAAATTGACAGGCATAATAGACGCTGTATGCATTCCAGAACCCTCTGGCTGGCCCTATACTAGTCTATCTTAGTTGTGGGCATTGTATACTCCGCCGACATGGCCGCAATGTCGCCCACGTCATGTTGATGAACTCCTCCTGCCGCTGCTGTCGCCTGGGTGTTGTACCGGTGCCGGATTAGGGCCTCCGTAGCCTCTTTTTGAGTGGCGTAGTCTGGCGCAGAGAGCTGGTGATATTGAGGCACTTCGTTCCCTGCTTCCGTCATACCGCCTGATCCATTAAGGGCGGCGCTGTTACGACTGCCACGTCCGAAAAGGAGCACTGTGCCCTTGCTTAGCAGTGGACAGAGCAATGTCTGGTGGCAACAGGCGAACAGCCGGTAATTAGGACCCTGGAATGGATCTGACATTGCCGCGCAAAGCATGTGGTCCAGATTAATTCCCGTGAACTGCGGGTAAAATTATTATTAGTATTACTATTTAAATTCAGTATGAAAAGTAGAAAAGTACACATTGTCCCTAAAATAAACCGTAAATTGGTAATACTATAAGATCAATAGAGATTTGGTATTGCTATTTATATCAAATTTGAGAGTCTTAAATTTTGTGTCAAATTTTATGAAAATCGGACGACTATATCATATAGGTGCCATACAAACGATCGTTAGATATGGAGCAAAAATGCAAATCTGTGAATGTAAAACTGCAAATATAATATGTATAGGTGAATGAAATGAAAGCAGGTATTACTTCATTGTTTTTTAAAATAAATATATATTTTATATTGTATGGATTCCTAGTCATCGAAGTTCTATCTGCAAGGGTATATAAACTTCGGGGTGCCGAAGTTAGCTTCCTTTCTTGGTTAAATATACACTTATTAAAAACCCATATGCTACTTATTAACTTCTGATAATGTACTAAAGGATTTCTTTTAGTACTTTTCTACCTACAATTGAGAGCGGGGATAGAAGGACGAAGTGGTAGAACAGCATGAAGGCTGTTCCTATGTGGGACCAATGAAATTCACCCAAATCCTCGACAGTGTAGGCGCCTGAAAGAAGCGCAAGGATAAAATTTAAAATAAAAAGCCCAAGTGGTTACTGTAATAGTTACCGCTTCGGATAATGTAGATCGGAATGATATAGAGGAGTGCATGCTGAATCCAGTAAGTTGCCTGCTCAAAGGGATAGGTACGGCCTTCCACTTCCGGGAAGACGAAGGCAAGAAAAGGTCCATTCAGGTTACTCATTTGTATTCGAAACAGCGCCGTCGTCGTCTTGGTGGGCTTTGCAGCCAGGAGATAAATCTATAGCATTTATATATTTGTAAATTCTTTTATGAAACAAGATTTTAATGTCTCACCTGCAAACACGTTTGCACATGGCAGGGATTCAGGGCGAAAATCATCGATTGGCCTGAAAGCTTAAAGCCCATTTCAATGCCGAAAATAACGGACATGGCGATTAATAGAAGCAGTCTCGTGGGGCTGTGCGGCTTCTGGATCTCGTGGAGTGGTGGCAACTTTATCGGGGCAAGTCTCTGCCACGAGCGGCGCATGATGTAGATGAATAGGGCAGACAGCAGAATCGTTTCTATCCATCTTCGCCTATCTGTCATGTAATTGATGCACTCTGGCCCCGTCGTCCTTGGAATCTCATCAGTGATACCTCCGATTGCCCAATCCCAGTCCCAGCCCATTTTCTGGCGTTAAGTTAAAACTTTGCAGTGAGATTCTGATCAGAACTTTAAGTTTCAATTCTACAAAGAAAAATGATTTGAATATACATAGTTAGTTATTTTTAAGAGCGCAATGCTTATTGATCTGTTACCACCCCTGTCCTAGTTTCCATTTAAAATTAACCACATTGCGTGCTCCTATCAAGGCAAATATAAACTATCCTGCCGCAGGGTCTGCAGGACATAGCCAATTACTTTTTCCCTGTACTTGGGATCAACAAACTAAAGTTAAAAAAAAGAAAATCATATATCTTATATATGAAAGAGTATACAAATAGTATATCCTGCCTTAACACGTTAAATACTGTTTTTAGGGTAGGGTAGGGAATCAATTAAAACCAACAATTATCCAACAACGATATTTAAGAATATATTATTGTAGTCTGAAGATGTCTTCAATGGCATGTTGTTATTAATGAAAAGAAATTTGTTTGGAAACTATGAATGTTGCCGCGTTATAGGTAAATGTTACGCAAAACAGATTTTCGGATGCACTTCAAATTACACCGTTGCTTAGGACACTGTAAAAATTAAAAGGATATAAAAATGGACTCCATGCCTTTGGTTTTTGTGTTTAATCCCTTTGCGATAGGTGTGTTTTTGCCTGAGCACACAGGAGGGAGCTAGGAAGGACTGGTTCCTTAGATGTCAGATTTAAACAGCAAACCTAATTTAACTCTGGACAGCGAAGAGCGACAGACATATAAAATCATGTCGGCGTTGACAGTTGCCGCAGCTGTCCGTTGGCCACCTGCCAAAGGCCAAAATACAAAAGCTGAAATGCGAAGGCAGAGACTTCTGACTACTGTGAATGTGTGTGAGCACGTCGGGCCTCTTGTATTTTTAGCCAGCCATGCATTTGAAGCACACTTTTGAGCGCTGGTCTGTCAACATTCGATGATGGATGTCGGATCAGGCCACGTATTTGGCCTAGGAGGTAAAGGTGCCGGTGCAGGCGCAGGCCAAATAACGGTGCATACCACACGGGGGGGAGGGGGTCAGCGCTCTCATTGGTATTTTCAGTGTCAAGAGCACGAGAACAACCTGACCGCGTGAGTGGGAGAGCTAAAGTCCACGCAAAGCGAGAGCATAAAAAGCTTCGAGCGAAAAAAGAACAACTCAGACAGACGTAAGGCGCTTATTAAACTAAGGCATGGCTGATTTGTGGGTTCCCCGTTTGTTTTCCGCTCTTCCGCTTTCCCACCCCCTTTTCGGTAACACATTTCCTAGTACCCACATTTCGCGTCCTCAGACTGCGACAACGACAAAGTCTGGCGACACTTGGTATTCGATTTTTCAATCTGTCAGCAGCGTACCTATTGGTCCTTCGCCTGGAACAGACCACGTGGTCTGGGTTGAACCTCTCCGTAAGTTCTCGGCTCCGCGATGCACTAGCACTGTCGACTATACCGACCGAAATCCGTAACTATCGTAAATGCACCTGTCTTTTTTCGCTCAATAACATTTTGCCTGCATATCTGCATTTGCAATGCAAATTGCGGGCGAGAAAAGTTAGCGAAACAAAGCGCGACGTTGGTGCTGGGCGAATGGCTGTCGACGACTACCACTGTGTTTTGTTACCCCGTATAGTCCTTGCAGAACTTTCTCTCTCTCTCTCGCAGTGCGAGCTTCGCTAAGCTTTCCCTCTCTCGGACTTGAATTGGGCGCCAAAATGTTTCCACATGCCGGCTGTTTTCGGTACACAGATGATATTCATAAGCGCAGTTACATATACATGTTCACTAACATACATATTCGACCATATGTATGCAAATTTATATATGTACATACTTATGTAAGGTATGCACTCAGACCACGGGCGGTTGCAAATTGGATTAGCGATGGCCGATGGTGGGGGGCGGACGACCCAGAAATGAGAATCACTCAGTGACGCCACAGTCTGTAGTTATTGTGTGTTATTTCTAAACTTAACAAAAAATTTAAAAATATTACTCTATCTTTTTATGCCGGTTAAAGTTATTATGTAAATGATGAGGTTACCAATAGTCATTATCGTTTTTATAAACTGTAAAGACTTATTATTTATTAATCAACAGTAGAGTTGACCTAGACATGTCCGGCTGTCTGTAATACAAACTACCCTCACTTTAAACCAATCTAATTAAAACTATCTAGATGGTATTTTTTCTATTGATTGTATGGTGTTTCTTCAAACACAAATAAGAAAAAAGTTCAACTTCATATCTGAGTTATTATTTTAAACCTTTTAAAAAATAAAAGAAGTGCCCAAACGCATTCCGTCAAAACTTGAGAAAAATAAATTTTTCCTTTTTAATTTTTGGTAAGTTACCATGGAAATGAAAATAAAATATAAATATATATATATGAAAGACCCATCCAAGATATCCTATCCCATTTTTTTATGCTCCAAAACATAGTAGGAAAAGCATGGTAACAAGTTATACTCGTTCACAGTTTGTAATGGGTAGTGCGGCCACGCTAAGCCAAAAATGCCCTTAGTTGTTTGAATGTTTTTCAGGTTGGTAACGTAGTTTCGAAGTCCTTGAGGATCGAGGGGTTTTTGTCGAAGGCAAGTGATGCAAAACCTGACAGCATGTGTCGCAGCCAGGCAATGGACCTGTGACAATTCACACTAACAGTATACCTTCTTCCGTGGTAGATGCAACAAGATTTTATACCTTTGCGGGGTATTATAATTTTAATCAGAAGTGAGTGGGTTGAGAACTCAGTGACGGAGGCATTTCCGACCCCGACAATATACAGATGTATATAATCTTGATCAGCATCAAAAGCCGTGTCATCTAGCCATGCCCGTATCAAATTTTCTATTATATTTTTATCACACCATTGAATTTTATACTTAACAAGAAAAAAAGCTTACTTCGTCACGGCGAAGTTTGTATATCCTTGAAGATTGCAATTAATTTATAATTAATAAAATATAAATTGTATATATTTCTGTTAAAACCCATCAAAGTTATTTCTACTTTTATGACAGCCACCTCTTCTTATTATACATACAGTTGTACAGTTACAGTTTTAAAATCACAGTTCGGCATTTTCGTTTATATTTAACGATAGTTTCTATGGTAGCTATAAATAAAGCCATTCAGAATGTGAACGGTCTAGTTAAGCTTGTGAATGTTGGTTTGAATGTTTATCGCCCGTTTTATTTATGTTTACATTTTATTTATTATTATTATGTTCAATTCATTGGTTCGGTTATACTACATTTTTTTAAAGAAATGTGTTAAATTTATCAAAATAAATTTTTAATTTATTCGGTGCTAAATCCGATCTTGCAGATTCAAGTTATTTTGAAACGTAGTAGATTCATAACAGTTCTTAGCGTACAATTATAAACAAATTATAATAAATAATTAATTAATTTAAATAAGATATAATCGTTGTTTGTATGAATTGTATTCGCGGCTGTAGCCATCGATTTATCTAATTATTTCCCGCCTCGGGAATTTTAAACTTGAAATGTTATCGTAATTCCGAAGAGTTCTTCAAAAATTTCCCTAAAACCACTGGATTCTCTAATAAAAATCCTTAGCAATTGCTTTAAATGCCATTGACACGTACATTTTTATTTATTTTTGCTTTTGTTTCTTTTTGCTTGCATTGTTTTTGACGCAGCTCAATGCATGTGACAAGGCCTTATCTGGCGGCTGCTGGACATTCAACATACCTATGCTTTCTGTAAAAAAATATATATTTATATTTAAATTAAGTTTCTGCAACACACTTTGCACTAAAGTACATACGGATTAAAACCGAAAAGAATTCCGGAAATGCTCTGAGTGACTTTTTCCCACTCACGCCATCTATGTTAAAGTCGCAAATAATTTCTTCTGCCAAGACCCTTTTTATTGATTTAGGAAGAGTTTTGTACTTCAGTAGGTGAGTTATTTCTTGAATCTGTAAAAAAATCAATCAATTAAACGGTCCATAGGCGCGGTTTTTGACTATTAATATTTCACTTACGTAGACAGCTTTTGTGGTTGGGCCTATTTTGAATTCTAATGCTGCCAGAGCCTCTTCGTTAGCGATCGGGAACGAAACCTCGCATGCACCACCTGATTTTCCCTTTAGAAAAACTTGTAGCAAGGCTGTCAGCTTCGACACCTGAAGAGTACTTTCTGCCAACACTTTTGTATTCGCCTTCAAAATGTTTGTGTTCTCCTCAAGCTTTTCCTCCAAAGCATGGACCCTCTTCGTCAACTCAAACACCTCATTCTTCGGTTGTGATTCATGTGTTGGGTTCAATGCGTGTTCCGGCTCAGCGGGATCTTCCAACACAAATTCATCTAATAAAAATTGCATTGATATAAATTAAATGCATTAAAGTTTATTTGATGTACTTACGGCCGACACCTAAAAATAGCTCCAATGACTCCTCCTTCTCTATTTTGATAGGACTGGCCTCTGTATCTACGTCCTCGATTTCCATTGAATTAAGTCTTTTTAAAGCGCATCGTCTTAACAGATTGTTCCTTTCTTTTGCTACTAGTTTTGAAATATGCTTTGAACCAACCATTTGTTGCTATTTTTAGTTCGTACTTTAGTCAGGCTGTAAAGGAGTTGGCAAGACCATCATATCTCATGGATATCATAAAAATAGACTTAGTACAAAAGTATTGCATTGTCGGCTTACCAAAAAAAAATTGAAAACGTAACAAGATAGACAGCTAACTGTATACCCTTGCAAATTGCAATACCAATAACAATTAAAACAATATTAATTATATAGAGTTGTGTCAAATAATAACGAAGTAATGCCTACTTTTGTTACATTCACCTACACATCCTATATTTATAGTTTTACAGTCACAGGGTTAAATTCACAGTTTTGCATTTTCCTCTACATCTTTTCAGTGGCAGCTATATAATCGAAGATTTTTTCCCTCCGATAAATATTTTATTTTTTATAAACAATTTAAAGCGGAAATTTCGGGGAAAAATCTATTTTTTCTTTTTGCAAAACTGCCATTTTGTCAAAAAAAAAGTATTTTGCTTATTTCTTCTATTAATTACTAGATTTGGCATTACTCTACCGATATCTGTTTCGTTTTTTTAATTTTTGATGATCCAGTTCCGACATATAGTGGTCATCGCAAAACGCCTTTTTTAAGAGGAGCTCCCGGAGATCAGCTGTAACTCTTTTCCAAATAAATATTTTTACTAGTTCTAAGTCTTAACATACAGTTAAGGATGCTGTGATATGTGTATACATTTTTGGATCAATAAGTTAGATTTTAAGATTTAAGATTTTTTAGGAAACACTCTGAAAAATTCATTTTTGGACCTCTAACTGTATGTAACCCCTTAAAATAAATTGTGGTTCATTTTGCAGTGAATTTCATTAAAATGTTTCTTCAGTGTAGGGGCGCTCGGGATTTTGGCTCAAAGTGCATTTTTATCATTAGCTTTAAATTTATTTGCACACTCCGTTAACCGAGTTTTATATATGCATATGTATGAATACACATTTTGCACAATTTTAATCAACTTTTTTATTCTTAATCACCACAACATAAAAGGGGACAATTAAAAACAATTGGAATATTGTAAGCTTATGCCTATTAGCTCAAAATAATCTGTTCAAATGAGTTTATTTAATAAATGTAAGTCACTTCACTCACTTTGTAATATTTTTTACATGTAAAACTCTTGAACTGCAATAGCTTGTGCAAACAAGAATGCCAAACAAAATTTTTCAGCTGTTCGATACTTTTAACCAAAACAAAAACAGAGAGGTGTATAAAAGCCGATGGTACTATCGATACTATCGATCAGTATACGTTGGGTTGTCAGTATTATTTTCTAACTTTTTCTCAACCTTAATAAATATGAAAAAAAACTTGTAATCTGGGGATTCCTTATATGACTAAGCGACTGAAAATATCGAAGACATGTATATATCATTTGTATTCTCCTATATAATCATAAATTATTTTAAACTTCTTGACCATTCATTAAGCACTCAAAATGAATGATTTCTACGAAGTCTGTAGCAACACTGACTTTTTATAAATTTAGTCTATATATATTCAGAGAGATGTCACTTAATGATTGAAAATACCGCCAACATTAATTTGATTTTGCTTTTAAGATAACGGAAATAGACAATTACGTATAACTGAGAAACAAAATATTATAAAATATTCCTTATATTGTCCAAGCAATACTTTTTGACCAGACACCTCATAAAATAATATGTTAGTTAATGTGGCTCCTACTTTTCTTTAAAAGGCGGGTTTTCAAATATATTTCGCCCATTGCCGTAATTACAGCACTGCACACTGCATTCATTGCTACAAAAAACTATAATATATAATAATTAATTATTTAAGAATAACTATATATATATATATATATATATATATATATATATATATATATATATATATATATATATATATATATATATATATATATATATATATATATATATATTTCGCACATTGCTATAATTACAGCACTGCACACTGCATTCATTGCTACAGAAAACTATAATATATAATAATTAATTATTTAAGAATACCTATTGATGCCACACTGGCTTTTTAGTAATTCAGTATGAATTGTTATGAAAACATCAGTCTTTACTTGCCGATATTTTCAGACATTCTTTCGCATACGGAGTCCTCTAGTTAATAAGCAATTGAAGTACGCAAACTTGTTTCTTCGCCGCCGTTCATGTTTTAAATGTTCCTCGTTATTTTTATCGGGAATGCTCATATATTTCGTTGGAAAAGGAAGAATTAGGGCTTGCACTGAAATACCATCGCATAGATACACATCTATTAAAATTCCGTCAAATTGCAGTGGAAAACAAACGGAGAAATTTTCGAAACGGCAAACCTTATAGCCCATTCTTTCAACTGATATTGAATTTATCTGTGTGGGAGGAATCTATTAGACCCCGTTTCAACTACCGTATCATTGCGAAATCCACTTAAATATTGTGATAAGCTAATTTACAAATTAATTATTTATGTTATTAAATTATTTAAGGACTTAATATCAGAGCGCAAAGGTTCTTGGGTATGTTAGTTATAGGTTTAGAAGGAAGGCTAAATCGACTCAGCTGATTATACTTCTAACTAATTTATCCAATGAGTACATTCGTCGATTTGACTAAAGACGGAGCCCAAAATATATATAAATCCGTAATGTCAGGTATGTTTCATCCCTGCCCGCAATGTGACCAAATTTTGATGGTCTTAGGTATTTCGTTCGCTTCATTTAAAAGTCATACTCGGCTCAAATAACACAAATAAAAGATTTGTCACTTGAAGTTTTAACTACATATTCCGAATAGAGTTGTAAACCCTTCACAAAATTTTAATATCGGGTGAAAAAAGGAATTCTTAGGCAAAGCTCCAATAAAAAATAACTCGGGAACTTCAGCGAGTAACAAACAAAGGCGTGCGCAACTTGTGTATAAGTGTGTGGGCGCCGCGTAAGGCATAAAACCAACAAACGCCCTGCAATGGTTGGGATTATTGATGAGGCGCAGCTGTTTTATCCGCTCGGGACCCGCATCAAAATAGCAGAGAACTACGGCACAGTCCGATATGTAGGCGAGGTAAGTGGGATTAATGAGCCTTTGACATATGCTGTGTCTGAGCCCGTGCGTTCTGTTTCAGGTGAGTGGACATATGGGCACCTGGCTAGGCATAGAGTGGGACGATGGTCTTCGCGGCAAGCACAATGGTGTCGTTAACGGCAAGCGCTACTTCCAGACGCAGATGCCCACAGCAGGCAGCTTTATAAGGCCGGGCAAGTTGGGACCTTGCGCGACCTTGGAGGGCGCTGCCAGGGAAAGGTACCTGAACTATGACTCGAGCAACGTTGATGAGTCGCTCATCAGGGAGGCGCAGGCTAGTCTGCAGGCATCCCTTTTTGAGGTCGTTGGCATGGACAAGATTGCGCGCAAGCAGAGCAAGTTTGAGCAGCTGTCAGAGGTGAGCGTGGACGAGACGCCGGTAAACGCAGCTGGATACCTACAGGGCTTGACGCAACTGACTACACTGAACGTAAGCCATACTCTGATATGGAACTGGGAGATTGTGGCCAGCATAACTCAGCAGCTGCCTTCGCTCACCAGTCTAAATCTGAGGTGAGTGCAGGTGCAATATAATCCAATCTTCTACTATCATCTCATTTACTTTTCAGTTCGAACCGTTTAGTATTGCCTACGGAAAACCAAATATCTGAGCTGCAGCCGTCTTTTCGTCACCTAAAGCGCATCAATTTACGCAACTGTGGGTTTTCCGACTGGAAAGATGTGATGCATACTGCGCTGCTCTGGCCGGATATTCTATCGCTAGGACTGCAGGAGAACTCCTTTAATCAGTTGGCTGTGGTCGATCGCCAGAGGATCTTCAGGCAGCTGGAGGAGCTCGACTTGCACCGAACGAATATAATGGACTTTGACCAGGTTGTCAAGCTAGGAAACCTCATCACACTCCGTCTATTAAACCTCATGGAGAACGGTATTGAGGAGGTAAAGCTGCCTGACTGTGATCCGTTAGCTAAGCTGAATATATTTGTGTCGCTGGAGCAGCTGAATATTCTCCACAATCCCATTTGGAATGAGGTAAGTTGGGACAACAATCCATAAGCTTACAATTTAACGTTAAATTCCCCTCGCACAGGCTGATGTGTTCAACGAGCTGGACAAGCTGCCGCAGCTAAAGCGTCTGAACAAGACCCCGCATTTGAAGTCAAATTTTGATGAAATGTTCTCCAAAGCTGTTGCTAGCATAGGTGGTCTTCAGTTCATAAATAAGGCCGAGGTAACTGCGGAGGAGAGGCGCGGTGCTGAGTATGATATTTGGAAGAAATACGCGATGGATTGGATGCAGGCGACCCATCAAGGAGCAGATGCCTTACGCGAGTTTTGCAGGAAGCATCGCACGTATGCGTCGCTGGTGAAAAGTATGTTTTCTACTCCCTTAACACGTACTCCAATACTTTAAACGCATCTCTCCCACAGAGTACGGTTCTCCGGCAGATTTTGTGCCCCGGGTTCAAGCTAAGCAATCGAATTTGATAAAGGTGTGCATACGAAATCAAATAACGGGGGAGACCTGGGATAAGAAAGTGCCGCGGATGATTACTGTGCAAACCTTGCAGGGATTAGTCATGAAGCGGTTTGGTCTTAGTGGAACCGTTCCCCAGCTGTCATACGTTGATGCCAAGCACCCGAGTCTAGTGGTTCCGTTGGACAACACTGCGAAAACTCTAGACTTTTACTCTGTGCAGGAGCATGACACGGTTTTAGTTCAGTAATAATAACAGCTCCCCAGTTGAACGTGGCGTCTACATTCTCAATTTCGTATTGCGAAAACTTGGTATTTTAAGCATAAGGCATTCGATAAAGAATAAAAATTTTATTTTTTACATCTAAGGAGACTCATCGGACGCCCGTACAATGTTAAATTACTAATGTTAGGCATTGATAAGTTTATTTTTCTCTAAGCAGTTATACACGCGATTTTATTATTTTTGCTTTTTCAAAAAGTAAACACGTTACTTAACCACTAAAATCTTTCATTTGGAATTGGGTTATTATTCAATTGTGCTTTGAGACCCTATCCGGGTTAATAACGGGTAATACAATACATACAAATTACAATTTCGATATACATTTATCAACCCCGAAGTGAATAAAAATATAGGCTTAAGACAGCAACGTTTTGAATTAATGGGAGAGTTTTTATATTTAGCTCACGTGCAGGTGTGAACAGTTTTTATATTATACTAATAAATTCATGGAGTCCCTAAATTTAGCTCTACTCTGTACCTAGTATAAGCCGATTGTACTTTCTTCTGCTTTTTATATTATTATTATATGCCTTATAAATATTTCATTTTAAATTTCTTAATGTTTTGTATAGATAAATTATGGTACAAGGTACTATTCACAAAATGCTGAAATGCCAAAACTGGAACTGCAGTAGAAGTGGAGAATAAATATAATTGGTATATTTTTAAGAGGGCTTTTGGTATATTTTATCTACCGATCCGTGGTCTCTCTGAATTTTGTTTTGCAAGATGCGCTTTAATTTCTCCGCAAGCCTTAAGTTGGTAAATACCAGCAAAAGCCACAAATTATGGTGTATAAACGTGCGTAGCTTCTCTGGCACTATTCAAACCGATGATGCAGTGACTAAAGCCGTGCGACCCCCGCCTGCGAAGTCCGCAAGTGTCGGAGAAAATATAAACACAGAGCAGCGCTCGCTCCACATTGCAGTTATTGGAGTGCCAAATGTCGGCAAAAGCACTTTCATCAACAACATTATCAACCACAGGGTCTGCCCCACCTCTGCCAAGGTGCACACTACCCGCCAGTCGAATACCGCCATTTGTACCGCGGGCCAAACGCAGCTCGTCTTTTACGACACGCCCGGCTTGGTGACCCAGCGCGAGATTCGGAAGCATCACCTGGAGCAAAGCTTCAAGAGTGCTTATCGCCATGCAATACAACATGCTGACATCATCGCCGTCCTGCATGACGCCTCGAATGGCTGGACGAGGAAGGAGCTCCATCCTACGGTCCTGGACACGCTGAAGGCCTACACGCACTTGCCCAGTTTTCTCGTACTGAACAAGATAGACACCCTAAAGTCTAAGCGCGTGCTGCTGGACCTAATCAAGACATTGACCAACGACAGTCTGACAAGTAGGCGTGGTGTTCAGAATGCTAGACATGCTTCAACTGCTACGGGGACTGATCAACCGGCTGGAGGCAACCGCCTAAACCAGCGCGAGACCAGCTGGGGCCACTTTAGCGACGTGTTTCTTGTTTCGGCCTTGACGGGCACCGGCCTGAATGAGCTGCAGGACTATCTAGCTGTCCAGGCCAAGTCAAGGCAGTGGAGATTTCCCTCCGATGTGCACACCGACGCCAGCCCAGAGGCATTGATTGTGGAAAGCGTGAGGGCACGTCTGCTGGACTACTTGCCACAGGAGATTCCCTACAATCTGAAGTGCGAGCTAGAGTACTACAGTGTGGAGAAACGTAAGCGTAGCAATTTTGCTCACAGTTACTGACTAACTCTTACTTTTCTTACAGATGTTGTATATACTTCCGTGCAGGTGCAGTGTCCCACAACGCGAATTGAGCGTTTAATCTGTGGCGAGGGCAACGGCAAGCTGCGCCAGATTACGGAACGAGTCACCTCGGATTTGGTGGAGATGTTCGGACAAGCGGTTTCTCTCACCATTTCCACGGTGTCTAAGGGAAAAAAGAGTACGGCCGAGGCTTAAAATTTGTGCTTCAAACATTTTTGTTATATTTAGTTTAATTACAACGTTGCGTAAACCTACAAATTCACAAAAGCTTCAGATGCGACACTAGTTTGTCAAGTTCATCAGCAGGTGCAGGTCCAAGGCCAAGTACTGTAGCCGTTCCGGACTCTAGCTGCGTGCGTCCAGCGTCCCGCACCATGGCGGCCACTACGTTCGACTCGTGGGCACGTCGCTCGAGGGTGCTGAGCTCCTCATAGTTGTCTACGCGTAGCACGATCTTTGGTTGTCCTAGCCTGCACCAACGCTGTAAGATTGCGTTCTGCAGCTTGGTGCCTTGGGTTGCGCTCTGGTAGCACATGACCGCTGCGTGCGCGCACTGAGCCGCAGTCTTGCCTTTCGACATTTTAACATCTCCGCGTACCACAAGTGCCAACTTGGTAGACTTTTCGAAGGCGACACTGTTTCTGAGGAACTTCTGCAAAATGCTACTTGACGTGGGCATACTTTTGGGTCTGCTGTTCCACGTACTTTTGCATGCACGCTCTGAACTCCTTCACTTTGTCCTGGCACGCCCGCCAGTCACCAGTCTCGGCAATACACTCCTGGACCTTGTAATGGAGCTCTATACAGCCCGTCTTCTTAAGCATCAATTCTACGGGATCCTGATCCGACGCTGCGGACATTTTATTCAGAAATTGGCTGGCTAAAATTGCATTAGGTGTGCCAGGTTCGAATTATGAAATTTTCTAAGATGTGACCGTTCTCTAGAATTTTAGGATTCTTACCAATTGTCAGTGTTTTAGTGTTGAGAAAAAAATACCAGCAAGTTGCCATATGCCAACACGTTTCACAAGTGTGGCTACCGTCGAGTACATAAGCGCGCAAAAATCGAATCCAGAACTTCACCATAGCATATACAAGTTAACGACGATACAGTTAAAATGTATTTTTTTAACGAATTGTACATTAAAGTATAAACTTTGAAGAATATCTTACAATATTTTTATAAAGAAATACTAAAAAATATGGCAATGGTAGCACCTATCCGGACGTGTCTCGAAAAAAAGTTCCAAATTCATTCGTTAGATTATAGAATACCCCCGGTAACGCTGTCGATTTTTTTTTTTTTTTTTTTAATTCCGATTTTTTAATTTTTTCGAAGACTTTGAAGTGAAAAACACGATTTTTTGGGAAAAAAATCGTCTAATTTGTCACTGTGAAACCAAAATTATGAAAAAAAAAACAACTCGACTGCGTTACCTTGTAAAATATATACAGAGATAGTGTTTAAAATTTTAAAAGGATCCGCGCAGTAGATTTGTGGTTATGATTGGCACCGACTTTGAAAACGTGAGTTGTGGGTAAAGCGCTTAAAAATTTTAAGCACAAAAAAACTTCAGTGTAAAACGAAAATCCGGCAAGTATAAAAATACTCATAACATCGTCAATTTGGTTTTAATTGAAAAAAAAAAATAATAATAATAAAATATCTTATCCCAATTTTATAAAATTTTTTATTTTATAACCACAACTTTAGTTGTTAATAACTACGCCGGAAAGTCGAAATCAGCTAGGATCATGACCGACTCAAGCTGGCCAATCACTGTCGTCATGTCCGTTATAAGTTATAACTATGAATATATGTACATACACACACAAGTTTTTTTTAGTACAAACGAGTGGCCCTGAATTTTCCCTTAGAAGTTGAGTTCGTCAGGTTTCCGGGAAAACTTCCTCCGTCCACAAATAATGTGGGAACTCGACAACATGACCGAAATTTGCATAATTCGGATGCAACCGAGCTGTCGGCAGACATTAGCATTAGCATTAGCATTACTGGCGACTGTTCTGTTTTGGGCTTAATTGCTGCCACGTTTAAAGTTTCTCCTGCTGCGAAGTAACAAAAGGAGCAGCGCCCACGGATCCGGTAAGTAAAGCTTGTTTATGGCGGGGGATGCATTATTCATGAGAGTCTGCGACGCGTGGCCAGTGAAAAAAAATATGCTCGCACGGCACGGCACTGTCTGCTGGGGGATTGTGTGGAACACTGCTCCTCATAACATGACGCACTTGTCAAGTGCACGGTACGCCAGAGTAATGTTTATAAAGTTGAGGTTTAATTCTGCGTTATTTACATCTTTGTATGCAAATTTGTGCTGCAAAAGCCGCCATTGCGCCATTGTGTCCTTTCATTTTCGCATCCGCTCGCTGGCTGATAATTGCCACAAGGACGACATTTGTTCAGCCAGTTTTCCGAACTATCGTGCTGTACAAATGAAGGGCTATAGGGCGAGTTGCGCTTCAAAGGCTTCCGTGGAAAGGTTTTCTCGAAAGCAGTAAGCTCCCATTGTTGTTTTCGATATAAAAATATCTCACAAGGAAATTCAACAGGCTTACGTCCAGGTCGGAAAATTATTTCTCATTGTCCTGCAGCGCTCGCGCCCACTTAAAGTCGCGCATTTGCATTTCAATATATGATGTGGGAGGAGTAGCTATTTAATATGCACAGTGGACACATTGAAGCGGAAGAACCGCTTCCAATTAACAGTCAAATGAGATTTATTTGATACCCGGCACAGTCATCCTTCAACGAATTCAATTTGGCGCCACAAAGTTAATCGGCAATGTGAAATGACAGATCAAATTTTGCAGCCTAATTTGCATTAGGCCCACCCACGCACCCCACAGAAGGTTGAAAGTAATTTCATTTCCATTGCAAAATGTGCCAAATGCGTGTGGAAATTACGTTTCATGTGCTGACAGGGCTTTAAGGTCGCGCTGGCCATGGGCTTTAGTTCGCCGTTGTGGGCTGGCCAAATGTTTACTTCGATGCAGGTCAAAGACAGCCAGGCCAGAATGGTTGCATCTGATCAAACAGAATCGGAACGAGTCGAGTGCCTATAAATACGCACTCAGCGATCAGAGGGAAAGCTTCTCGCATCTACTGGCAACCATGGATATCTCCGTGTTGTGGCTGTATCTGCTCCTCGTGTCCGTTCTGCTGGTGTGCCTGGTGCCCACGGCCGAGTCGACCCTTCTGCTGTGGGCTTGCATTTACCGGCTGGAAATCTGCCCCTTCAAGACCACCGTGGCTGGTGGCTGATCTGAGTAATTTTTGTTTACGAGTCGACGGTTTTTGAATAAATAAAGAACCCTTCCGAAAGCCACTTAATTGACATTCAAGCAAGGTCCTCGGTACAATGAGATATTTCGTCAGCTGAAGGAGAAGCTTCCCGCATCCGCTCCTGCTGGCGACTTCAAACTCCCTTTTACTTCTGCTTTCCGCTTGGCCTGCTGCCCAAGTAAGCGCCGAAGTTTGCCGCAAGTGCAAAGTTTGTCATTAGTTACTTGCACTAATTAAGTGCAAAGCTCGCTCAACGGCGGCTTTCACTTTCGCTCCTGTCAGCACGTGCCCAGATTACGTAATTTCAGACTCAAACTCCTGCCCACAGCAGCTCTGTCGGACGGAAATGAGGACAGGATTCGGACACATTAATGGATTTGGCCAGCCGCACAATGAAGGCAAATTGTTAAAATCCCCAAAATGCCCAGTCCCAGCTCATTGGGGAACACTGACTAGGTATCATATTGGGTTACGAAACCATTAAATAACATTCTGCCTCAGGACTCAACCCTTGAGACCCCGCGCAGTGACTTTATGAAACTTAAATAGTCACCTTTTTGGTTAGGAATCGTCTCAAATTATTTAAGTTTTACTTGTTTGCTCGGATTAGGACTAACGTTTAAGGCCTTGACATTTAAAATCTGGTTGCTACTTAATTTAATTTTTGAATCTACATTTCAAAGGTAATTGACGACTCTAAATTATCTGTTGTTTTTAAAAAAAAGATCACAAAAATGTCGCGGAAGTCGTACCTAAATGAATTTGTTCTGATTTGAAACATCAGTAAAAACGTAAGGTATATCCTTGGCTTATATGGTATTTTCTTGATTTTATTTATTTTCTTTTTATTTTCAAGTATAAATAGTTATTTTTACAACTGACGACATTTCCTTATTGATGTGTGTAACAACAGCCTGAAGCTCTACAGGATCTGGCATTTATTTAGCATAGGTTGATTGTCTACCCGAAGGGACTTCCGCTGGATATGTGTGGAATCAGGAAACGAAATGTTACAGCCGGTTTTACCCAATCAACCGTCAGCCCTTGCGGTGCCAGAGAAGAGGTCATCCATGCAAATAACTTTATTTGCATCACGGTTCCAAAATTAACATTTCGTCAGTGAGGCCTCAAAAATGTGCGCGATTTCCAGGCAACTCAAACGAAACCGCCAGCTGCTTGCCCCGCACCTCCCTTATACCGGATTCATCATGGTAAATGAAAATTAAATTCAAAATTTATATAGTAGACAACTCTCCCCGGGCTATTCATTTAATGTGTAACGAGAGCCGACGAAATCAATAAGTGATCCAAGCGGAGGCGGTCCGGGCGGTGTTTCCCCACTTTGCTTTTGTTTGCTCTTCAAGGAAGCTGACTGCTTGGACCGATTCAAGCCAATTGGCATTTAATTAGCGTGGTGAAAGAAATAACAAAATGCAAACAAACAATTACCTGGTGAGCAGGGCCGTACGACTGGCGGGAATGGCATCCGCCCGACCGGAGGTTCAAACCCTTCCGTACACACAAAGGACAGCATTTTTGCTGCCCAGCGCCCAATGGGGCTCTACGGAAATGACTTCAAAGCCGCAAACCGCAAACCGCAAATCGTTTTGGCTCTCAAGGGTAGCAACACAAAGTACAAAAGATGCTGCCAAAGTGGAAGCAAACTTTGGCCGAGAAAAGAAACGATTTTTGGTTTAAAGTTAGAGTTTAAATTTTCCAGTTATTTGGTCTCTGAGGGTATCTATGATGGCTGCATAGTGTGCTATCATTATATCGTACGTCGGAGATGCTTACTTCTGCCTTTTACATGTATATAAATATATATTCTATATTGTACTATACATTTATACGGTAAGATAAGGATTTTAGGCCTAGTTTTTCTCTTTCAAAGCCAAGGATGGCGAACGTTTAATTTCAGGTAGAGCATTATTGTATTATTTTATTAGTGTTCTGCTACCTTATTGTGGCAACTTAATCTAATCGATGTATAATAGATTTGTTTGCAATAGGTCCAAAACTGTGTTAGGGGGCGGTATAAATATTTCATTTTATCATTATGGATAATCGACCTATTATCTTTTGCTATTTTTAATAATAGAAATTTTAAATAAAACCACTAGTGGCAAAGACGTAACTACTCACACTCTTATTTGAGCGGAAAATGTAAACTAGTTAACGTGGAAACACTTGAACCGTAAAGAGTTAAACCAAAGTTGTGAACTTTTTATTTGATTTAGCTTTTTATAAGAGATATTTGAGTCCTTTATCGTGCCTTCACGTCCACGGTGGCATCACGCAGACCTTTTTCCAATTTCGCAACTACAATTGACCAAATCGCTGTTAAGTCAACTTTAAGTGTTTGAAGAGGTGTAAAAGCCCAAGGTGTGCAGCTTGGCCTGCGTAGAGGCGCCACAATGTAGCAAGCTGTCGTCGCCAAGTCGTGTCAAAGTTTCCGCCCCCGCTCCAAATGGCTTTTTGCTACTCGTCTCAGCCATCGACAGACTGGAGCCTGCGGGGTGGTGACCTCGGTGGGAGGCACGCGTGTGCGAACCCGAGAACACCTGACCTCCCTGCCTCCCCTGCGCTGTTTGACTTGCCCGGTCTGTAATTCAAATTTACCGAGTACAAACAGCCAGAGATGGCAATTAATTAAATATCACTCATATGCCAGGTAGACCCGGTAGCTCTGGTGCCCCCGACTGAGAGTGTGGGCTGCTCCCAGTTGAACAAACAATCGCGTGCAACACGTGTGAGTACCTAACGTCATGGTAGCGTGTCTGTATTAAAGCCCGAATCGCATACGTGAACCTTAAACGCTGCCGGACGAGGTTTATTTAGGCCCGGAATCCGAAATAGATATTATGCCTTGTAAGTCCCCGCCCATTACCTAATGCCGGCTTAGCCTTGAAGTTCCTGCTCCAAAGTAAGCCCGATTTGAAAACTGATGTAAAGCCAATAGTTCATACTCACGCACAACCTTCTTATATTGCAAATCTCTCGTAAGAGAAGCCTTTGGCAGCGAGGAGGTTCAAATCGGAGCCTATCATATTGCATCGTGAATATCTTTCCAGTGCAAAGGGTTATTTATTTGGTGTGGGATGGTGTGGGAGCGTGTGTTGTGTGCCGTATGGCGTTGCACGAGTAATCCATCATCCGGAGGCGGTCACGTTGTAGGGACAGTAGGGGGAGGCTAGCAGGCAGGCCAGCAGGATGAAGCATCCCTCGGCCGAGGGGGCCAGGAACGTCATGAAAAGGGCGATGAGCACCAGGTAAAAGCACACCCACGTAGCAATCATCTTGACTGATCTCTTTCCGAACTCAAGGGTGGACTGATAGTCTGCCGGCTTTTATATGTCAGCGCCAATGGAACTAATCAATCGTAATTGCAGCTGCAGCTATTGTAGAGAAAGCCAATTCATTCACAAAGTCAACACATCTTTGCTGAAGAATAGCACTGCATAATGTATTTGCTGGGTTTTTTATTTCTAGTTCTTACGTATACGAACCTATGAGTTCAGCTAAGTAAGTTTACCATGAGATGACGTCTTTCCCTAACTGTTCCTATTAAGTAGTGAAAGTAACGTCTTAGGAAGTGACTTAACATCACAAAATAAACGGAATAATGCTAAGTATTCCCTTAAATTGGTTTTATATTCAAGTTGAGACTTTGGGGTCCCTTTTGTTTTCTCATATAGTGGATGTCATCTTCAAACAATGGTCGCCGTTCTAGTAATACGTCATGTAGCCAACAGAACTCCTCACCGAGGGTATTATGAGTATGTTAAGTACATGCCAAAATAGATGCTAAAAATAAGTACAAATCATTAGACAGAAACAGAACCATCGCGAGAACGCCCAAAGTATTTCGTCTGTTTTCCATTGAGAGCGTGAAAGCGCTCGTACTCACTCATGAATGAATTTCAGTGAGGAGCCCCGGCAACAGATGGCTTCAAAGATGAATACAACACGAATATGTGCGGCATCTCCCCCTATTCCAAGCGGTGTGCAGAGTGTGCGCACTTTCTCGCACGTGGTGGAATGCGTTCGCTTGGCGCGCTTTTGGAACCCATCGGAGCTGCAGGCCTCAGCGCCGGATCCGCCGACTTGGCCAAGTTAGTCCTGTGCACGGATTCAGCCGGAACGGTCGAGGTCGCTCGCACTTCGCTCACGTCTCTCTGGGTCAGGCGAAACGTAAACGAAACGTAAAAAATCCCAATTACGAACCAAGTAACCGGTGTTACAAACTCGCTCCGAGGAGATTAACCCAATAGTGCTATACTGTAGTGCCAAGTTTTTCTGGGAAATTCAAATCGGTTTCCATCTACAAACTAAACCATTCGAAACTAGTGCTTAAAACAGAAAATTCATTGTAATTTTCTGGTGATTAGTGATCTACGTTGTTGCCGTCGCATTGGTAAGTATTTAAGAGAACATGTCTTCAATTTAAGTTTATGTTTAACTTCTTGACAAATTGTTCTTGTAGCTTTGCCGACAAATATTCGGAATCCATTTGTTTGCAGTGTAATCCCCGTAAACGTTTCACCCATTCTTTTACCATTTTCATAAATGCCAACAGAAGGCTGAAAGTTGTGATATTCTGATGACGGGGCGAAAAGAAATTTTTAATTATTTATTCTCGCAGGCTCCAACGGAACTCATTGTTTGAATGCGAAAAAGTTTGACAAAAGTAATTAAATTACGTCACGACGTGTCGTCATTGGGGGGCAGCAAATAGGCAAGAGGCAGCATCTTGGTCTTCTTATCATCATGACAACCCAAAAGTTACTACTCAACCCAGCTAATTTGCTTATCGTTTTCCTATGAGCGAGAGCCTTATAAATATTGTAATCGAATTTAAACTTGTTACTTTGGATTGCATTCCAAGACCATTTAGTAACAACGACCTCCTCCTCCGCCCTCGTGTTGTGTGCGCGATTCGTACAACATTTTATTCCATAATTCAGCGGAGATAATTCTGGGTTCCTAGGAGCCCTGTTTCCAAGGCGGTCAGTGCCGAGGGTCGACTCCCCCAGCTGGCCTTCGCTTGTGTGCTCCGATTGGCCTAGTATGGGCCAGCGGGGGCTCTCGGATCTAATTAACTTCGTACGTTCTCGGACCCGGATGCGGACGCAAACGCGGACCCCGACCACGATCCGGAGAGGAGGAGCCACATTAAAGGCAATCCTGGAAAGTCCCCGTCATTCTGGGATGTTTACAGCTTAGAATAAATAAAGTGTCTCAGGCCCGAGGATAAGCAGCAGATGGGGAGAGGAAATCCTCCGCAATAGGGCACAATCCCTGTCCGGATTCGATTCCGTACCTGTCAGTGTCACATCCCTCGGTGAGTTTCACGGTTGATCAGAGAAGTGTCTGGCGGGGAAATTAGCATAAGTCAATCAGCCGGGCAAATCCACATCCAGCACGTGACGGGGCCACATCAGCAGCGATCAGATCAAATTTGTCACTCACCTGATGCCTGATGGTGGCTGATGGTGATAGGTGACTCCGCTCAGGGGACGAATGAAAGAAAGTGTAATTAGGCGGCGCAATCAGTGCCACATACAGATATCCGAGCGAAAAGCTCTGAGTTTCCCTAATTAGTGCGTACACTTCGTCTGCTGATTTTCTTTGGGTTGTGTAATTGTTTGTTGTCGTCGCCACAATGAAAATTTTCACACATTCGTGGTGATGCAGCGTCGCGTTTCATTTAATGGCGAAAATTTCGCTGCCACACGTTGGCCACAGACTCCATGTGTTTGCTGGGCAGCGGCTCGACTGTGTGATATCCCGTGAAAAGCACAAGGAACCCGTCCGTGGCCAACCTCATATACCCGTCCATGCTACCCGGGCTTTGGCAACCCCTTTGCGGCTCCATTCGTTTGCTTTCGGAGACCGAAAACTTTTGCGGCTAATAAAATTGAAATAGCGCATGACGCACACACCGCGTATACGTAATGTGCCCTCAGGGCCATATTTGTTTAGGCCCTGCACTTGACTCCCATTTGACTGTGGCATTTTCTGCGGGCAGCGGTGCGTGGCATGGTGCCTCATATTTGACCAAATACTTTGTGGCCGGCGTATCGAAGCTAAGCGTTTGGCCGGGCCTTAAATCTGCCCCTGGCAGTTGTCAGTCGCTGCCACTCGACCGCAATGGACATCAGTTGCTGTGATGACAGATGCAAACATTATGTTTATTCCACATCCTTCCTTTGCTTTCGCCCCACTGCATGATGGAGTGGTCACCGGCAAGGACTGGCAGGGCTCTAGGTTGATGTTAATGGATTGCATGGTGTCAACAGGACTGCTCTGCTGCATTGGGAAAATCTGCATTTGAGCAGCTTAACTGAGGGATTTATTATGTCATGCGAGTCAAAGCGGAGCTCACATTTTTGCGCAATCTCACATTTCTATGGGGAAAGTTTCTTTGATTGCCGAGCGAAATATGACAGCAATTTTTGTAGCAAAAGTTTTCCATCCTGCAGCTGGCTTTTCCACTTCCTTTTTTTGTGTTTCCCGCTTAATTGCCTCCAAATTATTGGCCGGGGAATGCCATAAATTTGTATAGGCCCTTATCAGGTGTGGGCTATCGTTTCCGTGGCTTCTCATGATTTTCAATCTTTCGCGAAGTAAGTAATAATAAATTATGTTTTATTTGCGAGCATGTTGTCAATGGGACCCCGGAAAATTGATATTTATGTTCAACACAGCCATTTATAGCTTTTTGTGATCCAAATTGCTCCCCGGCTTAAAGGTTCCCCCGCTCCGTTGGCTGATTTATTGATGAGAACATTAAATGCTGGCAACATTCCAATCTTCTTATTGAGTTTTGCTCTGCAATTCGGATCCGAGACCTAAGCTCTTAAAACTGAACGACAGGCTGCCTTCATGGCTGCGTTTCCCTAAATGGGAGCTCCAGATTATTCTGTTGTTTCGCCAAGCATTCGTTATGATTTCCGCTTCCTTCAATCGCCATTTCCTCATTGTTCGACGACTCCCATTGTAGACTTTTTCCACTTACATTGTCCCCAGTTACCACCAGTTTTAAAGCCATTTTCGCTGGCCTTAACTTTTTTCTTCGCCGGGCAGGGGAATTAATTTGCTATATAAAACTGATTAATGTCTGCGCGGGTTATTAATGGCCCCAAGGCCCAGGCAGGCCCAGTACCAGCCCAGGAGCCCAGGGCTCCTCCTCGGATTGCGGCAATGATGAGTCCGGCATAATTAGGCTGCTGTGCCAGCACGTGGTGCCGCCTATTAACTGATGAATATGCAACGATGTTTGCCGCGGCCGCCTCCTCCATTTCGTAAATGAATTCCATAATGCGCCCATTAGGCATTTTCACCTCTGGCGCAGGATTCCAGGGCACTCAATTAGCTATTCTTCCCTGGGAGGCACCTCGGTTCGCACCTTGGTTCGCACCTCGTCTGCCGGGAAACTCATCTTCTACGTGGCGGATGCTTCGCTCCCATTCAGTCAGCCACTCTTGTGCCATTTGGCTGCAGCTTGCAACACTCGGATCGAATTCAATTACCACTCAAGCCAGTCGTGCGTGGCATAAATAGGAAATTGAATATGCGAAGGATATCGGCGTAGGCAGTGGCTCCTACGGACAGCTGTCGACGTCTGTGGCTCACTCACTGTTCGGCGCTGGCTGACAGGTGAGCTGAGTCGCTGACAGGAAGCTGTTCGTCTGCTGTCGCTGCGACAGGACTCACCTGTCCAATAACGAGATATTACTCATTTCCCGCTATTGCCTGGCTCATGGGACTCGAACCGCCTTGCGCCTCTTGATAAATGGAATTTCGGTTGCTTTCCAATCATCGCCGGCGGTTACTGTGCGTCCGCTAATGCTCTGAACTGCACGAGTGATTTATTGCGGGCAGTGATTTACTTCAGGGCTTCAGTTTTTGCTAATGCTGTCACATCGGGATCAACCAGTGGGAGAACGATGACGATGATGGTGGTTTGATGGACAGAGCGGGTGTAAATTAATCAAACAAGCAAAGTTACTCCTTTGGGAAATGAGGCCGTCTCCTGGCAGGTGGCTCGGTTAGAAAGTCCGCTCTCGAGTGTCCGAGCTGGCATAACAAACCAGTCACCCTTCCAGGGCCACTCAGACCCGAAGATTAACTGGGGCCATTTATCATAAAATCGTTCTTCATGTCCCAATCTCCCCGTACCCCAATTGGACACGGACCACCAAGGGCTATAAATAATCCCAAGGAGCCGCAGAAGAAAGACGTTTGTATCTTGTATCTTTCATTCTTTTTCGTGTGGCGCACACTGGTCGCAGCTCCACCTCGTCCAGAACAACAGAATGGTGTTCGCATTTATCTTTTCAGCTAGCAAATAATGCGATTGCAGGGGGAATGCAAATGAAATGAATAGAAAAAATCAAATAAAAGGCAAATGATTAATTTGCATACAAATTCATTCACCGATTCTTTTCCAGCGTGGGTGACCGTGGGCGGACCGCCCTTTGTGTTCTCGCTTAATTTCCCATTGAGCGCTAAGAAAATTGTTTTTATTTTCCTACCTTGGGGTCCTAATTTATTTTGGCCTGACCAAATCGGGTTTCAGTTAAGCCGCAAACCACAACCAGCTGGGCGTCCGAGTCGAGTTTTCCTTAAGCTCCTGAAGCCTGGTCTTGGCAAGGGCGAGTTTTGCCATATGCTCTGTGCCACAAACACAATTAGTGTATTTCGGAATTGTTCTGGGAAATACTCATTTTTTCTCAAGAAGTTGGAGCTTGAGTTCTGTACTGGAAAAGATGGTTAAGGAAAATGAGGTCCTAGGTAGTGCTGCTTACTTGAGTAAAAATATTCACTTGTTCTTTTTTTTCAACAAAGTTCTGTAATTTTGTCATAGTGTACATTTGTTCGATGCTCACTGTATTTTTTCTTAGTTGCTCAGCTACTCAATTGTTTACTTTTCAAATACAGGCCACTGAGTACTACATTTTAATTACTAAAAAATTATTACGCGTTCAAACCAGGCGATTTTTCGTATTTAAAGTATTGATTACTTAAAAAATAAAATTTTTTTTTATATAAAACAAGCTAAAAAAAAAAAGAAAAAATTATACTATGAAATTCGGCTTTTACACATTTTAAGCTCCGCATATCTCACAGAAACCGCAACTATGTTACACATCTGAGCAAAAGTGAACACAGTGAATAAAGTGAACAACACCATGTTCATTAACAAAGTGAACAGAATTAAACAAGTGAACAAATCAGACCTATAAGAAAGACAAATGTTCGCTTGTTCAATTTGGAAGTCACTCTTGTTTGTTCACTCAGTCACGAGCAAGCCACTCTAGTTAAACATATGTGATTTGAGTAATTTCTAGTCAAGAATATAAATTAGAAAATATCTTGTTCTGGAAATGTATCCTCTTTGGCATAGAAGTTCGATTTAGGATATATGGACAGGCTACATTAAATCTAGCACTAGGAACGTTGTCATTTTTTCGGTTTTATTTTCTTTAAAAACGCTCCCCAGTTCAGTTCTCAAGTTCTCTCCAGAAAATTGCTGTTCTTGTTTACACTCCTGCCCAAGTCACTCGAACTAGACTTATTTTCTGAAATACCACTGCCAGTCCTGCCTCACCTCCAACCGACTGTTTCTGTTTCGAACATTCTGTTTTCAGTGTCCCCTTCGGAGTAGGAGACAGTATCGCGAAAATTCAATTCAATGGCACAGGGCTTTGCCATGCACCAAATACGAGTGAGTGTGGCATTGACAAGCAAACAAGGAGCGGGAATAGCTGAGGCAAGATACGGGTTCAGACGACATTGGGGGCAGACATCGGCCTCACCTCCGAGCAAGTGCCAGTGTCGAAACATTTTGTGATACATGGCCCTCATGGGGGCCACTTGTCACAGTTAAACAATTTGTAATGAATTTTCGAGTGAGTGTCTGGATCGCACAGTGCTCTCCCTAGTTCTATAGCTATGGGAGACCAGGGTTTTGTGGACCGGAAGTCTGCGATGGGCGAACTAATATTACCTGCTGCAGAGACTAACCAATGCTCCCCAATACTCCAGCTCTTTATGGGGGAGATAAACAACTTAAGGTTGATTACGCCTCTAAGTAAAAAGCAACGATCACTGAGCCATTAGATGATCTGATATGAAGCAAAGAAATTCGCCATAAACAGCACGGCGTAAACAACTCGGAAGGATGGACATGCACTGTCTGCCAGACAACCAAATATTTACAAAATATTTGGATCGGGCAGAGTAGCGCTAAATTGCTAGCACCGACCACATGAAATCAATTAAAATATTCGGCCAACTGCTTGCAGCACATAAAGCAGCGTTAGAGGAAAGCATGGGGCATGATAATAACCATAAAAAGTAATTGAAAGTACGCTACGAGATGCGACTCTAATAAATTGCGTATCCGCCGCGTGGCAACATGCACACGGAAACGGGGCCAAGAGCTCGGAGGGATGAAAAATGGAAAAATGACCTGCTGACTGCGGAGAGCATCAGCGATAATTGAAAATTACCAAAATAATGAAAATATTCGGAAATGAACTACGACGGCTGCCGCAGCCCCTTGTTTATTTCTAGAGCAATCACGCGCCAAAGGAAACCAAACAAAACAAAAGCCAGGCAGTTCCGAGGGGCACTAGTGAGGGGAGCCAGTAGTAGAGGGGTCGAAAGAGGCGGCGGAGCACTTGGCCCAGCTGTCCATCACATGGCCAATGGAATTCTCACTAGTCGGGTAAAGTGAAAATTAATTAAAATACTCAGGGCATTGGATTTCCCCTCCCCTTGGTCCTGCTTGAAGCACTGCGAGTACGCATCTCTCTTGTTTTGATTTTCACCGATTTCCATGGCAGCGCCAACTGGGCAGCGTGCGGCGGGAGCCTCAAATATTTGCCAAATAATTAATCATGCCACATCGTGGCCGAAATCTCTGACAGATCCGCGCGAGTGAAACGCCTACGTCAGCCCCAGTCACTCCGCTCAACGCAGACTGCGAATTCCAGGGCCATGCGCCTGTGGGCCACTGATAAAGGCACACAGCTTCATCATCGCCGCCCGCTGGAGGCCGACGGGCGCCTGCACAGATTACGATAAATTTTTAAATAAAGGCGACAGCTGAAGTTGTCTACACGCCTCGTTGACTGATGGCCAGCGCCAGGGCCTGCCCCAGAGCGACACAGATTTCAGGGGATTCCCAAGCCACTCCTGTCCGGCGATTAGTCAGCAACACACCGAAATTAAAGTAATCAATTTATGTTCACCCAACTGTTGCCAACCCTGGCCCACTGTTCATAAATCATTATTAGCGGCCCTTCTTGCACGGGGGCTGGGCACAGGTGGGCATGTACAGGAACTCGCTGTCCGTCCAGTAGTCCACCAGCGACCGCTGTGGCTCGGCGTCGAGGAACTTGAGGCAGCGCGGAAACAGCTGGCCCTGCTGCACATTTCGCATGTGACCGGCAGCCACTTCCGAAATAAGTTTGTCCACTGGCGAGGCCTGTGGTCCGAATCCGCGCACGGGTACGGCACGCATCATTAGCCGATGCGCCTTCGAGGCGTTCACGTCGATCAGCACAGTGGTGGTGGCCCGCTTGTTGAATACGCTCTTGCTCGGCCTGTCGTCCACGAAGAACTCAAAGTGGTCCACGCACTCCAGGTCGTGGGTGAACCAGTTGAGGGTCAGTGATCCGCCGTCCAGCCGGGAAGCGCCGCAGATGCACACCGGATAGCTGACACGCGCCGGCGGGTGATTTTGAGTGCCGTATAGAGTGGCCTGGATCTCCTCGCGAACCTTCGAAAGTGCACAAAGGTCCATGAACAAGTTCTTCGCCAGCAGCTTGGTCTCCATCCGCTTCTGGCCCTCTGGTGACTGGAAGTACTCTACCCGCTTAACGGCTCTTCGCATGTCCTGGCAATGGTGGCACTTGCACTCCTCCTGGAAAGTACGACAGGTGGAATTCTCTTCGACCTCCTTGTCAGTGCTCTCTCCTGGCGGGCTCGGAGAAGCCTCCTCGGGACTCACAATGGCGAACACGAAATTTACTCTACGTGAAATCTGGCTACTCCGTTGCAGATTTTGTGGTTCATTTTGGGAGGGTATGATTATTTGTTCAATCTGGGAACTTGGCTCTTTATCCAGTACTTCGTCCGCTTTCTGTGACATTCCGGAAGTTACAGAGTTTTTGGGCGACATCTGCGGTGTCTTCCTTCCATCTTGTCCGACCGACACCTGACTACTTTTTCGGCTTGACCGACTCGATCTCGGCGATTGGTTGTCTTGGGTTGCCTCCAGAGCGATGGCGGGTTCCGAAGCCGCGGTGGTGAGTGCCTTTCTCCAAGGTGACATCTTGGGTGACCTCCAGGTTAAGCTTTTCGTGGTTTTTCGCAGAATGTGTGGTAAGGACCTACTGCTGGAACCCCCGCGACCTCGAATGTGGGTGGTTGTCCAGATACCGCTCACCAGGGTTAGAGTCTCTGGCTGTCGGGGCGATGCCTTGATTTCTTTGCCCTCAGGCTGTTCTGGACTCAAGTCCATTTTCGGGAGAATGCATGACAGGCCACCCTCAGCAGACAGTGTTTTCGAGTTTAACAAGGCGACTTCTTGGCTTTCCGATTGTGTCTGAATGGAAGCAACATCTTGGCTCTTCGATTGGGGCTGAGCAGAAGCATGGGATTTCTGGGAAACATCGCTCTGGTAGCCAGCTTCTTTAGGACTCTGCTGGATGGAGTGGGACGTGTATCCCGTCAGTGGGGAGACGTCTGAGAGCCAGCTGGTTGGCATGTCGTATATCAGGGGGTTGAATAAGTAGTTGGAGCGGCGCGTACAGGTAGATATTTGCGAGGTGCTGGGAGTGTTAAAGTGGGCAGTGCGGTTCGATGCAAGCGTATCGTTCGACTCGCACAGATAGGGGTTCTCCGAGCGGACTATCTGGGAAGTGGAATCTTGGGTCAAACGACGACTGGCGAGCTCCTCTTCCGAGGGGCTGGAATTCTGCTTCATGAAGTTGTAAAAAAGTTGCTTTACAGACGTGAAGGACTCTCCTGCTCTGACCAAGGCGACCGTGTTCCTAAGGAACTGCTTAATGGACGAAGTGGAGGATCCTAAATTATTATTCGATGACCGAGTGCAAACCAGTGGAGAGTTCTCTTCGGCTTCATCTGCCTGTACGTCCGAAGAAACCCCTGTTGAAGATTCTTTGAGTACCCAATTATTAAGGGAACTGTCGCTCGGGGAAGTGATGGGGGTCCGCGGAGTCGAGGCCTCCGAGATGCCACTGATCTCCGGGCTGACAAACACGTGGAAACACGGGTGGCACGAGGTCCGTTTTGACGCTAGGTGCGGCTCTGGTGGAACTCTTTAGGATGGGCTTTTCTCAGCCACGATCTCGTCGGCAACGATGCTTACTCTCGAATATGATATTTACGTGGAACTAGCTGTGTATTCGTTCGAAGTTATTTAAATAAATCGTACGTGTGTGTCCAGAACGACATCTAACGCAAGGTCAACCATTTCTAGGGCTACACTTTCACAGCCTCTCCGAAATGCTTCACCGTGCTGTGTTCATCATCTTCAATGGTGCTTAATGGCCAGAACTCGGGTAAGGCCGGGCCGTTCATCTTAGTGTATCTGGCCTCCGGCGCCGTAACTCAGTAGAGCGGCGACCGCGCATAATTTTGTCAGCGTTTGTCGCGATAGATGGGCAGGCAGAAATTTGCATAACTCGCGGACCTTTCAGCGCATATTAAATATGTCCCGTCTTGGGGATGCGTCCTCTCCTCAGGGCACATCAGATATTTTCGACTCTAATTAGAGCAGCACGGGCCATAATGAGCTGCCATTAGGCGGGAAAGTGTGCAGTGATGGATTCTGATTCCTGGCAACCTTAAAGCGTCGCTAAGCGTGGCTTTAAACGGCGAATCCCGCCAGGCTTATTATTCGGCTTGGCTGCGCACAAAACACAGCGAATGATTAACCGGTATGCCGCATTACACATACGCCGCGTTGCCGCAGCTACAACTGAGGCACGCAAGTGTATTAAATTATGTTTGCCCTATGATTTATCTGACACGTAAGAGCGCAAACGACGGAGCGGGCAACCAGTTCTGGCTACCAAAACACAAGTCGTATCTGACTTTGTCTCTGGCAATGCCATGGGGTCGCGGCAGGGGGCCCGGAAAACCCTCTACGAAACAATGGCTGTGGGGGGCACGCGTCCGTAAAACTGGAATGGATTCAGCTCGTACAATAAGCCTAAATCATAAATAAATGTTTTTACCTAGACAAGCGCTTACAACATCTTTTTATGGCTGCCAAGGCTGCGTTTTACAGTCTCGCCACCTCCTTAAGAGCCTGAATGGCGGAGACACGACTTAAATTAATGAGGGAAAGGTAAAAATAAAATTCAATTAAATCGATTGAAGGCTCTCCTCTCTGTCTTTGCTTCGTGTCCAGGCGGTGAAGAAGAAGAGTAATCATTTCTCTTATTGGTGATGACTATTGGGCGCCTACTGGGAGTCCCCAAGGAAACACTATGGGAATTGCATGACCACGGTCTCGGACTGGGCGGACACTTTAACTTTTTCGCTTTTCGCTAACGATAAAAGTCCTAATTCAAAACTTTTTCTTAGCCAAAAAAAAGTGAAAAGTTTCCTTCGCTGGCGTGGTCTTTGTTGTTGCCAGAAGCAACATATTTGACATTTTGCTGACAGTTTTTTTAGTGGAATAAATAATTGACGCGCGGAGCGAATTTATGAGGGACAAGATGAAACGAAGCCACAGAACGGAGGAATCACGTCGGAAAAAGAGCAGAGCAGACTTTAAAGCTGTGCCTATTCCCTAAAAGCCCTGTTTTTTGGTGGCCATCCTTGAAGTTCAAGTTCGATCCACACACAAAAGATGGATGAAATCATAAAAGCTCACGACCCTGATGATTACATGGGTTTGACTTTGTGTGAAATTTTATTTATTTCCACCGCTTCTCACCCCCTGCTCCTTGTGCAGGCTATTAGGTCCGGTAGAGCGTTCCATTTGGCAGAAATTGACCCCGATTCCATTTAGAAATGGTGGGCAGAGGTCATTGAGCAGTCAGTGAGAAGGGACGGAACCCATATGCAATGACTTTGATATGAACCCTTTATGGCGGGTCAGCATATGTCATTGTACAGCCAGCTTTGTCAAAAAAAGAGGAGAGAAATTTCACCTCCGAACTGAAGAACCATTAATTATTCCTCCACTGACTCGGTCCGTCCACAATTTAAGGCCGGCAAACATTCTGCAGATGCTCTGGGTAAATATTTCATTTACGCCGAGCGAATGCATTGTCTACCCAGCAGGTAAGGAGAGTGCACTTTCCGCAGCCTCTTTGATTAGATTTCCACGGAATAGTCCCACGAATCCCATGGAATTTCATTTGGCAACACGCATGAGTCTGTTAGGCCACAATCGAAATAAATAAATAACGAAAGCGAAATCGGTGGCTTCGCCCCAAAGGCAAATGGGAACGGCTGCTGGGGCAATCTACTATCAAATTGAAATTGAAACAGTATCGGCGAACAACAGCGCCCTCGCAATCCGACGGATGCCGAGATAAGTCCGCCTCAGACTCCGGCCGAGTGAGGCTCCGCGTCAGGCTCAGGCTCGCTTTCTTCTTGGGGGATAAGTGCGTCTGATTGCGACTTGAAAGTATTTGCTTCTACACGAATGATTTTGTATTAGTTGGCTGGGTGGAGCGTGGAGCGGGTGGGCTGGCGGGCTTCAGAATTTGTGGATACGGAAGCGGCAACTGAGCGTGAGAGATAATCTGAGCAGGAAGGCCAGAGATAATTGGATGTTGCAGGGACTCTGAATGTTCCGGGGGAATCTTTCGCAATTTATGTTTATGGGCGCTGTAAAATGGTGTGTAATGCAAACACGGTCAACGAATGCATGTTAAGGAGATTCTTTATTATGCAGAACACACACACGGCAATGGCTCGGGCCCAGCTGCCGAATCATAAATTCTATTTTTGCCCGGATGCATCCTCTGCTTATGCGGATATTTATGCGTTGCATAGGTAATTCATTCGCCCAGCCAGATAAGCCGCAGCATCTGCTGCATCCCCAATTAAATTTGGTGTTAACTGCATACGATCTGACCGGAAACTGTCTCTCTTTCTGTCTTTTCTCCCGCAGCCCCAGCTTCCGGCGCCAACTGGCGAAAGTCAAACGACAAGCGGCAGGCAGCGCTCTGTGACCACAATGTGCAAAATAAAACCCGGTAGCTTGGCAACACCAGCAGCATTTCCTCGACGGCAGACCTAGACATAAGCTCGGAACAAAAAGCAAGGACCTGCGGCTTTCGGAAGCAGACTTACGGAAGCGGAAGTGGCCCAAGCGAGGCCATAAAGCAGCACGCACAACAGCAGCATTCAGACATTCCAAGGCGTGGATACGGACGTAATGGACATAGCCCAGGCGCTGGTAGCCAGTCTGGTGCACGCCCCCCTCGATGGCAGTGGCGGCGGCGGTGGCAACGGCAATGGGAGCGGGGCCAACGACAGCGTTCTCCTGGCAACGGGAACGGGCGCGGCCGCAGAGCAGCACAACGCCAGCATCGACGGCGGAATGGTCCCGTATGTGCCAGTGCTGGACCGCCCCGAGACATACATTGTCACCGTGCTGTACACGCTCATCTTCATCGTGGGCGTGCTGGGCAACGGCACGCTGGTCATCATCTTCTTTCGGCACCGCTCCATGCGCAACATACCCAACACGTAAGTGGATATTAGGCGCGCCGTCGGGGGTCGCAGAGGGTGGCTGTGGCAGTGCTCCACTGCTCCAGTCCTGAAGGTGCCTGGAATAATATTTATTGGCTGGCTTCCGCTCAGATACGGTCTGCCTATTCCAGGGACACCCCTCGCGGGCCATAAATAATAATGTGTTTATATGGCCGCACATTTGGGCCCGAAATGAGCTCGTCACTCCCCGAAAGAGCCCTTCCTTGAATTGCTTCTCAAAATTCATGGCCGACTTATGAGCTGCATTTGATTTTATTGCTTCGCCAGAAGACACATCCTGGCCCGGCCCTCAAAGTAAATTAAAGTCGGGACCCCAGAGCCCCACTCGACACTCCCGAAGAATCGAACAAAGAAAACTGTGTCAAACAATCTGTTGTCTGCGATTCGCCAATATAGAGTAGCGCCGGCTGCGAGCTTCTGTGCTCTGCTGAATACATTAATAGTTCCCAGATACATTCGGTTTCCACTTAGTCATGATCGCTGGCTGACCCGCAGTTGGCAAGCTGGCACACTTTCGAATCGATAACCGAGTTTACATCCCTTGGCTTGTTGCATAAACTTTGAAATAATTCCGAAGGATGTCGTCGCATTGCGTGTACGCAGCGTGCGCCCCACAAATACCACTTTACATACCGCCCGGGACAAGTCCTTTTCGTCTTTCCAAACTATGCTGCCGAGCCAGACCAACAGCTGGCGGCTTAGCTGAGTTGGGTATGCAAATGTTTATTAACTTTTTCCCAGCCCCACTATGCAGTCTGAAGCTGGCGAAAGTCGAATAAATTCAAATGTAGATTCAATCAAAAGTTTCCGTGTCCTTTGAGTCGGAGTGACAGCGGGGGGCAGCAAAGCAGCCCTTTCTGCCTTGGCTTAAGTTCTATTAAACCGAAGCCCATGCTGGGTAGAAGCTTCCGAATCCAGCTGGCTGGAGTACGGGGTGGGGTCCGACCAGGAGCTGCAGGTGGTCATAATTCGCCACTGATTGCCCGCAAATTGCCACTTTCCACACTTTCGCCTGAACTGGCTGCAATCAGAGGGTCAGTGATTGTAATAGTAATTGTGATTGCGCCAGCGATTGTGCGCGATTGTCGTCCTTGGCCATCGGAGCAAAAGTTTGCAGTTCGTTTGCCTACTTTGTCGCGACTGTTTGTCTAGACAGAAGGGGGCTGGTAATGTGTCAGGTTGGAATTCACGTCACATGCAATCAGCCAGTCAGCGAGTCAGCCAGGAACCCTAATGATTCCCCCTTCCTCATGCTCACGTGGGAGGTCGTGAGTGTCACTGTCAATGCGATTTGTCGAGGCACATCCCCCAAGTCACTCTTTTGTTTTGAACAAGTGCTTTAGCGGTTACTGTAGGGTTCTATGGACAGCTAACATGATTCAAATGTCGAAACCCACTTTCGACTAACCGCACACTCATACATAGTCGCGCTTGTGAAGATATACATAGACAAGAGAGTATTTACTAACGACATATGTATGTAGGTGCTATAAATAGTCCAGTAACCCCACTTGTCATTCGTTTAATAACAATTTAAGCTGCGCTACCTTGACTCCCGCTCTTGGTTACATGCTCCTCCAGCGAAACATCACTGAATTGCTTTGAGGGCGTCCGAGTGTGGCGCCGGGACCCATGTCAAGGGGCACCCTTTTTCCATGAAGCCCCCACAAAGGCATTCTCGGGCGAATGAGAGTTTCTTCCAAACGAGTGAGCAGCCAATCACACCGGTTTGTCGTTCTTTCAAAATGGGGGAGAGTAACGTGTTTCCGATTCTGAACCTTTCCAGCTACATCCTTTCACTGGCCCTGGCCGATCTGCTGGTGATTCTAGTGTGCGTGCCCGTGGCCACCATTGTCTATACGCAGGAGAGCTGGCCCTTTGAGCGGAACATGTGCCGCATCAGCGAGTTCTTCAAGGACATCTCCATCGGCGTGTCCGTGTTCACGCTGACCGCGCTCTCCGGTGAGCGTTACTGTGCCATCGTCAATCCCCTGCGGAAGCTCCAGGTAAGTAGCGAAAGAGTTGGTCTTGCAAGAGCTAAAAGTCAGGCTAAGTACGCTCTTTTCCACACAGACCAAGCCGCTCACCGTCTTCACCGCCGTAATGATCTGGATCCTGGCCATTCTGCTGGGCATGCCCTCGTTCCTAGTCTCCGACATCAAGTCCTACCCCGTGCTAACGGCCACTGGCAACATGACCATCGAAGTGTGCTCACCTTTTCGTGACCCGGAGTACGCACAGTGAGTTCACCTTAATTCGGGATTTCACAGGGGGCAAGGAGACGGGATTCAGAAATTCCATATTTTATAACCACTTCTGAGTGCTGACCCCAAACCGCTCCTCCGGCAGAAGCCGCGGCGTCAACTCGACCTGTAGATGGTATTAAGTATTAATGCACCCTCTGCGCACCTGATGCAGCTGCTCTTTCTGCGCACGCCCATGCTGTCTCCTTATTGACGTGCTTCGCCCGCAAGCCCGCCTGCTGCATCCTTCCTGTCAGGCTTAAGTCCTTCTCCTCATCCCTGCGGCTGCTGTGGCGCAATTCGGAAATCCTTTCGACCGGCTGGCGTCAGCTGTTGCCACATAATCTGTCTGTGATGTAATTTACACAAATCCTGGGCAAGAAGCTGCTAGAGCCGTATCCTAGAGACAGCACTCGCCCTTCAGCCGGCCGCTAATTTTTCATTTGAGGCATGCCGACATGCTTCTTTTTTATTTGTATATAGCACTTACTGGCATGTGTTTTTTACGTATTAAGAGACACAAAATGAGGAGGAAATGGTTCCGATTTTCCCTTGTCCTTTCTGGCCATCCATCCCGAGGACGTAATTTAATGTTCCCCCTCGGAGGACCATTTTAATAGTCTGTCGTGCTGTATGCATATGCTGGGAATCTCCCAAAATCCTCTTAGTACAAGCGGAAATTGAAATGGCGTGCTCCAGTTGGGGCGCAAACTTTATTCCCATGACGACTTCTTCCTAAACCGGACCAGTTTCTAGTTCAAGTAGCACGAGTTTCGGGTCACCGAACAACTCCCCAATCCTCCCTCTTCTAGGTACATGGTGGCGGCCAAGGCGTTCATCTACTACCTGCTGCCGCTGTCCATCATCGGGGCGCTGTACATCATGATGGCCAAGAGGCTCCACATCAGCGCCCGCGACATGCCGGGCGAGCAGCAGAGCATGCAAAGTCGCACCCAGGCCAGGGCCCGGCGTCACGTGGCCCGCATGGTGGTGGCCTTCGTGGTGGGTAAGTAGTCGCTGACCAGCCTACGAAACTACCCCCCGGCGACCCCTAAATGGACTTCGAACTGTCCTTTCAGTGTTCTTCATCTGCTTCTTTCCATACCATGTCTTCGAGCTGTGGTATCATTTCTACCCGACGGCCGAGGAGGACTTCGATGACTTCTGGAACGTGCTGCGCATCGTCGGATTCTGCACGAGGTAAGGGGTGTCTTTGTCGGGCGGACTCAGCAGTTTTTATTCCGCTCAGAGGACATTTTTCTTGGTCCCCTGCATGCACTCGCAGTGCCCGCATTCCTCGAGGGTCCCACAATTTATGGCCAGACTCCACACATACCACAGCGAGGAGTGCCGAAAGGACCCCAAAAAGAGTTGCATTTGGCTGTTCTTGAGCGGGTTTTTCCTTCAAAGTTTCCACTCACATTTTTGCACTGCACTGCCCCTGGCGGTGTGCCGGCTTCTGGCATATTTTTTTTAATTGAAACTGATTATGCCCGTCCTCCCTTTCCCTGCTTTCCGCTTGCCACTTGCCACTTGGAAGTACGTTTATTTTTGTTGACAGCCCGGTCCCTTCACAACTTTGCAACCCGCCCCTCTGGCCTCTGTCGTCTGTCCTGGTGCCACTTTGGGCGTCACTTAGCGCAGTAAAGCTCGCAAAATAATGTGTCAGCAATTTGGTGGCTTAATTCGCTGCCCAGCGATGGGGACGGAGCGTAATTTGAATTCTGCGCCAGTGGATGCAAATGGGCAAACTCAATAATGTGCCACAAAATAGAGCTGGCATCTAGGTCCAGGATAAATAGTCCCCGTTAAGCAGCGAAAGTCAATGATATAAATGGACGTTTGATACCATAGGGTCAGAGCACTCAACTGGTCCTTGCCTGACCAAGCACGTACCCAATGGGCTAAGGTATTTAAAGGACAATGTGAAGGAAATATAAAACCACTGAAAAGGATTGAAGTTTTTACTTTAGGAATTCTATTTATATTAAAAATTATCGTATGTTCTTTATAGATTTTATAAATATCTATAACATAAATCATAACAATAGGTAATTTGTTATTAAATTAACGTAAAGGTAATTAAGATCAAGTGATTCTACAAGTTAAGAGGTTGACTCATGCTTTGGACAGTTTTTTTTTCAAATTGGTTCTTAAAGTCTTAAAACTTTGATATTAAGTTATTAAGTGACTGATGACCACATGTTCTTATAGCTTTGATTTGAATCTTTTTAATAACTAATAAGTAGTTAAAGGGGATGAAAAGGAACCCAAAACATCGACAATTGCATTAAATTTGTTGGTTCCAAGATTAAGAGGTCTATAGGTAATTTTAATGTTAGATATGCTCATAAAATGATCATTTGCTATTTCATTTTTACATATGCATGTAATAAAACATAAGGTACCTGATGGGACAATAGACAATTGAAAATACTTATTGTTGCTTTTGAGTCCACAATTCTAAATAAGTTCATCCTGTATACGATCTCGTATTCCCAGATGCCAGCTTAATCAAATACTTTTTCCACAGACAGCTAACAAATTGAGACTTCTTTAAGTCCAAGCTGGGTATTCCTGGTTAAACCCCGTTGGCGCAGTGTGCTGTGCTAATTTTCAGGGAAACTTCCACTGCCATAGATTGCAACACACTCTTACGGCTAACAATGGCGGAACTATTTCAATGGAAACTGTTCGAGACCCACCCGCAGCCCAGTTTTTGCTCCTTTATTGGGACTAACCATGGCGTGTGCTTTCAATTTGCAGCTTCCTGAACTCCTGTGTCAACCCCGTGGCTCTTTACTGCGTTTCTGGGGTCTTCCGGCAGCACTTCAACCGCTACCTGTGCTGCATCTGCGTCAAGCGGCAGCCGCACCTGCGGCAGCACTCCACGGCCACTGGCATGATGGACAACACCAGCGTGATGTCGATGCGCCGTTCCACGTACGTGGGCGGGTGCGGCACTGGGGGCAACCTGCGGGCCTCCCTGCACAGGAACAGCAACCAAGGAGGCGGAGGCGGACTGGGAGGCGGTGCTGGACGAGGGGGCAGCTTCCACAGGCAGGACTCAATGCCGCTGCAGCACGGAAATGGCCACGGGGCGGCTGGAGGCGGCGCAGCCTCCGGACCTAGCTGCGGACCTGCCGGACGGGCGGTGGCTGTCGGTGAGAAGAGGTGAGGCACGCTTATCGTGGAGCTGCTGGAGGAGGAGGAGGTGGTGGTATCGTTGCAGGCCGACGAGCAGCTCTAAGCGAATACAATGGTCCATTGATTCCGCTTGGCATTAGCACCACCCGCACCCCAAATCCGCAACCCACAACCCGCACTCTGCACCTGTGACCCCCAGGCCCTCGCCTGGCAATGTTTTCAACTTTTTTCGGAACTGAAGCTATTTCGACATCGCTTCCCTGCCGGAGGAGTTGGCTTCATTTGCATTTCACTGAACCCAGTGCCACTGTATATACAACTTACAGCAAAACTACAATGCATTAATACGCATCTTTATGTAATGTTATACCGTACTCTAGTCGTATATATGTGATGTGTTAATTAAGTAAGTCACTAAGCACATTAAACGTAACTTGTAATTATTGGCCCGGTGCAATAAAATGGCATTTAATGGGCTCGGACACAAAAACCCAATGGAAACACAGCCACAGCTAATTATCGAATGTGAGCATTGCGTATATCAATAGGCTTAGCGGAGAGTAGCTCTGTAATTTACTGTAAATAAATGAATTCCATAATTGTTAAGAGCACCACCGGTGTTGTATTCCAGAGCCTCAGTGGTTCCAGAGAGTTTTGCCAATTGGATCACTTGCTGCCCGAAGGATGCGCGCTGTGCAGGTATGAGTGCGTTGTACACACAGATTCTGTTTGTGGGGTTATGTATGTACATATTATTGATTTTGACCGGTAACAAGGTTGAGCCATCGCTGCTTAAGTAATAATCTGTATTCAATGCTTCCAGCCTTATGGGTCGGTACGTAAGTGACCGCCTGCGTTACTAAACAGGGATGGTTCAAGGCCAATGAAGGAGGGGGGAGGCAGGAGACCCCGACCTCTGAAGGGTTGATCCCCTTGGAAGACGTCATTTATATGCGACGGATAACTACGTTTTAATATTGTATAACAATGTGCTATTAACATTGTAAATTGAAACCAAAAGCACAAATAAATCGAATTGGATGTAAAACTGGGTGCCCTGTAATTACACAATATTAAATGGGAAAACGGTAGGTTTGGGCTTATTTCTCTTTTCATCACGGTTCACTGTTTACCGGAGATTTCTATAAGTAAATGATTTATTCACTTTGCACATTTCAATTGACTTACTCTTAACTGGAATGTGGCTTGAGTTTTAGGAAACAGTATTGTTTTCTTATTTATTAGGGGTAATTTAGTTCAGGCATTTCAAACGGAGTAAGAAGTAATTTCAGATAATTTGAAACATACTTTCTGTTTCATATCTATGGAAGAGTATATCATTTAAGAGACTTTCCTGTACTTCAAATCGTTTCAATCTAATCTTCTATGGGACTGTGGGGAATAATCGTCTACTCTAAGATATGGAATTTGTTTTTATTTTAATTGGGACTACGTAACATATGTATATTGTATAGATGCCAGAGAAACTATCATAAATTCAAGAAAGCTTGATATTTTTATTTCCTTCAGTTTCGAATCAGAGCATTTTATTATTTATCCCATATTTATTTTTATTTTAACACAATAAATATTAACATAAAATGTTAACCATAATAATTATTTAAGCAATCACTGTCAGCGGTGGCCTTCGACTTTGTCTTATTTTATTAGGTTTTTAATTTCTTATTTTAAATATATAAACAAATATTTTTTGTTTATTTTTATTAGTGTTTAGATAGAGAAATTGTAGATGTTTTGTGGGTTTAAGTGGTTGAGTAAAAGAATTTACTGCAAGGTCAGTAACAGAAATTGCCAATAGTTCTATAGTTTATTTTATGCATTTAAGGTTCAATACATTTATCATGGGACACATATGAGATTAAGCTCATGTAAACTTTTTATGATTAGGCCTGTTCAAATTTACTGCGTTCTTCAGGTTATTTTAAAAGGCCTTCAGCTTGCAGGAAGTAAACACATCAAATTTGGAACAAAAGATCATTAAAGGAACATTAAGTAAAAATAGTCAATCTTTGGTACTTTGGTACTTGTACTGAATGAAAAAGAAAATGTGAGACTTCATTGGTATCAGCTTCACTTTCTAGTTCGTTTCCGTTATAGAAAATAAACAAAGGCATAGTGTATGCAAATAATACAGATACCCGAAATTACATTTTTCAAAATCAATATGTAGCCACAAAGTGTCAGGCCTTAATTCCTCGCAACGACAACAAAGACCAGACACCGAAATGCAATTTGTTTGGCCTCTGAGGGTCGTCAGTCGCCCTTATCAGGCCTAAATCGCAAAATTGCTTTGAAGTTTGGGGCCAGAACCAGAGATCGGACCATTATCACAGTTCCACACAAACTCCCTCAACACCGAAGTCGGAAATCGGCCGGACGGGCCTTGGAAAGACAATAAATACAATCTGGCCCAAACACACACACAAAATTTCATTACGGCATGCCAATCAGGAGGCCACAGGCCACACCCCCATCCACATCCACATCCACATCCACAGGAGTTGGTGTATGTAAATTGGCCAAACACGGCATGTATTATCCCAGGACATCCCTAACTGCACCCCCCGACACGCACAATGTAGAGTCAATAGTTATTGGCATCCCATAAATGGGGACTCCAAACGCTCCAATCTGACCCCGGGCCCGGGCGGAGGAGGAAGCTGTCCATCCGCGGGCCTGGCAGCCGTCCGACCTATCGCCCCCCTTAATCACAACTGGACGGCCCGGCAGATAATTCCGAAGCTGGGCAGATCCGGACTGCGGGGACCAAAGTGCGGCAGTTCAGCCGGCGCAGTCGAACTCAAAGGGCATCTGATTTATGCCAACGCAACTGAGTTCCCATCCGGAGCACACGTGAGCACACTACCTCCGGCATTCGCCACAAATGCCGCACTGATTTGCAGGCAAATGGGCCCCGGAGTGGACCTCAGATGTCCATCGCACAATTAGCTAATTATGTTACACTTTGCAGCCGCATCGAGTGAGTAGTTAAGTTGGACGTTTACCGCAAACCATAAAGCCAGTGGCCAGTGGAACCCTGCTCCGGGGAACTAGGCGCCTCCAAATCGGTCCAAAGTTAGACCAAGCACATAGTCCTGTGTGTCTTGTCTCCTGGGTCCAAGTGTTGAATTAACCACTTCGTGTTGATGCACCAGATATTGGCAACGGCTTGGTGGCTTGGTGCCACCTAAGTAATGGGGGTTGAAAACGAGCTTAGTCCAGGAAGGGCGTCCCGATACCCACACAACCATGTTAGTTGGACCGCCGTCCAAGTGGTCCTAAGTGATTTATCGATGGGGCCGGAAGGGCACATCCTTTATGACATCGACGGCACAGTAATAACTAACAATTAGTGTGCGAAACACCAACGCTCGAGCAGCACGTGCCACGCCCATCTGAAGCCACCTTCCGCTCCTCCCTCTTGGCTCTTATCTTTTATGTGTTTACGCATTCATAAGTCCTCATTATGTAGAACGTCTCCGGGAAGGTAGACGACAGACAGCTGCTTGTCCTGAGTTCCTATATGTTGGCCAAGCACGCAGGCCGCTCTTCCAGCTCCGACTCCTTAACGGCCTGCTTAGGCGGCTGATGTCTGGCCAACATACCCTTGCGGATGGTGCCACCATTTGGGGCATACGGTGGCGACAACACAAAATAAATGCGTGGCCATCACTTTGCTCTTATTGACCCTATATTAAAGCTAACATACATTAGCCTTCCTCAGAGCCTAAGCACACACCACTTTGTTAACTTAAATACAATTACTTAGCGTAAAATTACTAAAATAAAATAAATACAATTAAATTAAATTGTATTATGTCATAAATATTTTGGAAAAAAGCCCTACGATCTGATCAATAATAGATCGATTATTGTAATTTGTTTTATTATTAATTAGGACTATAATATAATACAGTTTGGAATATATATATATTTTTAATTAATACACAGCTTGTATTATGTCATAAATATTTTGGAAAAAAGCCCTACAATCTGATCAATAATAGATCGATTATTGTAATTGTTTTATTATTAATTAGGACTATAATATAATAAAGTTTGGAATATATATATTTTTAATTAATACACAGCTTGTATTATGTCATAAATATTTTGGAAAAAAGCCCTACGATCTGATCAATAATAGATCGATTATTGTAATTGTTTCATTATTAATTAGGACTATAATATAATACAGTTTGGAATATATAATATTTTTAATTGTTACACAGCTTCTATATTGTATTTCCAAATTTCTCAGAAACTAGTCTTTCTACCTTATACAGTCGAATCCCGATAATTCGTACCCCGCTAAATCGAAAATCGCGATAATTCGTAAAAAATTCTGTCCCCTTGAAAAAAACTCGTTAATTCGTAAAAATTCCATACATTTTGGTCCCCTCGTTAATTCGTAGTATTTGGCGCAACGCAAAGAATATTGAACCTCTTATAAATTGTAATTTTGTTTCGAAACCTCTTATAAATCGTAATGCGATGCGAAATATTTTGTAGTTAAAGCGACGTTAGATTTTGCAGGCATCAGACCGGAGAAGAAATTTTATAGAATTTACAAACCAGAGCATTAATTCCTCAACTTAAACATTATTTTTCGACTCATGATGTGCCAAATAGTGTGTTTGACAACCTAATAGGTTTAGAAAACGCAATGGAAAAAATATAAGAAAAAAACACGAAGCAATAAAAAATTACCAATTATTTGAAATCTTGAATTTTCATTTTTAATAATTTAATGTTTCTGCTTAATTTTGTTTGTTAATTTTTTGTTTAATTTTCCTTTAATTTGAAAAACGTACAAACGAATATACATATTTATTATGTTTGTTTAATTTTAATAAAGCTAAATACATATGTAAACATGATGTGAAATGTAAAAACCCCGTTTATTCGACTCTTTCATTTTTGAGCCCCTTTAAATAGAAATCTCGATAAATCGAATTCCCGTCTAATTCGTAAAAAAAGTGATCCCCTTGCCATTTCGAATTATCGGGACTCGACTGTATCATTTAACAAGGAAATTAAAGATATTAAATCATATCTAAGAGAACATAGCCGCTTCGGTGTTGTCCTAGCATTCATTTGCAACGCTTTTCTTATCCTTGTTAATTGCTGCCCACTTTAAGCCGTAACAACCAGGACGAGAAAGGGAGAAGAAGGGCGACAGGGTGGACCGGTTCTTGTCCTGGTCGTGGTCATGGTCCACTGCCGACTCGTGTTCTGATTGCGGCTAAATTCTGATTCGCATTCCGGCCGGTTTATGTCTATGGCCCAGAGAGTTGTTTCCGGCCCTATTCTGGCTGTGTCTGCGTGACAGCCTCTATGTCTTGGGATTTAGTGAATGGCGGCATCTAAAGAGATGCCCACTGAGATAAGGCTTTAACTGGATCCATTCATTCCATTTATGTAATGAATTTTAGCTAATCAATGGTGATGCTTTGCCAGATAGCTTAAATTGTCGAGTTTATTGAAAATTCTCACTCGCTGCGAAAGTGAGTTTCGTTTCGTTTGCGCGAATTCCAGATTATCTATCCATCAAATGGAAATCAATAGAAATCGAGGCACGTGGCAAACAGGAAGGGACCTGACATGGTTAGGGTCCAACAGGGGGGAGCAATCGGGAGCCATGCAGGAATCCTACGGAAAGAGAGATGGTATGCTGGTTTTTAGGATTGGAAAAGTGTTGCCTGGATGATGCCTGATGTGAGCCTGGGAAAAATCATCAGTTTTCACAAAAACGAGCAATCGAAAAGCAAATTGGCAACGCAACAGTAAAGCGATGAATTTAAATTGGACAACCACAACAGGCTGGGCAGCAGTTGGGTTACACGGATGCTTCTCAGAGGGCAGTTCCTCATCAGTGGCCCTGCAATCAAATCGCACCTCGTCTTGCCCACAGGCATCCCTCCTTCCGGCTCAGGCGGAAGCAGAGGTGCCGCCCTCATAATAGGCTTATGCGCCGCCCAAAGCCTGCTTAAATGCACACGCACTTTATTTAATGACGGAAACAAAAACCACACAGAGAGCAGAGAAGCAGGAACAGGTGGGTCGAACAGGTCCCTCCCCTTAGAAGCTGCTCTTACGCGAAACCGTACATCGTTCAAGCAAGTATTATTTTTTAGAATTAATTAGAATTAAAATTAGAGTTCAACGAAAAAATTAATTTCAATTTTTTACTGTGTGCTAAAGTAAAAGTACATCATCCGGCCTCTTGTCACCTGCCCCGTGCGTCTTCGGAAATCAAGTGAAAAGTAATTAGGCAGGACGTATCCCCTCCAAGTGAGCTGTCGCTTTGTTGGGCATTAATGGGATTTAGTGGAGGACTTTCAATCTGATTTGAGGCAGTCGGAGCAGCTGTTAGTCATCCTGGGCAAAGTCTCGCCAAAAGAAGAGTGGCTCGTAAGAGGCTTGCTTTTTATCTTACCCGAAAGCCATTTCAATATTTCGCGACCCTTTTTTTGCTCCGCTGGAAATGTTTTTCAGGCACTCGAGCCTCCGTTTATTTTGTCAGGAGCATGGAGCCATTAAAAGTCAATTGGGCCGGAAAGAAAGTGCCAGCCTGAGCCGAGAGTCAGCCCACTGCCACACATGTGCTCCAAGTTGGCAAAACAGCACAAATATTTAAAATCCGCCCACGGCCAGATACTGGAGCCCATATTTTGTCGTTGCTACATTCCGCTAAATTGACTTTCAACTGGCTAAGTTGGCCGCGCTTGGCTAAGTCGCAAATTCCTCGGCCTCTTCCTGGCACAAAGCCATTTGTGTGCGAGCCGCGCTCTCGGATTGCCGCTGGCCGTATCGAATCACCGTTTAGGAGCAGGAGATATATGTAAAATAAAGAGTGGCCCAGTTTAAAACTATATTCGGTAATGGACTTCAATATGCGAACTATTCGATCGATTGATTATGGGCCCCTTACTTGATGTAGCATTCGGGCCAAGAGTCGCCATCTCCTTTGTGGCTTCCGTCTCAATTTCTTCAGGGCCATGTCGGAAGCCCATGGTTCAGTGACAGTGTACACAATTTCCGACATCTCGGTCTGTCTTGTCCGACTCCTTGCAGCGGCAGGCTTTGGCCAGAAACAGAGACAAAGACAGAGCCAGGGAATTGCTTGCTCTCTTTACGATTATGGCCCACTTCGCGTTGCGTTCAGATCGTAATAAAGGTCGTTGTGGCTTTCAGCATTCGATGAGTATGCAAATAAAGGCTTTTATGGCCGCGGACAGCTGACACTCGGGGTCGGGCGGGCCAGGCAAGTGCCGCAGGACACGGCGTATGGCCATCCAAGCAATCGTCGTTCCTCTTTCCCTGCCCACGGGATGGATCATGGTTAATGGGGACAGGGCCATTTCTTTGGCGTGCCTGATTTGATTGATTCCATGTTGGCTTATCATTAGGCTCTGGCCTCGAGTGGATCCTAGAAACGCGTTTAACTAATGCCGAGTAAACATACAGCCACTGGAACGGGAGCACGAGGTGCTTATAGTTTCAAGCCAATACCCTTTGTTAGCAAGCCCTGCTACTTTGAGCCACATTTTTTGGCTAATTGCAAAGTGCGACAACATCACGAGCGCAAAGTTTGAACTTGCATTACAAATTCCGGACTCTGCTCTACAAACATTGTCAAACGTAGTCCAACTTTGGGGGCTGTCAAAGCTCGGGCATCAAATTTCCGATGAAGGCAACCAGAGCGCGGCGCCGCCAACTTTTCCAGCCAAATTATTTTTCCTCAAATAAGTTTCATGGCGCGTAGCTGAAACTACAAAAACGGCGGCAAGAGTAAAAGGTGCTCTGTCATGGCTGGGGGCTGCGAGGGAGGCACAGGTAAAATTAAAATTTCATCTACAGTCGGGGACAAAACTCTACCACACGTATTAGCTTGAGGGAAATAAAAGGCATGAAAGTTACTGTACAGCTAAATTGAAGCCCAAAAACGAAAGCCATTAAGAAAACTATGAGAGTAATGCCTAAACAATTAGTAATTTTCATATTTTTCTTAGTTTTAATTTTAATTAAGTCGATTTTGATAGATTGTTTTAATACATACAATACACAGTCTCTTAAGAAAAAAACTTACAAGATTAAGAAAATGTCAACTCAGAGAAAATTTCAATCCTCACTGTTCAACTTTAGAACATTGTAAATAAACCAAAAGCCAAAATTCCCTTCGAACTATAATACTTTCTTGTAGTTTCACACAGACACGTGTATTTGTTTTTAGCCACCGCAACTGTAGACGAATGGGACTCTGTGGCGTAGCACACTCTCTGCGAGGATTTTTCACAGCCAGCCAGGTTTCAATCAGCGACAGCTATGTATTAATTTTTGAGGCACGCTTAGCAAATTTCCCGAAATTGCGGCACATTATTTGAAGGCAATTCGGCATAACCACTTGGGAGGGGTGTGTGTGTGCTCAGGACGGAGGCAGGGCTGCCTTATCTTCCGGCAACCTTTACGGCTGCCGCGTGCTGGCGATAAAAACCGCTTCAAAGTTGGTTGCCTGGTATCTCGGCATTAACCTGCCCGACTTTTAGTTGGAAAGAAGAATTAAAAGTTTCTCGCTCGTCTAGTTCATCTTAAATTTTCAGCCGGGAGCCTGGCGCTGGCATGGCCAAAGCTCATTTGCTTTAATTAGCCGGCAGAATTATCGACTGCAAGCCGTGCCCTTGCTTGCATTCGCATTGGCAGCTCGTGACTAATTAAAATTCACTCAGAGCTGTTGAGCAGTGACAACAAAGGACGAGAATGGGCTTTCGATGGAGTTGAGGACTTTGAATCGAGTGAATCTGTTTCTCCCCGCCCATCCCGCTGCCGCCGAGCTGAATTCCTTTAAATTCGCATTTGTTTTCCCATCTAGGAAGCCCGATTCAAAGTCCTTTCGGCTGCAGGGCCAGCACAAGTTTGGAATTTTATTGTCTCGGCTTAGGAGCCAGATGCAGGGGGATTCGAACAGCCAAAAACTTCCGCCTCAAGGAGCAGGAGGATGTGCTGGCAAACATAGTCTTTCCGGACCCACGCTCAACCGTCAAAGTTCCGGCAGTGAGGAAGGCGACACTTGAAAGGATACACGAGCGTGTTTTGGTCTCCGGAGAGAAGCAGCTCAACGTGTGTGTGTTCTAAGTGGAGTATGTTAAGCAAAATAATGTCACTGAGGACGTGATTTTGTCATTAAATTGGTAGAGTTAAAGATGGTGTTTACTCCAACACACCCACTTCCCCATGCGAAATAGTTGATTTCGGATTAGAAACTAAAGAAGAAACACCAAAGAACTAAAGCATTGCATACCTCCTGGCGCATTTCTTACTTTAACATTTAAACTGTATACCATGTATAGAAAATTTCATTGACTTACGAATTTCAAATAACGTGTTGAAACGAAAATAATTGTGATTTGTTGATGCATCAAGAAGCTGGTTAACGTTCAAATCAATAGATTTTATTTACATTTGTTTTACAATAAGCAGTTGGATGATGTAATAAAATAATTGTATATAATGCACTATATATTTAACAAATTTGATAACAAATTAAGTTACTAAGCCCGGAAAAGAAGAAGTGCTCTGTTAAACTTTTTATTATGTATGCTTGGTTAAATAACGCTTTCTCCGCACTACTCTTAAATAAATATTAAATTTATTGCCTAATATGTTAACTTAAATTTTTGTATGAAATCATATTATACCAGGGATGTTCTAAGGCATACATTTTATATATTTTATTTGGGTTATTTTTAGTACACTCGACCTTAGAGAATTCAAATCATATTACAGTATCCTGCCTAGAGTTAGTTCTCAGAAACTAAAATCTACACGATACAAGCTCTGACAAATATCAATATTAAGGTAGATGAATTTCGTGAAGTTTACCAGTTAATTATACCTCGTATGTCCCAGCCGTCAAATTAACGCTAATGCTCTCTCAACAAGCGACAAACTTGCTTGGGACAGACAAAGTAGCGAATCAATTAAAATATAATGACACATCCAATCTGGAGCCATTAGTCCGGGACTCCATTCTGGCCTTATAAAGCCAGCGACGTAAACGAGTCGCACATAGTTCGACATGATACACACTGGCAAATGGTCACCACCTGACAAAAGGGCCTCCGGAGGCAAAGGCGCAAATCGGAAAAGGGAGCCGAGCTCCATTACAAGGGCCATTATCGCCACCTTCTGGGAATACACCGAGCGGACCAAGGTGAGCGGCATGTGGCTGCTGCGTCGGAATCGCACTTATGGTGTGTCCAGGTTCATCTGGTCCTCTGTGCTGCTGCAGTTGCTCCTCCTGAGTATCTACCTCACCCTGCTGCTCTGGCTGAAGTTTTATTCGTACCCCATCCTCAACACCATCTCTAACGATCTATCCATCACGGATGTGGCCTTTCCGGGGGTGACTATCTGCAGTCCTAAGGTGGTGAACTCAGAGAGAGTCGATCGATACGTAAAGACGCTGTGAGCAAAAGGCATCTTTTCAATGCTACATAAATTTAATATCGCTTTTTCTGCAGCAAGATTCCCAAGGAGTACGACATCGCTGAGGTAGCCGCTGGCTTCGAGTTCCTCAATGCCTTTACAGACCAGAGCTTTGAGCCTCCGAGTCACGAAAGCTTCAAGGCCACGGACGCCGTGCTGCGGTTAAATAATGTAACCACCTGGGAGGCAGCCATGGCCGTCAGTCCCGGCTGCTCCGACTACGTTAAGCGCTGCTTCTGGGGCCACACGGAGTTCCAGTGCAACCAGAGCCACGAGTACCTCTCGTTTATTCCCACCACAGCTTACCTGGGTCCCTGTTGCTCCTTTAACTATAACCCGCGAAACGCCAGCTTCGTGCCGTTCTCAGCCAACATATTCGGCATGGATGGGGGTCTGACCTTTGTCGGGGCGGAGGGCAGTGAGCGTAACCTCAACACTGGCCTCATAGTCTTGGTGCATCACCCCATGGACTACGTGACGGAGTCGGCTGCCTCTGTGACCATCACTGCGCGATCGGAGAGCTTCGTGGAAGTATCACCCACGGTACAGAGCTCCTCGGCCGAGGTCTTGGAGCTGTCAGAGCGGAAGCGGGACTGCCTCATTTCTGACGACTTGCGCCTACGAAACTACCGGCAGGCCGCCTGCCTCCTGGCCTGCCAGACCGAGGCTATTGTGCAGAAGTGCGGCTGTCACCCGTACCTCCTACCCATCGTGGGTAACAAGTTCAAGGAGTGCAACCTAAATGACACATTCTGCTACTCCGCCAACTACGGTGGGTAGGCCCGAAAGTGAAAATCCTCTTACAGATTCCTTGCTCTGTTGTTTGGCAAGGTCGCCCACGTACATCTTGTTGGATGCCTGACAGGGTTACGAGCCCTCTCCGCCGGCATCTTCACCATGTCTGCTACTTCATCCGGTTCTCCTCGTCGGGTTTTCCATATTTCTGCTGCTGCTCCTGCGGTGACTGTGGTTTTATGTATAGCTTTTACGCTGTCGTCATCCCCGCTGTCGTCGGTTTTGCTTGCTCATGTTTCATAATTTATATTAAATATTCAGGATACTCACGTGCTCAGGACTCTGCTTGATATTCCGTTGCTTGAACACTTCTGCAAATCGCTAGGACACTGCTTTAAGAGAATATATATATATATGAATATGCAAATGCATGGCAGTGTGGGGTAACCATAGTTATCCTTCCCCTTTTCCCATCCCTCTTGCAGACAACTTTAAAAGTGTGCGCTGCGACCAGTGTCTGCCCAACTGCTACGATGTCACGTATTCGACTCTCTCCTACAAAACGGACCTCAACCAGCACCAGTTCTCTGTAAGCCGCTACTAGTGAGTAATCGCCAAAGCAAAGACCGTATAATAACAAGATGGGTAAAACCATACGATGCTTTGCACTTGAATTTTTCGTGCACGTCTCGGCTCTCTTGAAAATTTTCGATGGCAGCGCAAAAGTATGGGCGTCATGCATATTCTTATTATAAGGTCTTTGGCGGCACACTGTACTGACTATTAAAATGATAAATTTTACTTGGGCTCACTCCCTCTGCAATAGCTCACCGGAGCTGCTGAACAACGATAGCTTCGTCCTTCGAGTCTACCTCGCAAAGCAGGTAGTGCCAGTGATCCGAAAAGTGACCGTCATGTCTTGGATCGGACTGCTATGTAAGTTACCGAAAATTTTAAATCCTTCATTTGACAGACTAACTAACGATTCAATTTGATTTCAGCGGATTTAGGAGGAATTTTCAACCTCTGTTTGGGCCTGAGCATGATCTCCGTGGTTGAGTTCTTCTATTACTGCACCTACCGTTTCTATATCAACTACCAGCTCCAGAAGGTCCAGCTGCCAAGAAAGGCGTGGCATTAAATCATATTGGGTCACTATTTATCTATATTCTTATATAATAAAAACTTTTTGTTAAGTTATGGATCTTATCAACAGGTTAATAAAGGATGTTCACAACTTTTTCTTTTTACTTTTGACAGAAGTGTTGGGAGCCGCTCTCTTCTGCTTACACGTATTCGGCTTGGTGGGAGCCTCCTCTTCCTCTTCGGCATCGTCGTCGCTATCGCCCGCACTGTTGCTGTCGCTGTCACTAAATAGACCACGGTTAGCTTAACATATCCAGGCATTATCGTTAGTAGTACTCACCCCACAGTCGGCATCTGGTCAAACATATCCTCGTATTCATCGTCTAATGGCGTTGCCTTGATTGTTTTATCTTTCTTAGGATGGGCTACTTTTTCCGCCGTGGGCTCTGTGTCGACCGGGGTCTCGTCCTCCACATGACGTATTAGTACCTTGGTAACCTTCGACTTGACGTAGCACTGGTAGAGAAGCACAGTGGAATCAGCATCATGGATGCGCACATAGCGATCCAAGCTAGCGGAGCTCAAATAACGGCCAGTGGCATCAAGATGAAGATCGCTAATGCCGCCAGTAAATCCCTTGTAGGTATGCACGTGAGTTTTCATGCGCCGTGTATCGAAGGCTTTTAATGCGCCCATGGTAGTGCCCGTGTAAATGTAGTTACCACGTGCCACCAGCGACGCAAAGCTCATACCGTGCTCCTCGCTGGCAAAGCAGGTGACTGGCCGGCGCTGCTTACGCGTATCGTACAGGCGAACGTAGCCTGTTCGCGAGCAGGTGGCCAGCACACTTGGCCCGTCCACGAACCCGACATCGCTGTCCCAGACTGGCACCTCCAGCTGCAGATAGTCGTTGGGCAGGTTTTTGGAGGTGAAGACCTGCCTTCCGTCTGAACTAAGATCGTAGACCTTGAGATTATTCTGTCGTTCTTTGCCCCCGGTGGCCACGATATTCCGGGCCTGCAAGCACTGACGCAGATGATCCATTTGGTTACCCGTATTGATGACCACAGGCTCTGCAGCCTCGTCCGACGCCAGATTTAAGCTTTGTATCTCTCCATTGCCAATGCCCGCAATCAGCTTGTCATTGAAACGGGCCAGACCCACAATGGGGGCTGCTTTAAAGTTAATGATTTTTTTAGAGCCTGCACCGTTTGCTAAGGGTTGCAGCTCGGCTGTGTTTTTGGCTCGCCCGAGCAGGATCTCCGTCTGAGCATCGTCGCCAAAGGCTAGGGCTGTAACGCGAGAGTCCTTGTCTAGGCCACTTAGGTCGCTAAGGTTACGCTGCCCATGCGGCGAATCTTCCGAAGCAGGCACCAAGTCTGTAAAGGGTTCAAGATGCATTGTCAGTACAGTAGTATTGGAGCGCAACAGGCAGTCTTACGTTTGAAAGAGCCCGTTTGTGTTCCCACGAACAGTTCGTGCTTGGCGGTATAGTTCGGGTGTTTCACATTCGCCGTAGTCCACCTCATCGTGACCTCCCTGTTTTTCTAAGTTAATTTTCTCTAAACCAGGAAATTTCCCGCTGTCGCCAGAAAAAACAAACTTTACACGTGCAGGCTGATAGTGTGACCAAATAGAAAATATAAAAATATACTAGAGCTCAACTAATTTTAAACATGTAATGTTCATAAAGTAATTAACTGAATAAGGGGTATTGTCTAAGTAAAGACTGATAATAAGTGCATGTACAGCTTATTTAATATTCGTGAAGCCTGTTTCAGATTTGTGCTTGCACAAGAAATAGCCCGAATTTCCCACCAGGGCTGGAAAACTTTATGCTCAGCTGTGCTTGCGACTTTACCAACACTGTAGGTTAGTTTAACAACAAATCCATAAATTTATGTAATTTTTAAGCATAAATGGCTCTAACAAAAGTTTACGATGCCGCCACAGTATTCAAACACTTGAATGGCATTTTAAATGTGTACAAGCCGGCCGGCGTGAAAGCGAAGCAGGTGCGCAATGCCATCCTTAGCAACATTTGCAGAGGTAAGGACGAGTTCCAATGGAAGCTGACTCGTGTTATTGACTTCTGTGCTCACAGGACTCAACGAAATGGAACAGCGTGAGCCTAGGAAGTTACCGAGAGACAGACCGCTCCTTGGCACTGGCACCGCCGCTGACAGCGTACTTTACAACATAGCTAACTATGAGGACCTCTCGGATAACGTCCTGGCTGCGGGGCCGCGCTACATGCCAAGGGACATACGCTGCGCCACGGTGTCTAGGCTGGGCGATCACACCAGCGGGGTCTTGCGTGAGTCTCCGACAGCACACCGTTGTGCGATCAATATACATATGTAATTACCAGGTACATTTCAGTCTTTGGGATCAACAAGGGAATAGGACAATCCGGCTGCATTCGGAGAAACCAATTGGTGCGAGTTTACCACATCACCGGCTGTATGGGCACTGCCACAGAGAACCACCTACCAGACTCGCACATCACAGTACGATCAAACTATAGGCACGTATCTGCGGACAGGATCAGCGGCCTAGCCGCCTCCATGCAGGCCTCGCATCAGAGAAAGATGTTCGAGCTTTGTGGCGTGGACCTGCAGACCCAGGAGGCCTACGAACTCGCCTGCAAGGGCCTTCTACGTCCGTCGGACGACAGCCAGCCCGTCATCTACGGCATTAAGCTAATACGCTTCGAGGGTCCCTACTTCACTCTAGAACTCCATGGCATCAACGAGACGCAAGAGTACTTGGCCGCCCTGGTGCACGACATGGCCCTGGAACTGCGCACCGTTGCACACTGCTCACAGATTCGCTGTGTCCGTCACGCACACTTTGATGTCAGGGATAGCTTGCTGAGACATGGCTGGCACTTGCCCGGAATCATAAAAAATCTACGCCAACAGCGGGAGATTTTGCGGGCGCACCCTGAAATTCTGCGGCAGGATCGAGTGGAGCTGCACGCTTAAGTCTCCTGAAGATCCTATCAGCTTGTAAATAAAACCGCTTTCGAATTCTTACTTACTAGTATACAGGATTTGTTACCCTCTTACTACTCTCAATATATTTCATTAATATTTATTCTTTGTATGTAAGTATGAATGTATATGCCAACTCACTGATTGTATGAAAGTGTCAGCACATGTTTTTCGCAGTCAAATATTTCTCTCTGCAGCTTGTCGTTCAACTTCTTGCCAGCCACAGAGTCGTGCTCCTTATGAATTACCTCTTCCGCCTCCTTGAGGCGGGCCTGAGCTTCTTCCAAAAGGGAAGCACCTTCAGCGGGAGCTCTACGCGCCTGCTCTTCGAGCGCGTGTGCGATCTCGATCAGAATGACTGTTACATAAATGGCGAGCTTGATACTGTACGGATCCAAGCGCCGACAGACGTCGTATAGTTCGTTGCACAAACGTAGCTTCCGCTCCAGCTGCCCACTGCTGAGGCTGGTCAACTCCAAGCCGCTTTCGTTGCCGTATAACTGAATCAACGTGTGCTTCAAATTGAACATGTGAAAATGGTTGAGATGCAGCATCTGGGAGAGACGCGCCAATAAAAGTTCTACTTCGTTGGCGCGAGGGCATCCAGCTAGCATTCTCTCCACCTGATCCGTCATGTGGGTTTGTAACTCGGACACATAGGCAGCATCCACTATCATGGGACAAGAATTGCACTTCCACTGGGTGTTTTCATCCACCGGATCTATGGGCAGGTGAGTGCCACCACATGTTTTATTTACATCTCCCAGACAGGCCAGGGCGCTGACGTAGCTGCCGTACTCCGTGGGATCTGTGCAGCGGGTGCAGTGGCAGGTGAAGTGCTTTGTCATACGCAGGTGGTGCTGGCGCATCTGAGTGCCCCACAAGATGTTGGTATAGGTAATCTGCAGGTGATCCCCTTTCCGCAGATTGCCCCCTGCCCGAACCGCGATCTGTTGCGATGTGGTGTCAAACTGGAAGTAGCAATTGGGCTGGCAGGCGTGCTCCATCATGCAGGCCTGTCTAAAGAGCCCACTTAGCTCGACACCAGTCGGAAGCTCGATTACCATGTAATTGGTCTCAATGATGCCACACAGCCTATGCAGCAACTCTGTGTCGCATTGCTCCAGAAGATTGGGTTTCGTCTGCCTCAGACGACGCAGGAATCGCTTGTCCAGGTAGCTAACGACCCTCTTCTCCGCCTCCTCGTGCAGTTCGGTGCCCTTTCGCTCCTCTTCGTGCGACTGCATCTCTAGCAAGGTCGCCCATTTCTCCGGATTCTGCCGTTGCAGAAGCAAGCACTTCAGCACTAGCAGAGCATCGCCCCTAAAGTAGTCGTTCAGCGAGCGGACGTCAGCCCGGCCAGCGGGAGCCGACCCCATGCTAAGCACACTGCATTCCAGGGCCTCGTGAGCGCAGGCAGAACTGCATACTGGCCAATGGCAGCTAGCGGTGTGTAGAAGAAATGGGTAGCCTATGAATGAAATCCATTGCCGAACGGTTGACTCACCTGCGGCACTGGTGTTTTCCCACGCGGCAAGGCGTATAGCAACCCACACAGGAAACGATGGTGGCCTCCTTCTCGGCCTCCGAGAGGTACCACTTGGGTCCCACCACCAAAGGAGCCTCGACGAACACGATTTGATTGGCAGCGATGTCCTGAGTGGCCACCAAATACCTGCCCAGCTGGGCATCCTGCTCCTCGCGGAAAGGCCGACAGCTGCGCTTGTGCTGCGGCCAGTGCTGCTTTTGGTGCTCCCGATCGCAGTAGCGGACTAACTTGCAGCGGGTGCACGCCTGCGAAGCAGCCACTCCACACACGGGACAGTTCAAACTCAGCGTGTTCGACCCCATTGCTCTTGCTGAACATATACTTTTTCGCGACGTTACGTTGGCAGTGTGTTTCCTTTTAGACTGATCTTTATTTCGGTGGGCAGCGGGCGGCAACTGAGTATTTATTTTTAGCCCGCTTCTCCAAACACTAACCTCTCTCTTTCACCCCAGAAAACCGACTATACTACTCTCTCCCTCTCTTTGTCTTTCTCTCGGAGCCCAGCAGATCTCTGTTTACGATCGGGGATGGGAGCACAGATTTGGGAGCATGTAAAACGGCTTTGGAACGCTCTTTATTTGTCGCTTCTTCCGTGAGATACAAAGGTACTTATACCGTACAAAAAAGGCGTCAATTAAAAAACATATAGTGTTAAGCATTTCGTGATTAGTGATGTGATATACAATTGATTTAGCTTTCGTTCTGCGCATGACTCTAGTACGGCTCTTGCGGCGCGTCCAAGTCCCGGTAGTGTGATCTGGGTCGATAATCAAAACCACCGGGTCTGTAAGCAACGAGAATGAATTTAGACTTTAGAGTGGTGGAGTAATGCACGCAGGGCTATCAGGGAAAGACACACAAGATACAAGACGAACTCGCATTTATTTCGGGCAAATAAAAATTGGCAACGTTGCTTTGTCGGATACTTAATACAATTGGCGTAATATTGTACATGGAAACGGTAGGGGTATCAGTAGTCGCATGTATATAAACCTCTTTTTTATGCAGCTGATACTCTCCTAGCATTAGCATTGCTTGAATTGCGTTTAAAACTTGAGCTCGCCAAACGTTAAAGTGAGCCTTTCTCTCTTTTTCAATTGTACTGTGTTAACGAAATTAGTCAAACATATCGGAATTGGCAGGCGCATCCAAATCATGGTAACCGATAAGCCGGCGCTGGTGTTCCAAAGGCAATTCTCTGCAAAAAATTTGCGACACAAGAAAGTTGTGACAAATTTCGATTTAGACCAACAAAATGTGAAAATTAAAGTTCAAAAGGGGAAGACTAGGGGACAACCTGTCTATGCAAATGCTGTCGGTCATGGGTGGGCTGTGAGGTTGCCTGTTTCTAGTCCGCCGCGAAGATAATGATGGTTCAAATGGGTTTAAGTTTGTATTCATGTACCTGTGTACCTCTGACTTATTGCATACAGCAAGAGAAGGAAATGTGTGGACAGATTCAGAAACAATCTCGATGCTATTATTAAACCGTACCACGACACAGCCACAAATGCATCAATTAATTTATGGTGGGGAAGAAGACTACACTACAGTTGTACAAGTTCCTACACTAAGAAAGCACTGCATGTGCTGTACTAACCTGCGAGCTGGCGGAAAGTTGCGTCCTCCTCGGCCTCCACCCATCATCGGTGGCCCAAATCCGTACGGCATTGCCGAGAATGGCGGATACATGGGTTGGCGATATCTTTAAAAATAAAAATTGCAGTTATGCGAATCAATAAGGCCGTATAAAATTACACTCACCCTCCGCCGACACCACGACCAGATTCCGCTTCTGGGCGTTTAGAGCTGCCAGGGTGTTCGGGCAGCTGCGGGCGCTTTGGATCCCGCAGGTAATTGTTAAAGTACTGCACCTCCTTGCGAACCTCGTCGACTTTTTCCTCGTGCTTGTTGAAAATGTGCTTGCGAATAAACTCGGGGCCCTTGAACTTCTTACCCGAAAGCGGACATAGCCACTTGTCCTTAGCCAGCTCTTGCGTATTGGCCTGCACAAACTTCTCTACCTCTGTCTCTGCGTCTTTCGCACCCAAGTCCTTGATTTCTTCGTCTCCCAGCAGGACAGTCTTTGTGAGGAACTGCTGCAGCTTTCCCTCGTACGTTTTGATGTATTCTTGTACATCATTATTTGTGACCCGTGCAGGAGCTGGACCGCGGGCGTGGATGATGCCACATCGGTTTGGCATCTCGTCCTCGTACGGGTACTCGCAATGGTTGTAATAATCGACGGAATGAACGATGCGGAGATACAGAACGAGTCGGTCCAATACAGCAAGCAACTGCTCGTCGCGTTCGATGGGCTCGCCTTCGTTGTCCTTGTTGTTGCCGGTCAGGCCAAGGAGCTCATCCTCTTCTGCAGAAGCCTCTTCAATGAGGTAGTCGGTAATATTTTGCAACACCGGATTTTTAGAGTTAAAGCCGTATGTGGAGCCACCTCCATTTGATGACGACTCGCCACTGGCACGCATTGCCTCATCTGAGGAGGACTCTGTCCAGAGCCTGAACCTGTCATCCAGATTTATGGCGATCTTGGCGCACAGCTTAATATCCGATCGCACAACCTGCTTGTGTGCGGTGATTCCGTTAGCTGGCCGCACGCGACGGCTAAGATCCCGATTTACAATAGCCCCCATTTCGCAATCCCGCAGACGCTGATTGTTCAGGCTCCAGCAAATCTCTTTAATGTTAACGTCCCGGATAAACGTAATCCAGCCGCGACGATACCATCGGCGCTCCACCAGAGGATCAGCAATAGCCACTCTCAGATAACCGCTAAAACGAGTACAAATGCCTTCGATCTCTGCTCTGGTTATGGAAGGTGCCAGGTTACGGAGAAAAATGGAAGAAGTGCGATGCAGGGCACGTGGCTGACCATCTTTCAACTTGTCTACATCAATGGTCTCGGTTTGCTCCATCTGCTTTTCTCCGCCAGCAGACTTTTCTCCGATGTTCTCAGTTTGGCTCGATCCACCATTTTCTGTCTCCATTGGTTCGCCCGGATCTGCTTTCGGAGAGTTAGGTGGCTCGCCGTCCTTGCTTTCGGTGGTTGGTTCTTGGGGTTCGGAATCAATTTTCTCTGCTGTCGACTCGATTGGACTTTTAGGTGTCTCCTTTGCTTTGGCCGCTTCTTCTCTGTCCCTCTCAGCCTCAGCTTTTTGTTCGCTCCTGAGTCCATCCTCTACATCGTACTTCTGCTTTAGCTTGGCTTCATCCTCATCCTCCGAGCTGGAGCTAGAGTCCTGCTCAGACGAGGAGCTGTTATCATCGCTGCTGGTTCTTTTACGCTTCTTTGTTTTCTTTTTTAGCTTCTTGCTCTCCGAACTAGAATCTATAGCTTTTGGTTCTTCCCTTCTCTCCTTTGCATCTGGCGCTGCGTCCTCTTCATCCCAGTTCTCCTCGTCGGAGTTGAGAGGCTTGATAATTTTTCGTTGTGGCGATACGACCACCGACAACGAATCGTCCTCGTCTTGCTTCTCCCTCTTGGGACTCTTGATTTGTTCATCAGTCCCCTTGGCCACCTCAGCCGTCTCCGCCTTTCTTTCGTAGACTTGGGGCTCTTTGGGCTTCTCGTCGAGCACTTTGAGGTCCTCATCGGTTCCTCCCTCTAGCTTTATGACGCACGTATCTAAAACACGAATAAGGGCATCAGCTTGGGAGGAGTCCACTTTGACGGCACCTATAGCACCGTTATTGAGTAACTCCACGAATACGTCAGTACGTCTCTGGAATTAATGTAAATATAAAACGGCTGCCCGATGGCGTGCACAGAAATATCGTACCTTTAGGAAGCCACGCTGTTCTTCGCTGCGTCTGACACTGTCCTCTGGGTGGTACTTGTTTTTGAACCTGGAGGTAAACAAGTTAAATATACGATTAATAAGTTTTCAAATTTATTTTGCTCCACTTCTCAAGTAGTTTTGGGTGAATTTAAAGTCTACTTCTTCGCATCTTCGCCCGGCTGTTGATATTAAGATTGGTTATTTTCAGTGGTTTTATATTCTTAGATAGGATTGGTTGTTTCTCAATTATCACCCAAAGTCTTACCTTGCAGGCTTAGCGCTTTCGTTATTTATGGGATTGTTTTATAGTTATTTGGGCATTTGCTCGACCAACGAATATCGAATTAAAATAAATCGCGATTTAAAAATGTGAACACACCTCGGCATTGCTCGCCGGGTAATTAAGAATATTAATTTAGTGGATATCAGTTAGCAGCTCTGCGAGACCGTGCAGTCGCTTCTCTGTCTCACAAACCCAATAAGCTGCAGAGAAAAACTTAATATACAGAAAGTTATGAGTTCCGAGCGACAAGGCAAATGGGGAAACCACGCAAGGGAGCCAAGTTGCTGATATATCAACGAGTTCGAAGAGTGCACTGCGTCGCATCGAAGGCTCACCCGTTGGCCAGCTACTAACCATTCCTCATCCTTGTGGGCCACGAAGAACTCGTTCAGCTGTTGGCGCTTGAAGTCGGTCTTGTACTCGGTGTACTTTCGCATGACCTCCGAGTCGGAGATGTTTTCATCCTGTGTGTCCAGGAACTGCTTCAGGTTGAGCATCGCAGGCTGGGTTAGCGTATCGCCGCCACTGCTAATGGGCTCCCTGGCCGGTGGCACGTGACCAGCATGCGAGTATGCAGAGTGTATCGACTGGTAGTGATCGTTCCAGGCCTGCATAAGATAGGGGTCGTAGCCTGCCAGTAAATACAATCCTTTTAAGTCCGCGTACAAAAAGTTTTTTTTTTAACCTACCACCGAACCGGGGATTACCGCGCACATCTCCATCGCCCCAGTCCGGACGCATGCGCTTGGCAGGCGGCAAGTCCCGACCGGGAGATCCGTAGCGTGTCCTTGGCCCCGGACCACGATATTCACTGTAGTCAGGCCTATGGCGGGCTCCTCCGCCGCCGCCTCCTGCGGAAGCGCCGCCCCTGAATGGATTGCTGTAACGTCAAGTGCTGTCGTCATGTAATAGTTCAATAGCGCCTTTACTTACCGCTCCGACCACTCGTCCCGGGCGCCCGTTGAACCGCCCACTGGACGACGCTCATCCCGGCGCTCTGTCCGATAGCTGTCACTGCGCTCCCCGCGGAACTTGTCACGCCGCTTGCGATCGTACTCGTCCTCAGAATCAGCCATGGGTGGTTGTCTGTAAGGTGAAAAGGTAAGTGAAAGCGGCTTGTTCTTAACCTCACTTCCAGACGCTGCAAGTCAGCGTTTTTAAAATTTGTACCCGTAACCGTAAACTAAACGTTTTACAAAGTAGAAGATGGCAAGGGAGGAGCGCAATTGCGTATTCGTGGTAAATGTAAACTATACGACAAATTACAAATTGTTTTCAGCCGCCATCTTGCCGCTGCCACAACAAAAATGGCAAACGTTTTACTTTTGTACTATTTTACATAATTAATGAATGAATCAATAGCTTATTAAACGCGACGTCGGCAGTATAGCTGGGTAATTCTGAATAATATTTTATTAATTTTGTATTCATTTGCAATTACCTTTTGCTATTTTAACAAACCTTTTCGGCAAAACAGTAGAGTGGAGACAGCCGCTTACGATAGTGTCGACTCCCGGAATATTTGAGGGTGAGTTAAGTTATCGATATTTAGTCTCCGATAGCGATATTGAAAATAACCTTTTCACACTGCCTTTTTAGTGCTGCTAATAATTCTTTTACATATATCGCATCAGCGGCATCTCTAGAATATCGCAGCAGCGATTTTTCCAAAGAAATATAAAAACAACAATGTGTGCAAGGCAACTAGGCATTAAAATTATGTTTGACGGTATATTGCCGAGGCACTTGTTTAGCTGCGGGTTCAAATAATAATTATGATTTTTTCAGAGTTTGGACGAACTCCCTAATTTACAGGGAGATTGCAAAAAAAAATTTAAAAGGCTGTTACCGACTTCCCCGCCAAGTTTATGTTTCTCTAACGCCTATAATATTAACCAGTGGTCGTTGTTTAATATGCTGATTTTTTTAGTCCGTCTTTTTCTTTTTATACCCTTGCAGGGTATTATAATTTAAGTCAGAAGTTTACAACGCAGTAAGACTCTTTCGATCATACAAAGAATTTATGAATATTCTTGATCAGGATCAACAGCCGAGTCGATCTAGCCATGTCCGCCTGTCCGTCGCTTCTACGCAAACTAGTCTCTCAGTTTTGAAGGAAATTTTTCAGGTAGTCTTCGTATACTTTCACTCGTACATATGTCGGAACGGGCCGGATCAGACGACTATATCATATATGTATCATATATCATAGGAACGATCGGAAAATTAAAAAAAAATTAAAACTTATTGAGTTTCAACAGATTTTCATAAAATATGAGGTATAGCCCTTTCTATTATTCTAGAATTTCGATTTTGATTTTATGAATATCGGACGACTTTATCATATAGGTGCCATACAAACGATCGTTAGATATAGATGAAAAATGCAAACCGGTGAATGTAAAACTGTAAATATAATATGTATAGGTGAATGAAATTAAAGCAGGCATTATTGTTTTCAAACATAAATATATATAATTTAAAATGTAATTCCCACTGGACGAAGTACTTTTTGCAAGGGATTTAAGAATTTAATTTTTAAGCTTCATGATTTAATATATAATGGGTTTTTTCATGAATGCCATGAATGAAGCTGAAAAAACACTTAATTGTTGCATACCTTGCGGCTAACCAAGCGTTTTTATAGAAAAGGACTACTTTCTTTGAGGCATCAGTATACACAAAACAAAAGGACGAGGAAACGTAGAAAAACAGGATCACAATTGAGCAACATATTTTAAATATATCATTTTTATTTTATTACACGTTTCATATATCGTATATATATACTTTTCTTTAGATTTATGTATATGTATATATTTACAGCTTAGTTGTACAACTATGCAAAGTTTAATTGTATTCTATGCCTAAATAAAGTTGTTAATTATTAAATTAGTGGCAAAAATGTTATTATTTGCGCCCAAAACAGCTTCTGCTGCTGATGTTGCGCCAGACCGTTAAACCCAAAATAGGCATTGAATCGTTTGTAAGTGCCTCAATCCATATCCCATATTCACCCCTCAATCCTTCGATCTCTGAAGTATAAAAGTTGTTCATCTTGTATTGTATTGTGTTAGTAATAATATTTACGTTAAGTGAACAAATTTCAAAATTAGATTACAGTTTCGTACATATAAGTAATTATTTCTAGATACATACATATCCCAAGTGTATTTAAATATTTATGCACCTTGTTGTTGGAAACAACGAATGAACATTTCTGCTGTGTGTTTCCACTCGATCTATCCCGGGAAAATAAACAATTAGAATTGGGTATGCATATGCTTGTAATTGTTTAATCAGTTTAAATGCTAACAATCTCTACATCTCTCTCGTTATCATAATCGGTAAACGCAACTCAAGGATATGCCCAGTGTGTGGGGGTGTGGGAACAAAACTAATTGGCTTTGAGTTCCATTCCTGCGGAGTGGACTAAATGGCGAAGTAATAAATTAGCTGGCAGTGTAGCGTACAAATAATAATGCTAGTGGACTCGGAAAACTATGTACTTGTTGGCGAACCATTTCTGCCACCATTCCCTCCGACAAGGCTCAGGGCTTTGTCAATCTGTATTTTTGCATTTCTTTCGCTTTTCAAATAGTTTTACGTATCTCGTGTGTAATGGTTTCTGTTTACAATATTTTCAGTATGCTGATTAGACTTTTGGTTATCGATTTTCGCTGCTTGCATTTCGCGTAACGCTAAAATGCCGTCATTTCATTTTCAGTTTGTATTTTGTATTCTTTATTTGTGTTTTCAGGAAAAATGCTTTACTCGCTAAGTTCTTCGTCTTCGTACTGTGTGCGTTGTCAATCCATATACGTATAGGTTCGGACTTAAACATATACTCGGAATCGTATATTGTTAATAATTGTATATATTTTATAGATATTCCTTTTACCATTTAATTTTATTTTACTGATTGCTACACATTGCAAATGAAATTTGACGTATGGCGTCTCCTCTTATGTACTCTAAGATTGAAAAATGGAGGCGGTTCGAAAACTTAGTAAATCTGTATGGTATTAGATCTCAATTTCGATTTGGCAGTGAGAAAAACTAAGCTACTGAACTCAAGGCAAAGTAAGAAGCTTCTCTTCGCTCTTTGATAATGGAGAATACCGGATCCATATCGAGGCATGTAGATCATCTAGATATATCGTAGGCCCATAGCTAGGCAATGATTAACGGCAAACCAGGTACCTCTAAAAAGGCTTTGGGGTGCTTTTGTTTCAAGTTAAATGGAAAGTCTTCGGGGCTGAGAGTGCGTTGTGAACGAATCTAATAATGGAAATTATGGCTTTGTTCAAGGTATATATTTGTTTTCTTCTGTTCCTGCTCATGCTCTGCTGCTAAGGTCTCGCTTGTAGTTACAATTATTATTATAATGCTCAAAACCTGTCGATCATTCCCGTCCGTATTCGTCTTCGTCTTCGTCCCTGCTCCATCTGCTTAATCATCTTTTGTTTCGCTTGAGGTAGTTTTTCAATTCAGGATCAATATCTACAAGTTGAACACAAAATGCTTGTACGCGGTGTGTCAGTGTGGGTCTTAGGGTTATAGTTATAGGGCTCAGGCTGTGTTCACGGTCGAGGTCGTGGATCCTACATAGTTGGGCCTAGTTGTTGGGGCAAAACAATTACGAGTTACACATAACAGAAAACAGTGCATAAAAATGAAACAAAGTCTAGTTGCTCTGCGTCTCGAATTTCAAAAATCTACATAACGATTCGGTTTCTGCTTATATTCTTATTTTGGTTTTATCTTTTATATGAATGGATCTGTCAACAAACGGTTGTTACTTTATACCATACAATCTTGTATTTTCGTATTCATCAGGTTGCATTATTTGTATTGTTGTAAGTCGCGTTCTTTTATCATTCTTACAGAGCGAGGGCTTTAAATATACGTTTATTTATATAATAATATATATGCGTATTTACAGATCTTAGGCGTGACAATGTATTATTGGAAAGAGGGCCTATCGAGGGTATTTATGTATATGCTTGCTTATATCCTATGTTAAACACTCAACTTGGGTCTGGAATCATAATTATATGGTATCTAATTATGGCAAAAGTCGGGGGTTACATACAAACAGGGAATAGCAAATGAATGGCTCTAACTGTTACACTTTAATGCTATTATATAGCGCGTCTTTTCTCCCGATGTTTCACCAACCGATAATAAATTAGATTTCAACCAGATATATAAGACTGCTCTTCTCTTCCTTTTGACCAACACAATTTTCGCTTTATTTCCCTCGTTCTTAGCCAATTTCACAGCCATTTGCTTCGTATGCAAATATTTTCAAATTCTGAATTTCTAGCTCCTAAGTCTTTGCTCACATCCCGAAAAATCATTACTCCTTGCTCTAGTATACAAAAATGAGAAATCTGGTAATTCAACGGAAAAGAACAAAGTCAAAATAAAAACACGTTGGATTCGGTTTATGTTTTTTGTGTTGATTTTTTTTTTGTTTTGCTTTCGTTAGCTTCAACATATTTTTTCATATATGTATATTGTGTGTTTGTATTTCTTGATTTCGCATCTTCTTTCACTCGTAATTAGGTAAAAGGTAAAATTATTCTGTATTAGGACAAAGTTGGCTCTTTACATTAGGTGTAGAACTACAAAACAAGTTATGCGTAAATGTATATGTAATTGTAGGTTTATAATAATAATCGAACGTGCTCGAGTGGGCATGCCGCATGAATCGAACCTAAGATTGTATAACCGAGACTTATCGTGAGTTTGGTGAGCGGGCTTCGAATGTGGCTCGAATTTCCCCTTGGAGGCCCCCAACGATCATATATGTACGAATTAAAAAATGACGATTAAATAATTCACTGATTTCTGTTTGTCAAAGTGCTGGCTACATTTAATTAGTATTTTCTTTTGTTTGGGGATGTGCTCGTTGCGTGGAGTCGCCTCCACTTGTGTCGATTCCATGCAGCTTTAGTTCATCCTCGCACAAATTCACATTTTATAAATTAGGTTCTCTTAAGCTTTACATGTGTGGCGGTGTGTGTAGGCGTGTGTATGCGTGTGTAAAATTATAATTAAATTAATATTAGTAGTAAAGGTAAAAAATTGCACAGTTCAAGTAGAAACTACGTAAGATGTGTTCGTCCTACTCTTTATACAATAAAAGAATTTCACTTTTCGATTTATGTTTAGTTTTATTTATATTTTACAGTGGTTCCTTTCTCGTTATCAAACACAAATTGCTACTAAAATTAGAATAAATTTGATTTAAGTTAAAATAAGGCCAACAATTTAAAAATGTACACTTCAAAGCAAAAAGCAACTAATGACGCATAAAAAGAGTTTGGAACCAAAATTGCATACAATTTCATTAATAATTGCCAAAGTAAAAAATTTGCACTTTTTGGGGGTTTTCATTAAATAAATTTTGATTTTGCCAAATTTGCTGGAGTCACTCACACAAATTTTGAATTACCAATGTAAATTTTATAAATAAATATTGAAGTCTTTTGGTTTATGTGTTTATTTAGACGTGTGTGGGAGAGCTATCAAAGTGATCGAAAACTATATCCAGGGTAAATTTTGCTTTATTTACTTCCGACTTAATACCTTTTGATGCCTTTTGGTTTTTGAGTAAAACTCCAATCACTTTAATTTCATTTTCTGGTTCGAGTTCCATATAAAAATGTTTGAAAAAAATGCCTAAAAACAGTGCCAATTCCAAGGATGTTGGATTTTTTTTTTTTTGCGAACATTTTTTGGGTGAAAATGATAAGAATCTTACAGTTTAGACTTTCATTTTTAAGAAATATAAAGGGGGGCATAATAAAAATATTTGTGTAGTCCGTTATTTTGTTTCGTTTCGCATTTTTTGTAATTTTTTTTTACAGTTTCCTTTCGTTATGATTAAAAAATATTTATAAAATCAGTCCAAGTTTTTCGTGTTTTTTTTCTTGTTTTAGAGTTTGTTGTTTGAATAACTTAAATGTATTTAGTTATGGTAGATGTTAATGTTATTATCGTAGTTATTATTTTCATTTAACAGGTTTACTCGCTCCACTAGAGTAAAGATTTAGATGTACAGTTAGGTATTATACAGTTGCATTCATTAGGTTTACAGTTAGTACATATTATTTTATATATTTTTAAAATATAAACAATCTTTATTCTCTTCTCTCTTCCCGCTGTCCGAGCACTCCTCGCTCTCCGTCCTCAATCTCTGACCTCGTCGAGTCTATTTCTCGTGTGGAGGAATGAATTGAAAACAAAATTCGAGAATTTAATGTGGGGATATTGCATTTGCATCGAACTTTTGCCCACGCAGAGATTAATTCTATTATTTCGCGATTTTCAATGGTTCCCTCCACTTCGATTCGACTCTCCCACCCTCTCTTTCCTATAATCGTCGTTGAAGCTTGATCTGGGGTAAGCTTTGTGTAACCGTTAATAGTTTTCTTTATCATTTGTAACGTAAGGATAATGCCTAAATCTAATATTTGCAGGCTTAAGACTAAATAACTGCATTTACGCTCGTCCACGGTTATTCACTTTGCCCTCGCTGACTTTTCCCCCAATACTCTCGGTAGCAGAGAGCTCCTCCAAGCCCCCTGGCCACGAATCGCAGCTGGTGTCTGGGGGAGGAGGAGGAAATCTGTGCGTCCAGGTGCCCTTCTCAGTCCAGGAGGACGCCGATGGTCTGGGGGTGTTGGTACTGCTGCTGGTGGCGCTACGTCTGCTATACCGTTGTCGAGTGCTCCGATTTGACCGCCACGCCGCCGATCAGCTGTTCCTGGTGCGGATGCAGGGCCACGCCCATTAGCGCCATTGCCGTCTGGGCGTTCGCGTACATGCTAACGTTCCCGCCAACCCCTACGCCTACGCCCACTCCTACTCCGACTCCGTTGCCACCGCCTCCGCCCATTGCCACCCCCGATGTGGTGGAGCTGGCAGGAACCGCGGCAGTGATGCTCGTGGAGGAGGTGGCCGCCGCCGTGGTGGGTCCCATGGCCCCACCGCCGCCGATGTAGTCGCTGCTCGTGCTGACCGCAGACACAGAGCCAGAGGCGGAAGCGGGTACGGAGACAGGAAGATGCTGCGTCTGGGGCTGGAGTTGAAGCTGTGGTTGCAGCTGGGATTGCAGCTGAGGCTGGAGCTGCGGCTGTGCCTGGGATTGTGTCTGCGTTTGCGTCTGTGTCAGCGACTGAAGCTGTGCCTGATTCCCGAGCTGAGGCTGGGCCTGCGGCTGATGCTGGGCCGCCTGCGCCGCCGCAGAGGTGGATGCGGACTCCGAGTCGATGCCGGCGGTGATGGCGCCACCCACGGAGGCGCGCATCCGCTCCGCTCGCTCCAGACGCTCGTTCTCCTCCTGCGTGACCTGGAGGTGTGACTGGACCGAGGGCGGGATGGCATGCACATCCCAGATCTCCTCGAGAAACTTGGGCAGCTTGCGGTTCTTGAGCTTTAGCGAGAAGCACATCTCGGCATTCTGGTTGCCCAGGGTTCGCAGCTCGGTGAGGATGGAGAGGAGCTTGGCGTAGAAGACGAGGCTCATGGAGTCGCCGCAGTGGCGGTTGAGTATATAAATGCGTAGCGTGTCGATGTAGTAGCTCTGGATCGCTTCGACTAGTTGGGCCTTCTCCAGGCCCGGCCGGTCCGAGAAGATCACAATGGCAGTGAGTAGCGCGTATTCGACGTTGTCCACCTTCATCGAGAACATTTGACGGCAGAAATGCAGCAGGTCTTCAATGTTGTCGGCCATGCCGGCCATTTTGTACGAGTCCCGCGTGTACGATCTGTTGTTCGCGAAGAATATGGAGTCGGAGTTGTGGTCGTACCGGCGAGCCATGCGCAGCATCATCACTTCCGACGAGCAGGCCTAAGGGATAGACATTAGTAGGTTATGTTCCGGCTATCAATAGATTAACAAAGGAGTACGTACCTTCAGTAACGTTATCTGATCTTCCTGGGGAATCTTTGTAAACGCTGGTAAACCCTTTGCAAATTCAACAATCAACTGAACTGTGAGTATGGTTATCTCGGTGATGTGCCGAAAGCTGACATCCGTCTGGCTCTCGTTCTCATCGGGTTGACTCTGCAAAATTATGGTTAGAGTTGCCAGCCACAAATGTGAGATATTCGAGGTTACCCACCATTATACGCCTGAGATCCTCTTCGGATGGCTGCTCGTAGCCATCCTGGTACCAAATTAACTTGTATATAACGGCCAACTGATTGTACGTTAATGGAGGTATATTGCGCGCTTGACACTTGGCCAAAATATCATCAGGTAGTAGCTGTATCAGCACGAAAAAGAAATATGTTATGAATAATGATCTTGGTTAACATTAGACCGAGATTCTTACCGGAATTGTGGCATGCTGGGGCGCCTCGCATGTCATCAGATCGAGAATCTCCTTCTTGACAAAGTCATGGGAGCTGCCGGAGCCGAGGCTGCCACCGTTGCCACCGTGCTGCGAGCTGGGCGAGGTGGTCATCTTGTCCTTCTCCTTCTGGGCCTTCTTCTCGCGCCGCTTCATCGCGCACTGGTTCTCCGGGACAACGCACTCCGGCCGCATGCCCACGGCCAGGCACTTCTTCAGGCGACACTCCTGGCACTTGCGTCGCATGTACATGTCCATCTCGCAGGCGCGCCCGAACTTGCAGCAGTACATGGCGCTCTTCGTCACGCTGCGCCGGAAGAAGCCCTTACAGCCCTCGCAGGTCAGGGCATTGTAGTGGTAGCCTGAGGCACGGTCGCCACACACCAGGCACAGCTCCTCCTGCACCCGCGGCGCGGGGCCCTTCTTGCTCTTCTTCGCATCGCAGCTCTCGTTCGCCGAGTATCCGTTGAGGCTGCTCGAGGGCGAGAGATCGTCGCGACCTGTTGGGCGAGAGGGAGGGGAGCGAACGCAGCTGGTTAGTATGGATTATTTCAGTAGGCGATCCATAAAACATTAGACCCCAATAAATAAATTTAGCTGTCGCGGAGTTCTATGCTCTCCGCCATTTGCATGTTTTGCAAGCTCCGAATCTGTATCTGAATCCGACTCCGACTGGACACGTTTGCATGATAATCTGTGCCGCTGTATCCAATGTCTTGCGTTGGGGGTTTGGCAACGCCCCCACGTTCCAAGCCCCGCCGTTCTTCCCCGAAAAATTTAAAATTCAATTAACGTTTTCGCTCAGAGTCAACCGTACGGTGTACGGCATGTATCCAGCCGTTGGAAATCGAGCATAGTGATTGGACAGAGGCTGAAAGTCATTAGAGGGGGAGTTTTGTCCTCAAAGGAAGATGTGAACTCGCTGATGATGAACATTGTACATCTCTAGAAGCAGTTATTCTACCCTAAATTGTTGTTAAGTGATTAGTGACCATCACTAAATAAATTTTCATTTAATTTCCACATCGAAAAGGCGCCTAGAATCACATAATTTATGATGATCCTTCCATCGATGCCTCCACTGACAAACTCAAAAGAATTGAGTTCGATAAAAATGTCATAATACTTTCTGTACTTTTATTTCTGTCTGCAATCCATCAAGCCATCAAGCCCCATTATCGATTACGTTTAAAACTATGAATGGCGCTGGAGATACATTATCCGAATAGTCACGTTCGCAATACTCCCACAAAGATATAAAGGAATATCAAGTGCAAGTCTTTCCCTACAAAGGCACTAACGACGGGCCCAGGAGTGGGTGGGCCAGTTAGAAGGGGCATGAGGATGTGGATATGGGCGTTGGTAGCACACAAGCGAATAAAAAGATGCGAAAAAGAGGCTTGGTGTTGTTGCAACTGCAACGGCAACACCAACACCAACACCAACAGCAATGGCAGTGACAACAACAGAAACGGCAAGGAAGGCAGACACAAGACACGGCTCAGACACTTGGCGAAGACGATAGCCACGCCAGAGGGGGAGAGGACGCGGCTAAGACGTCACTTGGCCACAAGTGCACCCTCTGCCTCTCCGCCCCTTCTTGGCGTGCTTCAACGGCAGCCGAGTGCAACGCAGTGCATTGTCGGCCTAACACAGTTTTCCGCAACCAGTATCCACATTCTGCACCTCCACGTCCACGTCCTGATCCACGCTCACATCCCTCCCTGGACGTCGCCTGCCCACAAAGCGCACACTGCCATAAAATATTACCCATACGCCCCGTTGTCTTGGCTACTTTCCCTCCCTCGCTGCAGTTGCTGCGTTTCAATTTCACTGCCAGCACTGACAGCAAGTGGAATAAACGACGGCGTCATGCAAACTCTGTCTGCTCCAGCGACTCATGGAAAATGGAAAAAGGAAAAAAGGAAAATGGAAAATGGGGAGACGCCAGCATGACTGCATTTTCACTGCACTCGCGTTGGTGAGTGCGAGAGAGCTGCTGCCGCTGCTTCGGCAGGGAAATCGTGTGGTTAAAAGTAAAAACCTGCTGCAACGACGACAGCTTAGGGGTACCATATGAGGGGGCTGAGCAAGGCCAGTTTCTCAATCTACATTAAGTGTTTCGTTTGCAGATAAACTAGCAGTTAAATAACTGGTTTCTTTAAATCTTATCTGGCAAATGTTTCAGAGTTAGGAATTTCTCGCGATGACAGGACCAAAACTATATTGCTATTTAAGGTTAGCTTGACTATTTGGTAACTTTAATTAAGACTAAGGAAACTGGACATCGAGAGGAGGGGCCTAGGACATGATATAACCGCTCGAAATGCAATGGAGCAAAGCTTAGCCATAGAACGAAATGAATTTAGCATAGGCCAGTGCAACCTCAACTTTATAACTGCCACACACACTGGCGCACACATTTAATTTTTCGCTTTTGCTCTATGAAAAGACATTTTCCATCGCACGCAGGAGGAGGAACGGAACGCCATCGAGTAGCAAACAAAGGCGGAAAAGCAATGGTTGAAAAACTGCACGCCAAAGCGGCAACTGTGGAGCTCAAAAGACACCCCTGAATCCGCCCTGCTGCCATCCATCCCATGCCTCGGAGTTTGGAGTTCATTGTGTTATTGTGCTGGCTCGTTCGGCCCTCGCTCGTCACTCCGCACTATATACCCACATAATCCCAGCAAGCGGGGCTGCCAACTGGGGGCCAAGGCAGCGCCATCCGGACGGGGGCAGGCCATAGCTGTGGCCATGTGTGCACGGCCGCGAGAGTACAAAACATGGTGCAGCCAGAGCTAAACTTTTCATCAGTGCTGGCGTTTCCGCCACAAGCAGTATTTTCCATTATCAACAGAAATATGTTATACCAAAAATTGGTTTTCTTCTTTAAATCAAAGATCTCCAGAGAGGATCCTAGCTGAAAGCAATCCCTTAGAAATAAGCATTTTTTTAACTTTAAATTGAAAAAAAAATAGATATATAACCGATATTACGGTTCATTATCCATATTTGGTAATATTGTAAAAATCAATGATTAAAATAAGAATTAATAATTAAATAATGCACCGATATATTTCATATTCCTATTGATATTTCGCCACCTCTACAGCATGGTTACGGAAAATACCGTTAAAAATTTCAGGTTCAAGCTAGCTATATTTTTCCCATATAAAGTAAGCTAGGCATCACTTGGCGCCCAGTAGCCTGCGCCATTTCTCTCCGTCTCCTTCGCTCGCTTGTCGCTCTTCCCCTGCACTCTTTGTTTAATGCCATCTCCCTCGCGCTGCACGCCCTTGCTGCAAAAGCTGAAAAATGTTGATGTAGGCCTCGAAAATGTGCAGTTTGCCTTTGGCATTGCCACTGTCACTGCAAGCAGCGCAGTCGACGTCGGCGTCCCCCCACCACCCCGTTTACAACGAGGGAGCTGTGAGCGAGAGAGAGAGCGGGTTGCATGTCGCACAAGCTTTTGCCGTGGTATAGGTAAGTTCTCCCTTCGCGCTTCGTGTGCGTGCATTTTGCATTTTGCATTTCATTTTGCCCGTTCGCTTTACATTTGCATTCATTTTTTCACACACTTTTTGTGTTCTAGGCAAAGAAATGAAACTTTTTGTTGCTGCTCCTGTTTGTTGTTATTTTTTTTATTTTTTGCTTTTTACTGGCTGACTCTATTCTATAGCAAAGTTTTCCTTTTGTATGCAGTTTCGCTTGCGTGTGCTGGTGTGTGTGTTGGCTGTGAATGCAATATTTTTAAGCGGCTTGTTTTTTGTGTATGCACAAAAAGAGGAGAACAAGGGGCAGAGAAGGAGAAGGAGAGAGTAAGAGAGAGAAAAAGAGAGAGAGAGATCTAGAAAGATAAAGAGAGAGGGAGAAAATGAGAAAAAAAGGGGGGGGGAGGCCACTGCAAATAGCGCCTTCTGTTGAAATGCAAAATAAATAAGTTCCAAGGCGGCTCCCCAACCAGCACCCTCCTTTTCCCCACTTTTCGCTGTTTGCATTTCAGCAAGTTGCTCTCTAGCGGAGCCAAAAGACATGAAAAAGTCAGCCGAGGCAGAGTTTGCTTATGCGATTTGGAGACTTCCCTTGCCAGTCTCCAATCCGATCCGATAGGAAAACCAAATGCAGAAACAAAGGGAGCTAAAAAAGATACATACTAACATATCTATGTACATATATACCATACATAAATATGGATTGAATGTAGTGTACACATGGAGTACGATTTGTCTGCGATTTGCCGCTAAAAGCCTATTCGTACTTAAAGGTGCAGCGAGGGAGCTCTGCAAGCTGGTGAAATGCAAGATTTTTCTGGCTTTGTCTTAGAATTACAACCCCATTTAGCCGGAAATATATCCTGCTAATCACCTGGAACAATTAGTTATCCCTACTTAAAGAGGGTAATGCTTCAAACTCCATTCACCGGTAGTTTTACGCTGGTTTTCGGTTTGATAGGGATTTCAATACTTAAGTAAGGCATTAAATGCGTAACATGCATTCAAATTTGTTGAAGGTTAAGTTATTTAGAAGTGCCTTTAAAAAAAAACAACTAAATCTTTAAGAAATGAAAACAAATTGTTATAATATTTTCGACTTTCAATTAAAAACACACGTTTCACTATAATTAACTTTATTTTTAGTAAACACCCTTACAGAAATTCTTATAAGACTCTATAAGTTACGAGTATTTATTATGTAGTAGAAATACATCTCATTTCAATGACACATTTCTAAGTACATATTATTGTTGTTGTTTGTTTATTGACCAAGGCCCAACGACTTTGACTATGGCGGCATTGCAGGCGATTACATAAACGAAAGCCGACGACCCTAAATCAAAATACGTTGAGCAGGCCCAACTAACCACCGAAACTCCAGACTATCCCCACGGAGGGGGTGATGGGGTCGCAGGACGTTGTGACTCGGGGTTCGGGGATTGCGGATTGGGGCCTTCTACCTTGGCTTTGGCCGTAGCTAGGATGAATTGTGATGGCCAGCCGGTCGAGTAGCTAAGGCCAAAATCAACACGGTCCGCCCAAACGAGCACGGGGGTCGCGCAATGGGGTGCACCAAGGTATCGGAGTTGGAAAACTGTACCACAGCTAGCGCATGTCCGCGCATGCAATCCCTGCAGCGCTCTCTCCGTCTTTCTCTCTGACTCTGTCACACTCTCCCTGCCTCTGCTTTGGGGTTGCACACGTTTTTCTGTTTGAGGGGGTTCTCTAGTGCAAGGCTGCAATTTATTTTGCACGAGTTTCTCAGTTGTTAGGCACGTTTTACCACCCCCGAGCCGCAGAACCCCCAAAACCCCTGCGTGCCTTGGTTGTATGGTTGAGAAATTGATTTTTTCAGTTCGTTGGCATGTTGCCGCCTGGCCATGTACTTTCTTGTTTCTGTTTCTGACCAGGGGCAGGGACACGGACAAGGATCCGTTGCCAGAGCCAGAGCCGGATCCGGATGGGGTGACGGAAGGACAGGGGAAGGGGGATGCACTGTGCAC